AACTGACAAAGCAGAGCTGTACATAGTCACGTTTGTGTACAGTTGGGAGGGACTAATGGCTTGGTTGTCCATTGAAAAGCACCAGTAAGGGGGAGGGGGCAGTAAAACAAGGTGCTCCACATGTGGGGGGAACAAGATCTTCTGTAAGTGTTGACCTGATACCTCTAATTGTCCTCCACCTTTTCAACACTTCACCAAGTCTCCAGCTACTTCTGAAAGGGGAGACAGTAAGTTCCCACCACCTTCCATTGGCACTTAATGTTGCGCTTACTGTGCTCCACTGACAGTTTTAAATAAACCAACAGAAATATGTGCAAACTTAACAGGTGGAAAGTTAATTTTGGTGGGATTTTGTGTACATTTACGGGATCGAAAGCAAACGGAGAGGAAATTTGCATACCTGCAGAAACGGAGCAGTGTGCTCTGTTGGCAGCTGAGCACAGATTTGCCTATATGCAGAATTGTTTTGTCAGTTCCATGTATGCTGCCTACTTTTCTTCCCTGGTGCCTCTGAGATGTAAAACATAAAGAAATTGACCAGACAAGAATACTGGGAAAACAATAATTAAAATTGTTAACAGAATTATGCAATCTTCTGTGGCCTTTCCCTCCACCTAAAGATGGGAAAGTCAGTGACAGCATCCCAAAGTGCCACTTTCACATCAGTGGAGGGCCCGTCACTGCCTCCTGCACGGGTAAGATCACAAAAGCAACAGGTTTTGCTGCTCTTACAGGCAGTTCTCTAGATAGGCTGTACAAACCATTATGAAATGGGGTTTAGAGAACATCACAACCCTTCTTTGGCTGAACAAGTCATGGGTTGTCATGGTGGCTCCCCCCTCCCCAAATTATCTGCCCTGTGGGAAGGAGCACAGGTTCAGACCACATGACAATTCGCTGTGGGTTTCATTTTGTGTGAATCATGTCACTGCCCTGGGGCTGGGAATGGGAGGAGGGAGAATGGAAGGAGGGAGACATGGATTTTTGTGATTCATCAGTTTGGGAAAATAGTAGGTAGCAGTAAAACTGTTACTTACATAGTATAAAATGTCTTTTGCAATTACCTTGTCAAATAAAATGATCGGTTCTTGATAAGTGCTTTTGTGAATTAAAACATTAGATGGATTGTTCAGATCCAGAACATGTTTTGTAAACGTTTGGAATAAAACTCCCGAATTGTAAACACATTTATTACATATTGAGTATTCACTTCTTTGTTAGAATAATATTGGCTTATCTAGCCTCATATTATTTCCTGCCGAGTGGTTTGGTATCCTTACCAAAAATTATACAGATCAGCTTAGTTTGTTTTAAGAATGCCTTTTGCTCCTCTGAAGTTGTGAGAAGAGAGGTGAGGCGCTTGGCTCTCCTGCTTCCTCATCCATATCTGGCCCTCCTCAGCTCACCTGTGGAAGCCAACACGGGAGATCCTCTTCAGGAGCTTCCCCTCCTCTTCCTCCCTGTCTTCCCCTTGCTTTTTGATTGAAGGATGGCATTATTATAGAAAGCCAGGCAGGCCCAAGTTTCCTCTCCAGCTCAGCTGTATCCTTGGCTGGCTGTCCCTTTTGCTGTGTTCGCAGGCACAGCTGGGCAGGTTTGACATCTGGGACATGCTGTATCCCATTACATGCCGATAAATATTTCAGATGTGAAATGCACATCTGGACTGTGCTATCTTGAGTTTAGAGAGTATTACCCATAAAAGCTATTTTTAAATTTAAAAATACATGTTGACAACATTGCAACATTCAGAATTTTCAAAATATATATTTTTTGTCTTTATAAAGTACAGCTACATTTCCTATTTCTTTTTTCTGCCAGGTCTTCAATTTTGCAGGCAGAGAGCAAAAAAGACTATGAAGAGGTAAGTTGTCTAACAGAATGGATGTTGAAAAAAAGTCTCTTTAAATAAACGTGTATCTGATAATTTTTTTCTCTGGCTCACAAATATTTGTCACAGTTAAAGTACCCCATATTACATTGTGTGTCTCTCTCCCCCCCCCCACCACGGTAACACAGTTTTCCAGAAAGTGTAGAACTATAATTCAAATCAGATGCTTTCAGTTTGTATTTGGGTCATCCAAATTAGATCTGTGATACTAGTGAAAGCTGGCAAATCAGTGTGCGGCAGTTTTAAAAAACAGAGTATATGAAGGCTGTTAAGAGGGGGAGGAAGCCAAAGACTGCCAGACCTTTGCAAGGAGCAACATCCAAAGGATGCTTTAGGTTGGACTCTCTGAATGGCTTTTCTTATGCCCCTCTCTTTTATTAACCTTGGATTTCCTCCATATTTGGTTCCCATAACTTTTCATAAATGGTCTTTGGAATGTTTTTTCCATATCCAATGGCTAAATAATTAGTTTTAAAAAGCTGTTTCTCGCCGCTGTTGTGCCAAAAAGGATCTCGGAGAAATACTTGCTAGCATGGATTGCACTTGCTATTTGTGCACAGAGGAGCGTTCTGTGCTGATCCTGGTAGCTGACTTGCTAAATGTCGTGTGCCTGTTGGTTGCAAACTCACCTGTCTGCAAGCACCCAAAACTCAACCAAAGAGGTCAATGATTCAGAAACAGTATTCCGTGAATTCTACAGCAGGTCTACTTGTTTCACTTAATTTGTCTTTATGTGCATGCACTATTCAATTATCAACAGTGTATTGAAGGAACATTGGCTGTGTCCAACAGATAACATCATGGGTGCCTTAAACTTGGTCTTTAAAAAAAAAAAAACCCAAAAAAGACATCATCTGGAATCTGTGTTGTATTTGTTTCCTGTGATTCATCTTCCTCAGTGTGCCCATGTGGCGAGCTAAACCTTTACCACATTTTCAAAAATAGATTACCTAAAAATTTAACTAACAATTTGTAAAGAAAGAAGTTACTTGAAGGGGTGAAAATGAATGTGTAGAAAAACTATTATAGACTTAATTACATTTTTAACTTTCTTTTTCAGTGGATATGTACAATAAACAATATCTCCAAACAGATATACCTGAGTGAAAATCCAGAGGTAATGCAACTCTAACTTTGAATGTCAAAATAAACATTGAAATGTAAACTTTAATGTAAAGTTAAATATGTATTTAAATTTCCTAATTCTAGTTCGTGTTATGGTTTCTAAATTGATCATTCATAGCAAGCAATGCACAACTTTGGTTGTAAAACTTTATTTACATTGAAAATACTTCCTGCTGTTTTATAAGCTTACCTTCCAAAAATGCCAGAAGCCCATGGTTTAGACTGTGGCATTGTGCATACTTAATGGGAGTAGCCACACCTAATACATTGGAGCTTACTTCTGAGTAGACATGCGTAGGTTTTTGTTAGGACAGCTGCCTGCCGTCTTTCATTTTGCATTTGCTCGTGGCTCTTGGTTGAGTGGTGGTGCTGCTGCTGGAGGCAGAGCTGCAGGTCTCGCTGCACTTTGTCAATCCATCCATCATGCCAAACCACAGGACCTTCTTAACTATGTTTTGACCTCTCTGAACCTATACGAATCTTTCTGCCCGGTGAACAAATGTTTAATGAACCGAATGACTAAATATGGCAGAAAGGAATGACTGAAAATTGCACTTAGGACTTGATCAAAAGATACATTGCATCTTCTTGCATTGTGGAGTAATTTCATATCAGGTGGGGAATTTTTCATTGAGTTGCTTTCTTTCAACCAGGATGAAAAAAGTGGAATGTAGGGTTTTGTGCTGAAAAGGATGCATGGGACTTGTTAGAATGCTGAGGACAATACAAATTAATTGCATTTTGATTTTATTTTTAAGATTATTTTTCTGAAGAGAGATTCCTAAAGTGGAACTAAATAGAAATACCAGACTGTATAGGAACGGTTATGAGTCAGGACAGCGAGTTCCTAGTTTCCCAGGTGGATGTGGTAGCACACCACTAAGAGGGCTGAAAGTGTTCAGCAGGTAGGCAAGACTTCACAGCACTTACTGAAGTCAGTTTACTGAGTGAAGTAATCTCTAGTAATCTCGCCTCTTCTGGAGAAGTGTAACAAAAGGGGCACAATATTTATCAGCCTCCTGACCATTGTACATGTGGCAAAAGGATAATTCTGCTGCCATTCAGATGTTTACAAAACCTCATTTCTGTAGAAATATAGATCATTGAAAGGGAAAATGTGAAGTAGTTCAGAGAGAAGCAGTTTTTCCCTGCACAGTTAATCTATATAGTTGAGAAATATATCTTTTACACCGTGTCTCACCTGTGTTGGGTGAAATGCCTATTATGGAATGAAGTGAAAGTCCAAACAGAAATTACTCATAGAAGCAGTAAAAATTGTCCGGGAGTGGGGTTGGGAATGAGGTTTGCACCAAGAGCCCCTGGGACTCCATACCCCTCTGTCCAGGAGGAACATCATGGCAAGGGGGAGACCAAGCTGGGCTCATAGAGGGACCGGTAGCAGGGAGCCCACTCCAGCTTTGTGCCAGAGGGAACACACAGGATCACCTGGAAGTTTGTGAGACTGCAGGCTCTGTCTTTGTCAATTGGCCAGTGAACCAAAGGCCATTGGGAGGTATGCCTCCCGGGATAAGCATCATGGCAAGGGACAACCAGCAGAGGTCCATGCATCAGCCAGAGGAAGAACCAGTAGTAGGGAATGTGGTTCTCCTTTCCCTTCCTGAAAGAACAACTGCATGAATTTTGAAACTAAGAACTGGTGCCTGAGTATTGCTTGTCCCTCCACCCTCCCACTCCCTTTGCCTCCTATTATTAATCTGTAAGGGCCACAGTGGGTGCCTCTTTTGGTTGAGGAATGTTGTAAATACATGGAGTTCTAATTTCCTAGTTTATAGCCAATCTAATTGGAAGGAGCCACTAAGCTTTTTCTGCATTCCTTCCAAAAACACAGGAAATTGCTGCCCGTGTGAATCAGTCAGCTTTGGAGGCTGTCACGCCCTCCCCTTCCTTTCAGCAGCGGCACGAGAGCATGAGGCCAGCCATGTAAGTGGCAAAATAGCAGCATATTGAGTGGTCCTGTCCTGTAATCATTGGTGATCCCATTGGTAACGAGTCATCCAGTCCGTCAGGTTATTGAACTCTATTCTTAACTATTATTGAAGCTTCCTGTGAATTTTCTTGCATTTTCCTACAAATTCAGCTTTGCAGAGGCATTTCATTGTCTCTTATTGCAAAGGTTTCTGCTGTATTTCTTCAGTAATGATTTAGATTTGTGTGGGTGATGTCTTCATTATATTATTATTATTATTATTATTATTATTATTATTATTATTATTATTATTTCTCAAGATGCACTGCCTTGTGGAGTTTGTTTAAATCTTGCTCTGTACCTCAGTAGCTTCTTTCTGGTTTTGCCTACTAGAAGTTAGGCTAAGACAAATGCAAAGCTCTTTTGCATGCTTTATCTATCTTATTGTATTTGGCAGCTTTATTTCCTTGTAGCACTGTAGAGTGGAAATAGACCTGACATTGTATGGCTGCCATCCAGAGCTTCGGTCCTGTTTTTTCTTCCTCATTTCCTAGCCCAGTGATGTTTGATAAGAAAAAAAAACATGCTACAGTGTCATGTGTTCTGGTTTTCCTGTCCCCGCTCCATTTCCTCATCTGTCATATGCATGGGCAGGAAAGCTCAAATGCCATTACATCACATCATGTGTTTGTGGATGCTACTGTGAAGGATACTGCATGGAGATTTGCTTTGGTGGTAAACACTAAACTCCAGCAGTTTCTAGTCCCCCAGCAATTCTTTCTTTAATTTGTATTTTTCACTTCTGCTGACTCAGTGTTCTCTGGCATTCCTGTTTGATAACTTGGGACCAGGATATGAACTGAGTAATCGTTGATTTATTATCACATCCTCTTACTTGGGCACTTTGTTATTCCTAATGAGTGCCTCATTAAGGCTTCTGAATTGACAATGATGGTCATTATTAGACAAGATTTCAGCTCTCTAGATAGACTCACCTTAAGCCTTACGTGAGGGTTCATCGGAAATGGTAAACTAGTTAAGTTGATGTGACAGTTGCCGTGTGTGATTATATTGCTTCACTGGGATCTGTTCTTGCAACATAGGCTGCTGGCAGGCTTTAGATCATCATGTTCCCATTCTCATCTTCTGTACAGACTTTCTTATGAGAAGTATTTTCTTTAAATATGGCAGTGATACTGAAACTATTTATTTGGAACCACTTAGGTTGGACTCCTTGCAGGTAAACAGTTTTGCATTAACTGCCTGCAAAGTGGGAGAGAATAATCCTTGATGATACCATTAATAACTTCCCAAATTCTTCAATGCCTCTCCTGCCCTTAGCGTTTAAAGCATAACATGGCATGTAACATCTCCTTCTGACCTTGCTTTATTTTTAATTTTTAGTCAGCCTCGTCCTCCCACAACTCGTACTAGCAGCACTGGGTCTTTGGGGTCAGATTCAGCATCTTTATCAGCACTTTCCTTGGATTCACTTGTGGCACCTGACACTCCCATACAGTTTGACATCATTTCTCCCGTAAGCGAAGATCAACCTGGTCAAGCCAAGCTCTCAGGGCAATCAGGCAGGTAAGAGAGTGGCAGCTCTGCAGTTGCAGAAACAAAGCCAAGGCAAGTGGAGCTGTCCTGCGATAGGCAGTGCCTGCCACTTGTCTTTGAGCCTGTACAGAATAACGCTCACAATCCTTTAACCATGATTATGGGATCAAGAACCTGCTGTGGGAGCCTGTGCTCACATCCACTCAGGGCCTCTCCTTGGCACAAAGTTAATTTGTTCTCTTTCCTTTCACCAGCTTTAATTATGATTTACCTGAACAAGGTTTGCTTTTACCTAGGATTTAAATCCAGAGCTGGAGTCTGAGTTCATCTGGTTAAGAGTGAAACCTGATTAGTAGTAACCACTATTAAAGTAGCCCTTGACTGTTTAAAACTGGTGGAGAAGAATTCCTGCATGGACGGGGGGAGTCTGGATTAAGGAAGTCTCTGGTCCTGCAGCTAAATGTCTTAAGGGACTAGGATCGTTAAATCTGCATGGGCTCCTTGTATATGGATGCAAAATGCAAATTGCAAACAATTTGAAGAGTGTTTGATGCTTGAGCTTCTCTGTGCAATGTCTTGTTTCTTGCAGCAGACTTCTTTCACCCTATTGAGCCATCTGTAACATTTGGTTTTAAAAAAGTATATTTTCCTTTCCTATTGCTTGCTTGCCCCAGCACCTTGGGTATTTCCTCTTGGAAACTCAAGAGAAATGTGGTAGCCCTGCCTCCAGGTGGTGATGGCATTCTGATGACTTTCTTCTTAAGCTAAGAAAGGTGAGTGAAAATTATCTAGGCTTCGAGAGTAATATCTGTTGGGAAGATGATTTGTGTTAGATTTCTCTTGCCCATCCAGCTCAATAAAGCTGCTCCTTTCGCAATAATTTTACTCAAAGTTTGAGCATCCTTTTTGGATTATTCATAATATTTGGACTTTTTGTCACCAAAGTTGTCTGGTAATATATTTATAAAAGAGTGCAGTGGTGAGTGGTCGTAATATCGCAGCTCCAGTGAGTGTACATTTGAACTTGAAGGTAAGTCTCAATGTAGGGTGCAGGAAGATGAGTGGGATTAATTAGCATAAGGGCCAAGTGGGGCCAGCCAGCCTTTGGCTTGTGTCCTGCAGCCATACCTGCCTGCCAAGATTCCTGATCTGAGCAGGAGATCAGCCGCTTTGTATGCAGAGTCCCAGGGTGCCCCACACACTTTCATTATAGTGCAGAGGCCGTGTGAGCGCTGACTGCAACTGAGAACTCCTGCTAGCTTCACCGGATCTCTTCAGCCAAAGCACTGAGTGATCCCCACTTATTGGTCATGAAAGTTCCCAAAAGGAGAGGATTAACTCAGGAGAATATTTAATGAAAGGAATGTGAGTTCATTCTTAGCATTCGGGGTAAAAGTCCCAGGAACAGAGTTGTGGACAAACACCAGTAGTAATGCACGGTGTCCGTCATAAAGACTTCAGATAGAAGAACACAAGAGCCATGCTGGGCCAGACCATGGATCTGTTTACTCTGGCACTCATGGCTGCCCGCAAGAGATGCACGAGACGGATGTGAGTGCAATAGCGCCATCCCACTTGTGTTTGCTGGCAACCAGTGCACATAGGCATGCTCCTTCCAAGACTGGTGGTAGCTCTTGGCCATCAAGACTAGCAGCCAGTGATAACCTTGGCTGTATTTATTGAGCTTTGCTTTGATGAAGACTGGTGCTACTTCAAGTCATCTGTGAGCATTCTGATTCTGGAATCGAATGTCCTGTATTCAGATAGGTATTTTTGCTGAGCTTAGTCATTCCAGGAATAGTGATGAACTGTACTTGCAAACACCAATCAGCAAATACTTAAATGTGCTCTCTCCATGGCAGGCAAAACAAATCTTGTGGATCTATTTGACCGAGTCACAGGTTTTTGGTGTTCTACATGAAATGCATTTCATTAGCTTTGTGGCACAATTTAGCTAAAGTTACCAATAATGTTGTCTCTTATTCTTGGTCTGGAGCTCCTCTTTACCATTTACTTAGGGGACAATTAGAGGAAATTTCCTAAAAGTGCAAGCTGTCGGATAGTGAAACAAACTGCCTTGGGAGTCGGTGGGCTCTCCTGCTTAAATGCCTGCAGTGAAGAAGCTGGACAGCCACGTGTTGGTGATACTGCGCTTACATCCTCTGTTGTACTTGCTGCATTGTGCAGAGGTTGGACTAGTTGACCTTCAAGATCCCTTCCAGCTTTCTGGTTTAATGAGAGAACTACCCTTTAAAAAAACCATTCGTGGACACATGAGATGGATTATATTCAAAATCACTGTTAGGTTAGGAAAACAGCAACTTCCTAGCCTATTTTAGCCTTTTTCTGAACCTTCTTAATTGCTGCATCTAATCTCCCTGTTTATTATTTGAGAATTGTTTTGGTAAATCCATTCCTTTACCTGTGATATACACTGGAAGCCTAGAAAATTTTCACTTAAATAATAATTTAAGAGTAATAGTGTTGCTGTTGAGAATTAAATATAGCCACATTTCTCTTGATTAAGACTAAATCCATTTAATGCTTTCAGACAGCTGTATTTGAGTAGCTGTTCTCATAAGATAATTATTCAACAAATCAATGCATGAATAACATGCAATTTCATTTAAAAAGGATCTTCCTTTTGATGTGTTTAGGTAAGAATTGCAAACTTGTTATCTAAAATTATATTTATAAAAATTAAAAAGTAACATTTTTTTCCAGAGCTGAATTAGGGTACATAAATATTTCTCATGAGTTCGGTTTGATGTTTTAGTAAAGCACTGAGATAGTACTACAAGGCCATGGCTTTTCTGTTTCTTTTATGCTAAAAATAAGTTTATGAAATATATCTCCATTAATACTGTGTTGTAAAACTCATTTTTGTTTTGCATATATTTTCTGGACTTCCATCTTAACATTTTGTTCATGTGTGTAATATAACACATGGTTTATCTATTAAGAGTCAGTGTGCAAGCATCACCTTTGTGTTTTACAGGCGTACAAATCCATTTGGAGAATCTGGAGGAACCAAATCAGAAACAGAAGGTAAATTAGAATTAAGTTGAAGCTAAATATATATTTGATATTTGAAAAATGTTTTATTACTGCTAAGATGTTCATGAAATGATGATGAAAATAGCAGGCTGTTAGTGAGCCTGAGCAGAATGAATCAGCAGATCTAGTTGGGTGCACTGATAAATAGCCATGCAAGAACATAAGCTTGGGCGTGACGCCTGTCCATGTGCTCCCTCTGCTTCAAGAATCCACAGATCTTTTCATCTGGGCCTTGAAAGGTGAAAAAGCATGACGGTGCCTCTCTTGTCCTTTAAATATAAGGGAGCGATATCTTATGAGAGAGAGAATCCAAAACTTCAAGGGAGATAATCCCAGGGATACTCCAGACCTGACAGCAAAGAGAAGGTCTGGGGCATCATCCCAGGGCATTGATATGGGGCTCTTACGCATACTAGCCCAGCAAGATTCTCACAGGGAGATGCTGGGTGATGCTGAAGCCTCCCTTACCGCAGTTCACTACTTTCTCGGAAAAGATTAGAGAAAAGTTGACTTGGTAACACTAGTGCCTGTTTAGCTGCCTAGCCAGTGTTTCAGAGAACAAATCCCCCTTTCAGGAGCTGTCCACACTATCAGAACCAACTTAAACATGAAAGGAGAGAGAGTGTGGGCATACCTCACAAGGATCGGTACTGCTGCAACTTCCGTTTTGTGGGGAGGGGTTGGGTTTGGAATGTCTCTCTCCTGTTGCCTCGGTCTTCCCTGCAGACACCTGCTTCGGCGTCTGAGAACACAACTCTTCTCTGTGGTTTAAGTATTTCAGTGGTACCTGAGACTTATCATAGCTCTGTGTGTGGTCATGTTGACCAAGTTCCTCTTTACCTCGACTCATCCATTCAGATTCAAAAGCTGTGTTGGGTTTCAGAGTTTTGCCGCCCTGACATGCTCGCCTTGTGGTTCAGAATCTGCCCTACCTCACGGCTTAGTGCAGGTAACAGTAATTGTGTGCAGAGAAACCCTTCCTTCTTGAAGGGCCTGGTGTGGTCCAGAAGCAACAGAAGCAAGTAGACAAGGAAAGCGGGAGATAGCTAATGAATGAGAGCTAGTGAATGAGGTATAACTTGAATTGTTCTGTGACTTGCCAGAGGAAAAAGATCAGCCTGCTCTCATTCATTAGCTATCTACTGTTACTTCTCCCCAAAGTTCATTTCAAAAACAGTTCTTTGTCCACTCCCTTTTTCATTGTGTCATATGTTTCATATGTACTGCTGAAATGAGCAAACTTGTTTCAGATCTTAGTAACTTAGATTCACCTATTCAGGAATTACTTTTGATGATGTTGGAACAGAACCATTAGAGCTTCGATGAGTTATGTCCTCTTTTACGTAAATGGTTTTTTAATGCATGAAGGCTGGGATCTAACAGTGATAACACAGCATATGTCGCAGATACATTGGTAAGGCAAGATGAGAGTTTTCCTAGAAAGTTGAGAGGTGGTTCACATCATTTGTTTAATATTTCTTTGCTCTAGATTCTATCCTTCATCAGTTATTTATTGTAAGATTCCTTGGATCCATGGCAGTGAAGTCAGATGAATGCTCCGATGTTGTTTATGAGACTATGCGCCAAATATTAGCTGCCCGAGCTATACACAACATTTTTAGAATGACAGAATCACATTTGTTAGTCACATGTGACTGTTTAAAGTAAGTGTTCCTTTTTCTAAAGCTACGTCTCATTCATCAAGCACTTTTAATGCAGACTTCTTTTTCTTTGTACAATGACTTCTGGTTTCTTAAATTAATATTTCTAGGTTAATTGATCCACAGACACAAGTTACAAGACTCAGGGTAAGTTGGTAGAAACAACGCAGGAAACATTGCGAACTTCTTTTGGTTATGTTTGCTTTTGGCTTTCTATTAAACGTCATCCAAATGCGTATCCATGTACTGCTTTTGCTACAATATAACAAAAACTACAGTCCGGGGCATTTAACGTATCTGTACGATGCCAGCATTACAGTTTCCTTAGTAGGTTCTTAATGACCACCTCACCCACAATGTATTGCCTGGGGGAAGGATCCCCAGGAGCAAATATTGATGCATGGGATCACAAGCAAACGTGGGGGAGAGGCGGCGGCAGTAGTTTCCTTCTGCTTCAGGTGGCACAACATGTTGCCCAACTCAGCGTACTGTGGAATCCGATTCAGCTCCACACCCTTGGAGAGGTGGCCGTTGTACGTGCAGGTTCAGGCAGGCCTCCTGCACTTTTTTCTGTTCAGAACACTTTCTGTTGCCTCTCTGAGTGCCTTTTAAGCACAAAGGTCTCGTTCTGTGGACCCAAGACTGAACTGAGGGAGGGAAGGATAGAGGGGTGGGAGGGAAAACTGACAGGCAGGAGTGAGCCCACTGCTTGGATGCTCTATTCACCGAACAAGAAGGACCCTTCGCGGTGAATGGCCGTGTCCCATTCAATGTGATATACCCAAAGCGATCAGCGATTGTCATGTTCTGTAATGTCATTTATTATCTGAGTAGCCTGTTACATATTAGCCAATAAGCTTTAAAATTCTAGTGTGTCTTTTTTCTGTTTAACAGTTTCCTTTGCCAAATATAGTTCTCTATGCAACACATCAGGAAAACAAGCGCCTTTTTGGATTTGTTCTTCGGACTTCGGCAGGGAGAGCAGATAGCAGACCAACTTCAGTCTGCTACATATTTGAATCAAATAATGAAGGTGAAAAGGTATTTATTTGTCATGCTTCAACTAAAGCTTTTGCATGCACAAAACATTTCTGAAGCTTTAGGGATATGATCTAATAATACATTTAAAGATAATAACATTTTAACATTCTTACTATGTTTTCCATTTTTTCCCTTCAATAGATCTGTGACTCTGTAGGACTTGCTAAGCAGATTGCATTACATGCTGAATTGGTAAGACTTCCAGTTGCAGTGAAAGTTATAAATATTCCACATGCATCATATGACCTGTGAGTTAAGAGAAGCCCTGAGGCCCTCTCATTAGGCTTTTATATTAACAGACCTGCATGCAAACATAGGTGAACTGCTGCTAATTCCTTATATGTCATTACAGTCAAGGCATAGTATGACAGAAGTACATATAAGCAAATAATTATTTAGTAAAGCAGTGTACATCTGAGCTGCATACAGCAAAAGATTCAAGGGGAATGCCTTTTAAACCCATGACAAGACCAGAAACATCTTTTGCATCGGTCACTTGCTGGTCTATCTTGAACTATGACTTGGGGTGTAGGAAAACTGGTCTCCATTGACCATGAATGTAGAGTTCAGGACCAGTCCAGCTTGTCAGTAATCCCTGAAGCTCCTCCCCGTGGGGAAAGAGACAGAACAGCTTCCCTTTTAAACAATCCAAATTGGTGCCAATCACTACTTCCGATGGCATTTAGTTCCATATTTTAAATATGTGCCATGTAAAGAAGGTCTTGATTCTCTCACTAGTTAACTTCATGGGATGACCCCAGGTTCTTCTATTAAGCAAGAGGGAGAAACATTCCTCTTTACTTTCTCCACACCATGCATTGTTCTAACATCTCTGTCGTGTCTCTTCTTACTCCCACACCCTTTTTCTAAGCCGAACAATTATCAGGCTGTCTGCCGCAACCCCAAGGTCCCGTTTTTGATCAGATGCTGCTAGCTCAGATCCCATTTGCCTATACTGGATGTTGGGGTGTTTTGCCCTGACATGCATGACTTTACACTTGCATACATTGAACTGCATTTGTCATTCTGATGCTCATTCTTCTAGCTTGGAGAGACCCCTCTGGAGCTCTTCACAGTTCCTTTTAGTTTTCACCACCCTAAATAGTTTGGCATTATCAGCAAATGTGCCACTTAACTGCTTGCTCTTAATTCCAGATGCCTTATGAATATGTTAAAAAGAACTAGTCCTAATACAACTCCCTGAGGGACCCCAATGGTTACATCCCTCCAGTGGGAGAAATCACCATTTATACCCATGCTCTGCTCTCTGCTCTTTAACCAGTTACTGATCCATAAGAGGTCCCATTGCTTTTATTCCCTGACTGCTAAGTTTGCAGTAGAGCCTTTGGTGAGGAACTTTCGAAAAGCTTTTTGGAAGTCCAAGTAAACAGGCATTGGATTTTGCCACTTACTGACATTCTCAGAGAACCAGGACTTGCATTCGAGGAGCCATGCTCATTCTTTTTCAGCAGGGCTAGTCCCTCTGTGTGCTTATGGTTTTTGTCTTTGTTAATGCTTTCAACCAATTTAACCCAAAACAGATGTTAGGCTAACTGGCCTGTAAGTCCCTGGATCCCATCTAGATCCTTTTTTTAAAAAAGTGATCATACAATGGCCATTCTCCAGTTGGTTTGTTTAATTCATTTTGTGGTTCAGAGGCTGATCTTAGGGAAATCATAAATATTTTGCTAAGAATGCCAGCAATTTCATATGTGAGTCCTTTAAGAATCCTAGGATGGATACCCTCTACGCCTGGTAATTTATTAATTTTCAGTTTGTTGATAAGGTTGAGAATTTCATCTTTTTCCATACTATCTTCTTTAATTCCTCAGACTCCCTTCCCAAATACACACATTCAGGACCAGGTACCTGTCAGCTTCCTCTCAATCTCTTTACGCACCTTTAATTCTGTTATCATACAGTGGTCTATCTGCTTTTTTGCCTGGTTTCTTTCTTCCAGTGTATTTAAATAATACTTTATTGTGGGCTCGATATTGTTAGCAACATGCTGCACAAACATTTCTTTGCCTCTCTCATTGTCTGCTTGCATCTCCCTGGCTCAAGCTTATGGTCTCTCTTGTTTTTCTCATTTGAGCAAAATTTCCATTTCTTGAAGGAGTACCCTCTCTCTTCCTGGACTCTAGTTGTTAATCATGCTCATCACCTCTTGCACTTTGTGCTGCCTTTTCTTACTTGTGATATGCGCACTATCTGTGCCTCTATTGTTGTGGTTTTAAGTCCTCTCCATGCATTTGAAGGATTCAACCCTCTTGACTGCTCTCTTAAACTTCTAAGGTGCATTCTCGAGCCCGCTGCTTGGTTGGGAGCCAAAGCAGGGCTTCTTGGCTCCTTACCTGGCCAGAGGTGAGTGAGGAGTAAAAAGCTGTGGATGTTTAGTCCCATTGTGTGCCTTGGGAAAGGGAAGGTTTAGAACTCTTTGGCTAGCTCATCCTAGTGGAGAGTTGGTCCCCAGTCAATTAAAGGGAGGGCTGGGAAGAGGTTCTGTGATTGGTACATGAAGAAATATGGAGGCATGTGCTGCTGGTGCCTTTACCCACTGCATGCCTGTAGTCACTTTCATCCTGCCTGGTCTGAGGCCAATTCAATTCTGGTTGGGCTATACCAGTCTTAGATCTTTAAGAACATTGCCCTACCTTGTCCAAATCAAAGAGAGGTCATGACTTCTGGAAATACCAGTCCACTTTTCTGTAACCAGTGGCTCACCAGCTAAGTTTTTTCAGAATTTTCATCTTTTACTTTTCAGTTTTGTATACAAGATTTTGCTGCTAGACTTGAATCTTGCCAACTTGAAATATGTGCTCCATAGAGTGATACTAAACTTAGGTAAGCAAGCGACAGCATTGCAAAGCAGGCAGAAGGTTCCTTTGCAACCCTGCGGTATGCTGCAGGCTAGCCTTGTCTCAAGATTAGTTGGTGCAGCGGTTTAGTCTGGCAGCGTGGAAGGCTTTTGAGGATCCTGAAGTCATTTCCCTTAGATTGCTTTGAAGGGCAATAGCAGATACTTTTGTTGAAATATTTTGTATCTGCATGATTTCTTTGGCCTGAATTTTTTTATGGATCTCACAGCACTGCAAATGTTCTCAGTTAGCAACTCTTGCATGTTTACTTTTTCAGGATCGTAGAACATCAGAAAAACAGAAAGAAATAGAGAGAGAGAAAGAAAAACAGCAAAAAGAACTAAGTAAACAAAAACAAATTGAAAAGGTATGTATTCAAAGTTCATGATTTTTTCTTAGCACTGATTTTTAAAAGTAGCTGTTTATGGAAGATTTTTCTCCCTCACAACTCCAGGGCTCAACAAAATTCAGGGCAGACAAAAGAAGTACTTGTTCATGCAACCTGTAATGAGGTTCTGTAATTTGCTACTGGTAGATGTGGTGAGTGCCACTGGCTCAAGGCTGGGTTTAAAGGATTAGCCAAATCCATGGAGCTCTGCAAGTTACAGCAGCTCAGTAGACCCTTTGCATGTGCAGAAGCAGTAAGGCCTTCCATACGATTTGCTAGTCGGTGTGCCCTGTCATTGGGTGCCCCAGAAACATCTGCCTAACTTTTGTCGGAGACCGAATGCTGAACCAGCAGGGCCAACGGTATAATCCATGTTCTTCACAGGCGATTCCTTTCAGAGTTCTGTACGGTGTACAGGAAGTGACTCACCCTTTACCTTTTCCTGTGACCACGTTACTGATGGTTCTTCCACAATCTCAGTAGTTCACTTCCAGTCATGTGTGGCTTAGTGGCCATCATGACTTCTTGCTGTTGAATATTATTTGTTAATCAGGTGTCTAGCAGGCACAACAACCCAGTAGCAACAAGCCTGTGAGCAGGATCTGAGGGCCAGAGTACATTCCCACTGTCTTGCTCCCAGCATGCTCGCTCTGATTCTAGAGGCAGCATTAGCATCATCATGACTGCGCTGTCCTCCATGTATGTGTCTAATCCTCTTTTAAAGTCATCAGATCCCATTTTTCAGCTTCCACATTTTCCAGCAGTGATGCCAGAGTTTAACCGCATGATGTGTGAAGAACATACTTTTGTGCATCCTGAAGCTTTCTTTCCCATTTAGCTTTACTGGAAGGCCCTGGATTCTACTGTTAGGGAAGATAGTGGAAAGAAGTAGCGTATCTGCTTTCTCTACACACAGTATAATTTTAGTGTCCCCCCACTTATATTTTTCTAAATTGAAAAGGCCTAACTGTTGTAGCTTTTCCTCACAAGTGAATTGTTCCAAGATCCTGATCATTTCGGTTGCCCTTTTCTGTACCCTGCCCAGCTCAAAAAAAATCCTTCTTGAGATGCCATGACTAGAATAGCACCAAGTATGGTGGCATTGTGGGTCTGCATAGAGGCAATTGCAATGTTAATCTTCGTAACTTGTCTAAAAGTGAGTGCTTTCTTTCAGGACTTGGAAGAGCAGAGCCGACTAATAGCTGCATCTAGTAGAGCCAACCAGAGTGTTGGTGAGGGACCGTTTGTAGTCCTTAGCAGTAGTCAGTCAGAAGACAGTGATTTGGGAGAAGATGGAAAAAAGAAACGAGAATCTGAAGCATGAGCTGACTTCAGTTCAAGTCTTTGAACCTGTTCTCTGAGATAAGTTGTAAGTTGCAGAAGATACAGAGGTGGAGGGTTTGCTTGACTAGATGAGACCCACGAAGCTTTCCTGCTTAATGTACAGTGGACTTCCTTGCATACTGTGGTGAAACTATTTTGGCTATAATAGAATTGAATCTTACAGATCTGTTTTCTTTTCTTCATGTACCTAGCTGTCCAGGGAACTTCATGAGGAAGAGGTTGGCATAAGTTAAGTTTAAAGAAATATATGGAAAAATCTTTTATCTGAAATTTCTGTTCTCAACATCCAGGTGGATTAACTGCTTTAGTTTGTTCAGGCTCCTTTACATATTAACAAATTTAATCTGACAAAGGAGACGCTAACCCATGAAAGGTTACGCTATAATACATTTGTTCGGATTTAAGGTGTCATAGGACTCTTTGTTCAAGCTTATTTGATTCCCAAAGATGAATGAGAACACAAACATAAGGGTGCTAATTTGTAGATAACTGCTGAGAAGGAACAACTAGGGTGAAGCCAGTAAAACTGCAGTGCTGTTTTTAGATTAAATGTGAGGCTGCCATTTTTACTTGAGCTTGCACTGGATGCTCTTGGCCTTGGCTTCTCCTCGATACACTTTGGAAGATGTTTGTTGAGGGCTGCAAAGATAGTGAAGCAGAAGTCAAACATTAGTGTGGGATGCAATTGCGCTATGTATTTGTAATGTTACACAAGTAGACTCTGATATGTCTCGGTGAGAATAGTATGTGTACCGTTTGAAACATTTGTCTGCAGTGATTATTGGCATTAAAATATAAATTGCCAAAATAAATTCAAGGTCTGTCCTCAGCAGTGCGGTTTGAGAATGTGGATGAAAAGAACTATTTGTATGGAGACTTTGTCAACTAAATGATGAGAATCTGCTTTTATAATACATGTCCATGATTAACCTAATGTCATTAAACTCTTTTGTAGAACATCATTGCTAATCAATCCACATGCAATATAAACATATGCACAGATGGAATATATCTGCAGAATCATTAACAAAAAGTTAGACTGAGATTCTGCATCCTCTTTTTTTCCAGTTACATGTATAATTATTCCAACATAATGTCAAGTGTTGTCCTTTATTTCCAGAACAGGAACATGGTTTATACAAAAGAATGTATAATGTAAATTGGACCCCTTACTTTAAGTAAAGTGGGAGTAAAAACCACTGTTTTGGCTTTCTGATCCATCAGTTTCTTTTCTGAAAAGTGGTACATAAATACTGATCATTAAATAAATTCTTACTTTAAAAAGCAATCCAAAGAATGAGTAGTAGTTGATGGAAACACATTCATATAAGGCAGAGGCAGTGTTGTGCCTCCTGAACTGTTGGTACCAATAGGTGATTGTCATCTAAACAAAGCGAGGCTTATATCTGAGGAATGGACACATCACAGTAACTCAGTTGTGCTTGCTTTTTCCATCTGCCAGTTTGATTTTACTTAGTGCTAAGCAAGCATCACTCTGAAAGATAAGCTCAATTCTACATTTGTCTTTAGAATGAAGAGATCAGGTAACCCGAACAAATGTGACAACATACTATCGCATAAGAAAATGCACCAGATTCCATTTATATATGGGCTATTTTAAAATACCCACATTTTTGAATCCTTTTAGAGAGTTGTGCAGGAAAAATTCCTGTAGGACTCTAGAAGACTGTCTGGTTGTGTGAACAAGGATGTGTTTTGGGGAATGGGCATGTTCCTGCTGCAGGTGATAAGGAGATGGGAAGGGCTTCAGAGAATTTAGCAGGGGTGATGACCACCCATTCACTGGCAGTAATATCACCTTCTGTCTTCTTGGGTCTTTTGATTGGTTTCAGCTTGTATAGAAGACAAATGGCATTTGCAGAAGTCTGGATCCATATTTAAGCATGTGCGGCAAGGCTGGTTGGAGCAGATTTCCCTGCCTCCACATCCCCATGGCATCCTCTGCAGGCTACCCAAAACTACACAAATTGTTGGAGGAAACACTGCTGTAGTCTTGCGGGACCCTAACAATTAGGTGGAGTATCTTACGTGAGTGAAGCCTGGGGGAATGCCATTGGAATGAGGGGATAGGGTACCTCCGTCTGCCAAGCTAGTAATTTCTCTGCTGAAGAAATACTTTTAGCCATGTCTGCCTGGGGGCAGCACATTCTAATTGGCAAAATCTTTCACAACTGCTGTCCTACCTTTCGGAGCTGCTTATAGCCGTATTTTATGTTACAAGAATTCTAGACTTGTGCTGAAATGGATAATAAATCTGCTTCTATTGATAGAGGACAGTTAATTGTTATCACCTGTGTGTGCACTTGTATATATGTAAAGATAGATGTTAATACACTGTATTCTAATGTGCATAATACCAAATCTCTTTATTAATAATTTCATCAAATTTCCCTGTCCTTATCCTCTGTGAAGTCAAATATCATTGCCAGAGAGTTTATATAATGGCTCCTTGTGGTTTGAAAGTTGTTAGGGTTGTTGTGTTTTGTTTTTGACTTAACTCCCCGTATGTTTGGATAGTTTAGAAGAAATGTAAATTCTTTGCATATGTTTGGAAGAAACATTAAGAGGGAGGTCACATTTTGTTATTATGTTTACATTACACTGCATTTGTATTCTGCCTTTTTTCTTCTTGTGAGGAACCAAAAGCAGCTGACGTAACTCCATTTTGCCCTCATAGCAACCTGTGGGAGGAAGGTCGGGCTGAGAGGGAGTGACTGGCCCAAGGTCACCCAGTGAGCTTCATGGCCAAGCAGGGTCTAGAACCCGGATCTCTTGAGTCCCCCATCCAGCACTCTCATCACCGCTGGATATACATAAGAATGTGTGTGTGGGTGTGTATGGGGGGCAGAGAGACGGCTCAGTTTCCTTGGTTAAAAGGTAGATTGTAAAGACATGGCCCCTCGGTGAAACAGTGTATTCAGAAGACTGTTTTACTCATGTAAACAGTCCTTTGATATTGCTTAACACTGGAGTGTTCATTCTCCCCATATCTAGTTAGGAAAATCTGCACAATCTCTGTATGTAACCTTGCCCCAATGACCACGTTAATTATTCTGTTGGAGATACTGTCTGCATTGAAAAATAGAAGTTGGTTGTCTGGTTAATATGCTCATTATTACTGAACATAATGAGACTTCCTTCTGAGTGAACATGCACAGGTTTGTGTTGCCTAGGTGCAAGGTTAAACTTAGGAAAGTTGCATGCCTGCAGTTGCTCGCCCTGTTATCTCCAACTTATAGCAAGTCCATGAATGAAAGTCCTCCAAATGTCTTGTCCATGATGACGGCCCTTCTAAGTTCAAGGCTGTGACTTCCTTTATGGTTTCATCCCACCTCATATTCTGTCTTCCTTTCCTTTCATCCCACCTCATATTTGGTCTTCCTTTCCTTTCATCCCACCTCATATTTGGTCTTCCTTTTCCTAGCATGATGGTCTCCTCCAGCACCTAGTTTTGAACACATCCATTTTCTTCTATCAGCCTTTTTCACTGTCCTGCATTTACACCCAGACATAAGTGATTGGAAGTACAATGCTTGCTCTCGTCTGCTTTTTAAATTGTCTTTTTGTAAACTACCAGATTGTTAAGAATGAAATTGAAGATTGTTAAAGAGAAATATTTTTGCATGTTCCCTTCTTCCTGATGTACAGTGGTCCAGAGACACACCTTGAATTGTTTGCATGTGAAGCTGATCTTTTTAAAAAAGAAAGAGAGATGACTTATTTGTGTATTCTCAAACAAAACCAAAACCCATTCCCTTGTTTGGTACTTTTTAATAATTTTGGCTTTCTATTCTTGAAGCCCTTCCCCTCCAAATTGATTCAGAGGCCCTCTTTACTCTGAAAATACATATAATAGTCAATCAGATCATATTGTTAACCAGTCTGGTAGAAAAACAATCCAACGTGTAACTCTGAAGGAACGATGTTCTGGAAAGAGAATTATAAGCAAGTCAAGATGTTTGTAATTTGGGTGGCTTTAATACTGTAGTGGATTGGTCAAATTCTTACAGTAATGTAATAGTTTGGTCCTGTTCCAGTGGTTGTGACTTTTGCATTATTCTTAAGAGCCTAATACAATTATGCCCTTAATCTTTGTATTAATAAATACATGATGATTGTTACTATCAATTGCAGAATGAAATCAAGATACTAATAAAGCTATTTGGAAAGGATGTGAGTAAAGTCCAGTTAATTTTAGAGGGTTGTTTTTTCAGTGATTTTGTAAATATTTTTGATTGGATCCAGATTTAGTCTCATGTAATTGGGCTTTCTCACCCCAGTCTCCCCGTGGCAGTCATCAAGGATCACGGGGCTGTACTGAATAATGTATTCCATAGTGCAATGAGGAGAGGATTCTGGAAATTCAGGTAGATTACCTTTCCATGGGAGTGCCTAAATCTGGACCCAATCCTATGATTGCAATTATTCCACAAAAGCTCATCTTGTATCAAAGTACCTGAAAGCCTTTCTTAAATGTATTAAGTCTGTCATTCAGAAACTTTATCCATATATTTAATAATAGTCAGAGAATCATTTATTGTACTTAATAAAAAAACAGATTAACAACATGACTCATATCTTTATTTGCAGTAGAATAAGTATAGCTTATAATATGTAAGGGTTAATAATGTTAGCTTGTTTAATTGGGTGTAATCTCTTGGAGAAATTAAAACAAAGTCCCTGCTGATAGTATTTATTGAGCCATCTATATTTGTGGTTTCTGCAAAGAGTTCAAGTATTGGTACGTCAATACCCCAAAGGGTTTACAACCTAAACAGGCAGCAAAGAGCATAGTGAAAAGGGAGAAAATCTGGGACAGAATCTGCAACATTTGGCTACACTAGGACAGGAGATGGCATCACACTTCCCTATTCCTTCCCCTGCTAAGAAAAACCCCTTTTCTTACAAGCAACTGGGATTTCTGTGAAATAGGGTTTTATTGATGCTGAAATCAGTGACTCCAAGAGAGTTGCTTAGTGTCTCAGAGCCCACCTGTACCTTACATTCGGTCTGTTGAACAGGTTACTGTCCTTCAATACACTGCCAAAAACAACCAATTTGTGGTGGAGCTTCAAGAGAGATCCTCAAATTGCCAGTGTGCCTGTGGGCACAGTGATGCTTCATTTAACCTCTGCAGGAGGGTATTAGGTATGTGTCTCCACCACAGGGAAGAAGGTCTGCATATTTGTGGGGCTGCATGAAGGGGGCCAAGCTGCTTTCCCAATAGATAGGGGTGGGGAAAATGGGCAAATCAAGCAACCTGTGTTCTCCCTCACCATTTCTTTCATACATGGAGAGGTAGGTATGCTACTGAAATTACACTAGTAGTTTATGAAGTACAGTTCCATGATCTTTGCAGGCCACAGCAGCAGTCTCTCAAAGCTGAGCTGTGTTGAAATGCATCCCTAGGTAAGCTATCTGACTGTTACCTATCCTTGAGGTTATTCAAGTATAAATGGCAGATGTTAGAATATTAGTCTTCAGCATAGTACAGCCAGTATATATGATGTAAGAACTAACTAAAGGTAAAGGTTTCCCCTTGACATCAAGTCCAGTCATGCCTGACTCTGGGGGGGGGGGGGGTGCTCATCTCCGTTTCCTAGCCGAGGGAGCCAGCGTTTGTCCGCAGACAGTCTCTGTGGTCATGTGGCCAGCATGACTAAACACCAAAGAACTAAATAGGCATGTCTAATTCTTAAAGCTACCCTAAGTTGAGCATCCAGTGTCAAAGTTGTAAGAGTATGTCTATACTGGAGTGCCAAATAGAAGCATTAAGATTATAGCTAGCCTACTCCTAAGCTATTTATTTAGTTGGGTATTTTTACCCTGTCCAGTATGTTGCAAGTCTCTGGACGGCTAGAAACATTGAGTTATTTTGTAGCCATTAGTAAGAGTGAGCCTATGAAACTGGCATGTAGGCTCATTTATACTGCACATATGAATTTATTTACATATACAATACCCTCCAGGACATATGTATATGTCTGTATTAGTAGATTCCATTCAGATTTCCTTGTCCATAGAGATCGTATTCCTTATAGAGTATATATTCTTTCAATCTGTTTGGTAGTGGTAAAAAGGTCAAGAAGACAGGACAGCGTAGACGTAAACGTCCCAAGCATTTCCGGATTCTCAGGCGGCAAAGATGTTGCAAAGAACGGGTGTTGGCTGAAAATAAATGTGCCAATATTATGTATTCTGTCCATTTGTAAATCATTTTCAGACTTCCACTTTAGCCTTGCTGTCTGCGGGTGGGGAAGGGATATGCACCTTGAATATACCAACAAATACCAAGGATGCTGACGTGGTGAAAACCATTCCTGCAGCGCTCAGATACAACTTTATTGCCTTGGTATTATATATGCAGCATTGGACTCCTTCCCCACCACACGTGAGGTGGGGACAGGTTTCACTGCCTTGTATTCCTGGAACAGTATTTTCATACTGGCCTCTCCTCCCAAACCCTTGCACACCTCCTCCAAATCTCTCCCTAGGCAGTGTAAGAAAGTAACAGCAGAAATAAAGGTATTATTCCACGTAATGGTTTTCTGTGCTGCCAGTCAGTAACCTGTGCTTATTCTGTACTTTGCTTAAAAGAATACAGTGGTACCTCGGCTCATGAATGCCTTGGTTCATGACCAAATCGGGTCATGAACAAAAATTTCATGAAAATTTTGACTTGGGTCACGAACTCTGCATTGGGTGGTGACCAAGATCGCAGCCATCTCCCCTCCCCCCCCCCAAGTGGGGAGATGGCCACGATTGCAGTTGCGTTTGTGCGTGGACACGGGCACACTCCTGCAGGAAAGACGGGTGCAATCTCGGCCATCTCTCCCCTCCCCTGCAACCAGCACGATCATGGCCATCCCCCCCCACCCCGAGTGGATTTCTTTGAGAAGCACCACCCCAACATAACTGTAACGAACAGAGTGTTGAATCTGATGAACGAGAACGTGGTCTCTCATTTCCGGAGGGTTATGCAGCATGGAAAAAACAAGTGACTAGAGACAGATTTTTCACCAAAATTGACCCCAATATCCTTATGGAGGAGGACTCTCCCTCAGAACAATAACTTCCCCCACACCTAGGTTAGTGTTCTCCACTGTACTGTACAGTACTTTTTTGTTCTTTGTTATTTCATTGTTCTTTGTTACTTTGTTGTTCTTTGTCACTTTGTTTCACATTTTTCTGATAAAAAAAAAATAGTTACAGTACGGATTAACCTTATTTACATTGAACCTTATGGGGAAATGTGACTTGGGTCACAACCAATTTGGGTCACAACCAGACTTGTGGAACGGATTAAGTTCGTGAGCCAAGGTACCACTGTACTGATGTCAGAGAAAGGCTGACTTTATGATATTAATTTGGCAATCTGATGCAGCACATATAAAATCTCAGTTTGGATAATTTTGGCTGTTTCTGTACCCTGCAATTAAACAGTGAAAGCTTTATTATAAACTCTCTAGATTACTTCATAAAAAGGAATCCTGTGTGGCCCAAAATAAATGGTATTAAATATTGTGGCTTTTGAGTTTATCATACCCAAACTTGCTAGATCCTTTTAGCAATATCCAGTTGTCACTTTAATTCTAAGCTGCTTAATAGGATGCAATTGGTACTATGAAGACTCTAATGCACCATCTCACTCATCTTCAAAATTCACATTTCTACAGATTCATTTGATACTTACTCAAGATTGCATTGATTTCTGGCCATAGTTTTTGTTCTTTAAGAACACACAGAAGTTTAGAGCAGATTCTGATATGATCAACATAATCTAGCATGATGCGCACTACGTTCCCAGACAGGTGCTTTAACCAGGATAGAGTTATCACTTCACAGAACTGAAAGAGAAAACCAAGAGGCCATGAGACTAGCATTCAACATGACTCCAGCTTCTGCCGTCTGCTCCACAGAAGGGGCTGGCATGCTGCTTTTGAGTTCCCCACCCGATAGCTCATCCTATTCAGTAGCACTGCCTGACCTTCTGCATAGTATTTTCAGGAATCTGGAGAGGGTACTGTACGGAGGAGAAAGGGGGTAAACTGCTTTTGCCAGACCAGTTGTGCACAAATACGGCACTGGATCAGTGTGTAATTAAAGTTCCCTCAAGAATGAAGCCAGTAATGCCTCCACCAACCAGGTCAAACTAGCAAAGAAAAATTCCAGGAGCCTCCTAGATAATCTATTTAATGCAATCTAATGTAACCCTTTCCCTGTGCCCGCACTCCAATGCTGGTCTTCAAAACTGTGCATCTAGATGTGGGAATGAAATTTTAAGGACAGCTTGTGGGATTTGCAAGGGCAGCCCACCCTCTCCTCCCAATCATAAATATTTACCATTGTGTCTTTGATAACAGTTGAAGTCCAGCCTTCAAACAAGTACTGGGAATGCACGTCGTCTCCATGAAGACAGTCAAAGCAACGGTGAACATTGTACCCATAATTCAGCAACATCCTTAACATGACTTCATCCTTCAGTGTGTACTGCAGAGCTGACGGAAAATGTGTTGTGTTAACTCTGCAGAAGTAGTTCACGTTGGCCCCATGCCGAAGCAGAAGATTAATGAGCTCATAGTTGCCCATTCTCAAGGCCACCTGAAGACAGTTAACTGGGTCTTGGTTTGGGAGAGCTCCAGCTTCCAGGAGCAACTGAGCAGAGTTAATGTCACCATTAGAGACCGCAAAGTACAAGGCTGATTGCCTTTCATCGTCATAGCCTTTCCGAATTCTCTTATGCAACATAAAATTGGCATCAAAGCCAGATTTGAGAAGGAATTCAAGGCACTGAGGGTGTCCACCGGCTGCAGCTGAATGAATTGGACTGATCCCGCTTTCCTTAATGACACTGTAATCTGTCACAGGAACTAACATCTGTAAAGCCCTAGGGAGAAAGATAAAATACAAATATTCAACAACGTTCCAGTCATACTGGAGCAAATACGGAGCACATTCTCCCAAGTATGGCTAACCCAAAAGCACAAGAGCTGCTCTTAAAATATACTTCCCAAGAACCTGTAAAAGGAATGCCTGGGGGGGGGGCACCCCTGATTCTTCCCCCTTCAAAGCAGGAAGAAGCCCGAACGAACCCCTCAGCTTTGCAATTTTCACCAAGTCTAAACAAACACTGTTGTGGGCTGTTAACGCATTGCTGCTTTGTTACTTCGGGGTGCCTGGGAAAGGCAGTCACCAGCCAGCTCCTTGACTGTAGTGGTAAGCCTGTCTTCTACTCTTGCCCAGGGGCTCTCAGGGTTTTTTGACTTGGCCTTGCCTTATTTGGCTGCCTGGGTTCGGACAACACAATAATCAATGCTGTGTTTATTTTACCCTAGAATAAGCCATAGCTGGCTGAGCTGGTGTATAAGCCACCCTGTGGGAAGAGTGCTGAGCCACAATGGCTAATAAACAACTATGCCTTAAATGTGCTGTGCAAACCCAATCATAGAGTGGTTTCTCGCCCAAGTAAGTACAAGAATGGCTTTTTTAGGAAGAGTAATTAAATCCATTACCTGAAAATAAATATCACCTTTTCAAACACTTAAAACAAGTTTTGCAAGGGTCAGATTAAAGGTTTTCCATACCAAAGCTTCCACCAACTGTTGATTAGTGCCAAGCTGTGATTCGATGAGCAAATTTCATCTGCTCTCACCACAGGCTAGCTTGGGCATGCAGGTCTTTTCTGCATCCACTACCACACCCCCAAACAATCTTTCTCTGGGAAAACAAACTCCATCATCCTAGGTGCTACCTTTGCTGGAGCCGGGCTCTCACAGAAAGCACAGCTACTGGGGCCCTGCCTGTCCCTAGCGAAGCTTCTTCCCAAACAAGCAGCAGCTTCCACAACTTGGCAGATCGGTGTTTCCTGCAGAGAAAACACTTCCCCACACACTTTCCAGGGACACCTCAGCCAAAGTTGCACCACTTCCTAATCTCCGGTCTACAAGGAAAGGCTTCAGTCAGGCAAAGCCACTCCCAGAATGGCTGATAGCTGGCCTTGTGTAGCTATCCCTGTGTCCCATCTTTAACCGGCATTGCATGAAACCCCCAGGCATTTTGTGCCACCTGCTCTGGTGGCCGGGACTGGGCAACGCCCTTGTTTGGCTTTGTGTGTCTCTCGCATCCCCTGCTGGCAATCTTCCGGCATGCCCCAGATATGCTCTCTGGAAAAAACGCTCGGAGGCCGAGCCAGCGCCACTTGCTGGTTTACAAGTCTTCAAACAGGGTTAGGGTTAGGGAAGGCGTAGCAGAAAAGCATGCAAACTGGAGTGTGTGCTGCAAGCTCTGAGCACACCAATGCTTTTTGCTTTGGAAATGACACTGAGTAAATGGCAGGTATAGCTGGACCACAAACCAGGTCTCTGTCAGGTTTAACAAATGTGTGAACAGTACGCATGCATCTGCACAAAACGGAGCACGTTTCAGACAACTCGGCTCTAGAAGGTTTTGATTATTGCCCTGGGCAGTCAAAGAACCCCAGTGTGGGATTACATGAGACCAAAAATGATTCTAGGTCACTTATACATCAGTTTACATCAAACTTGCAGATAAATATGTAAAATACTCCCAGTTAGCCTGCTTCCTGCACAGCTATTATTGGGTTTGATTTGTATACCACCAAATAGCCAAATGTCTCTGGGCAGTGAACAATTTTAAAGAGGATCTGACTAGGATGGCCAGCCGCAAAAGAGATCGGGCTCCTGCACCACCACATTATAAACATTTCTATACCACCCTTGAGAAATTCTCTCTCAAGACAAAGCTTAAAACCATAAAATACAACCATATGCTGAAGCATAAGATAAAACCTTATGTCGAAAGCAGACTAAAACTGAACTAGGAACCAAGATAAAAGTGGGCAGCAGTGGAAAGTTCTGAAAATATTTTTAAACCTGAATGATAAAAAATCTGAGAAAATAAAGAGTCCTTCAGTTGGCAACAAAATTACCATCGTGCAGGCACCAGGCAAGCATCTCTGGAAGGTCATTCCAAAACTGAGGTGCCACCACTGAAAAGGCCCCCTCTATAGTAACAACCTGCCTCATCTTGCTCAGTGGGGTACCTAGAGAACAGCCAAGTGTCACTGCCACTTTGCAGAAGAGGGAACTTTAAGATATGCTTGTGGAAAGCCTCTCTTCTACACAGGTGTTAAAGATGCAGCAGGTGGGACCTCTGTGTTCTTTTGCTCTCAGTCATCCTAGATTTGATATGCTACTCACCTGAAGGACCCTGTTGACCCCCCCATGCATGTGACAAACAGCAAGGCTAACTAGATGTCTACACAAGCCTCCCCACCCCATCACATAAATTAAGTCAGCAGCATGTTCTAACTCACAACAAGTGTCCTTTATAAGCAGCTCTATGGATAGGAAGGTGACCTGAATGTTTTGGTACATTGGCATCAGCACCATACTCAAGCAGGAGAGAGACAGAATCTGGATTTCCTCCTCCAGCAGCTTCAAATAATATGGATGCATGATCAGATGCCTGGGAAAGGATGTTGGCTCCTAGGGGGAAAATAACCACAGGCATTTAATTCATATGCACAAATAATATTCTCAGGAGGTGAAAAATCTCAGTCTGAAAGTGAGTTCTTCAGCAAGAATTGTGGTAAAATGTTTGGATTTTTGTTACTGCAAGCTGGGGATATGGGACAAGTGTGGGAAAAAAGCAACAAGACAATCCTGAAGGAAAGCTTCTTGAGGCGAAAGAGGCTTCGCGCACCCTGCCCCTTTGCATGGCTCCCCCTGCTGCCCTCCTAGCAAACCTGCCTGACTTGTCCTGAACTGACACAGCACCGTCCATCCAGGATGTCACAGTTCAGAAGCCTGGAAAAGAGCAACTGTCCCATTTAATTGACAACTAGCCTCACCTTTGTCACAGCTTTGCAACTCAGGTGCCTTTAATGCACCTTTAAAATAACCTTACTTACCTACTATATGGACTATCCCGACCTGCTACTGCTGTCACGGCCTTTCAGCAAATATCTCCATGCTTGCTAGCAATTTACCCCATCGAATCTTTCTTCCCCTCCCAGCAAGTTAAAACCCACTTGACCAGCCAGTCGCAATCTCCACATCCAATTGCCATTGCAATTGAAGATAAAGTGCTGGCAAGCCATATCAAGATGACGCTTGAAGGTCACACACAATGCTGAAATCTGACTACCCACATTAACTTTCATTCCGGTATCTTAAGGGAAACCACATCACAGGGTGTGTACCTTTGGGACCCTTTCAAAACAGTGGCAGGTGCTGAGCTGGTAGTGTTTGTGAAGACAAAATGTAGCTTTATGTATTGGATAAACACACCGAATGTACCAGAGGGATCGTTTGCTTGGCCAACCATGTCTTGCCCACGTGCACACTTTAATCGTCGCTGCCCCCTCAGGGCTGCTGTGCGGACTACCAAAAGGTCCTTGCAAGTCCACAGGTGAGGTGGGCTTGCAAGGACTGACTGTACTGCATGCGTATTCCCAGGAGGAAGAGGGGCATCTTCAAGTATCCCATCGGCACTGCATGGAGCATTTCAGGTGGCTGTGTCCTTCTGCAAGAAGGCAGCCCAGGGTTATCAAGTCCTGCATTAGGCACCAGGAAGCGATTTCTGCACATAAGAGCAGTGCAGCCCAAGACCCTTCAAGCAACTTCTGGAAAATCATTAGGCCTAAGGGACACATTAAAAAGTCAAGGGATTGTATACAAATTCTCACCTTTGCGCAATAAAATTTCCAGAATTTCTGTATGCCCGTTCTGCGCTGCCAGCGCTAGAGGGGTGAGCTCATAGGAACTTCGTGGGTCTGGATCTGCTCTGGAGCAAAGAAGGAGTTCTACCATGTCTTTTAAGCCTAGCCTGGCTGCCTCATGTAAAGCTGTCCTCTTGTTGACACACTGCTGATTGATATTGGCACCAAACTGGATCAGCAAGGAAGCAATTTCATATGAGCCGTGTTTAATTGCTGTAAAATATTGGATTGGAAAGAGCAATATTAATCTGGAAGAGAACTGAATTTAAAAGCTTCTGTTTCCTGTGAAACTATGTTAGGATTTTTTTTTAAAAAAACCTCTACAAAGCTGGAACATGCTATTTATATATCACAGTAAAGGTCACATAGCACTGTGAGGAGCTAAACTTAGAGCCAAACTTTAAAAAAATCCTAGTTAAAAAAAAAACACCTGAAGCACAGATGCAGGTCACAGGATCTTGCTACTGTTTCAGGACTTTCCAGAAGCTGAAGCAGCTCCCTTGCATGGCCAAGCTTGTTGTCCCTTTAAACAGCGAGGGGGAAAATACCTTATCAAGGAGGAGCATCGCATGCCACTTGATCATAGCCGGGAATGGCCCAGTGATCAGCAGACTAGTTGGCTCTGCTTTTGGAGGCAGAATTTTCAGCACTTAAACACTGAGCCTCCATCTGGAGTGGCAACTAAAGAGGCTAGATCTGAGCACAGTCTCATGCGGTTATTTTTCCTTTAGAGAGTTGCTGTGCTCTCCAGTTTCTTCAGAAACCATCAAGATTTTCTGAGGCAAGCACTGGACTTTCTCCCCAGGGAACCTTACTCCATGAGGAGCTGCTGTAGCAGAAGGAAAGGCGCCTCAAAGTAAGTGGAACCCAACACAACTGTCCACTATCCCATTTGGCACAGGAACATGGCAGCTAGCCAAGAAAAGGCGATGAAGCACTCATAGGGTAGAGATGAGGGCAGACTGAGATACACTGACTTGGGTTCAGGTGACATGATAACCCACACTCAGGGGCTGCAATGGATTGAGTACTGGTTGTTTTTGAAATGTGGATTATTGTGTTGCCTGAACCCGGTTTCATGCAGAAGCCATGCTTTGTTAACCACAAGCAACCCAGGAAGAGAAACATGGTTTGTTGTTAGGCTGTGAGTGGCTTGCTCACAGTCAACAAACTATGGTTTGATATTACAGCTAGGTTCAGAAATGATAACTCATGCTTCAATACTCAATCCAAACTCAACCCTTGTGTTCTCTGAACCCAGTTTTCTTTCCTCCCTCTTGAGGCTGGACTGGGACAATCATAGGGTCAGGTTTGGCTCCTGTGGCTGAAGTTCTGCATTGCTGCCTTGGTCTTTTATCCTTATCAAACTTATCTGAATGAAGATCCCACTGATGTCAACATGGCTCCATAATAAGTGTTTGGAATCATAATGTCAAATGTCATTTCACAGCATTTCTAGTGTACCAGGGCCAGCTCACCCATGTCCCAGCAATGGATTCTGAAGTATTTACCTCCACCATTCCAAGCCTGAAGAGGCAGTATTGCTGGGGCAAGCAAAGCAGGGCAGAAACAGGCAATGGCACTAGGAGGGACGGGCATCAGAAAAGGGGAGGCAGGCAAGGGCCACATGGAAGAGCACAGGCAAGTTGGGTCAAACACGGCTCTGCCATTTGAGCAGCACTGTAATTGGTGATTGATTCCCAAGTCTTGTATAGAAAGAAAATATTTGATCTGCCTAAGCTATTTTAATGTAACCACAGCATTAAAATGATCCCAAATAAACTGCATAATTACAATTTACCAGTAATTAAAGCGGAGTCGCCTTCCTCATTCCTAACATCAGGATTAAAGCCATTGAGGAGCAGAAAATATACATTTTTCATAAGGCATCTGTCCACTGCTATAAACAGAGGAGTTTCTCCCTTCAGGTTTGTCTGTTGCCACGCACTGGAGTGTGAAGCTGAAAGACAGTCATGAGATAATGGACAAGTTTTCAAACACCGAGTTAGCACGCGAAGCAAGCATGAGAAAAACCCTTGGAGCCCACAGACAGTGCTACCTTGCAGTGTGATTTCCAGAATATTCTTGTCAGGTTGTGATGCCGCTTCATGTAAAGGAAGGCTGCCTTGTTCATCTGTCTCCAGAAAAGCAGTGCTATGCCTCGTCAATTCCATCAGAGCCTCTCTTTTGCCTGTTCAGTGTGTGAATGGTCAGAACACACGTTGCAAAGCATATTTATGCTACGTAATTCCAAAAATAGCTCGGAGCATTGTTATCCCTAATGAACATTTGTCAAAATAACAAAAAGGCTAGTTCACACATGCATGCCCATCACCTGGTAGCTTATTATGCATTAATTAATCTGGCTATTTAAGTGCCTGTGGGTACACACAACCATCATGTATAATAAGCTGTGCTGGCTGAGCATGTTGTCAAAACCCAGTGCTTTTCCCACAGGGTGATTTATAAGTCACCCCAACTAGCCATGGTTTGTTGTAGGGTATAAAAACCTTTCATGGCTTATTGCAGTGTCTGAGAACAGACAATAAACTAAGCCACAGGCAGGTCAAGTTGCTGGGAATATCTTGGTTCCCTTGCAGTGTCTCCTGGGATTCTGAGGGAGGACTGAGTGAGGAGAAAAAGAGAAGAGGCGGTACACGACCCCTGCAGTACCTGGTCATCTGTCAGGCACTGAAGAATTTTAACCAAAGTGCATGGTCAAAATTTCCAAGGGGTTTAATGAGTTGTCTGAACCCAGTCTGTGGGACATAAAGAAAACAAAACACCCCTCGCATTCTAAAAGCCCAAACAATCCCCCAAGGAAACCAAAACAGATACTTAACTGTCCGAATGGCACTGATTATCTTCCTATGATTGGTACTTGTCGAAAAATTGAAGCTGCAAAGAGAATCATCATCATCCTATTACATTTAAATCCAGGGTGAAATAATGAAATGAAGGTGAAGGAAAAGGCCATTTATTAAGATTCACATCTAGTATGCAACTATGGTACGGGTAAGGGACAATCTATGCATACTCACTAAACCCTTCTAGGGCATTCCAAGATTGAACAGATGGATTATCACTTGCCCTTTTAAATGTTTCACTCTAAAAATAAAATTTAAATACTCACCCAAAGAAAGGTAGCACTTTCTTGCAATCACTCCAGATAGATCGCATTTTTGCTTTTTGCCATCTAGAGGCGTTTTATTCTGGCTTAGTTTATCCAAGGAAATTTTGTATTTGGGTGGTCCTGGTCTTTATCCATTTGGAAGCAAAATGGGGGCACCAAAAACAGGCTATGATTTCTGCAACGCTGTGCAATCCCCAAGTACACACGTATGTTTGCAGATTAAGACCCCACCAAAGAGTCTGATCCTAACCCAAGCTCAGTGCCGTCCAGAACCTAATAACACTGAAAGCTACTGACGCTCAGAATCCAAAAAATGAGGCAATGAGCTGGAAGGGGAATTGTCCTGCCTCAGGATGCCTCCTTAACCGGCATCCTTTCTTGGAGCAAGGGATTAGGCCCAGGAGGATGCATACCTGCATTCCCTCTCTCTAAGCAGGGGTTTTATTATGGGGAAACACTTTCTTTTTCTAACTCGCTACACATCCCACTCCCAAATAATGAAGTGCTCAGGTTTGAGGTTGGCAGTCACTTCTAAGTCTGGACCCTTCTTGCTTCCACAGGCAGAGATTTCAGGAAGGTAGGAATGAAAAAAGCTGTTCTTCATCCTCCTTCAATCCATGCTACAACTTTCCTGCTCAGACTGGATGGTGCCCTGAACAAGACTCCTTGTGTTAGAGCAGAGCAGGCAGGCATTTCCAAATGTGAACCCTTTACCACTGAGTGTAGAACCTCTGGCCCAAGCTGACGCCACCTCTGTGGGTTCTGCCACCTTGCTGCTGCAAACCTCACCTCTTCCAACAGCTTTGCCCCTGCTGGAAGTTGCAGGGGGGTGGGGAGACAGAGAAGTGAACCTCGCTATGATCTCCAGTCACAGACTGAAAGTACAGAAAGGATTCCCCTGTGCTACAGAGTTGGGAGCCATAGGACTGCAACTTAGTGAATTCAGGAAGAACATAATTGCTGATTTGTACCCTGATAGTCTAGGTTGGCCAATTCCCTCTACAGCATTGAATAACATTTAAATATTAATCAGCAGTAATTAGCTGTGTTGTAAATATAATGGGAAGGAGAGGAACTGGGTATTAACTAGGAAATAGACAGACAGATATAAAAAAAAATATAGGCTGGATTCACTGTTGTAGGTATTAGAGTTTTCTGAAATAAAGTTAGTTGGGTGGCTCTGTCAAGGAGTCCAGGATTATCACATTACTTAAATAATTTGATTTACTTTCAAGTAAATATGTTTCTGCTCAACTTTCCTACCAGCACAAAATACGTGTTTGAAAAAGTACAGAGAACTATCCCACTCCCACAAAAAACAAAAACAAAAATCCAAGAAAAGTATGTTGTGACCAGATGATGGCAATATTTTCCTAGACTATGAAGAATGAGAAAAGTCACTCAGAGAGCCTATTAAAGGAACGGGTGACAATTTTTAGGCATGCAATTTCTCATTTTCTCAGGGCCTGCCAAATAGTCATTCTACAGTTATTAATAATTTCTGTCTTGTTGGGGGAGCAGCTTCATTTTCCACAGAAAATAGGTAACACAGATTACTAAAAAAATGTCCCAGGAAAGAGACAAAAGAAAATGCTGAGCAAAACCAAGAAAGTTATGCCCCTCTCCCTTTTGAAAACTCTACATGAGTAACTGGAGTTGTTTTCCCACCAGTCTATGTCTCAATTCACCTTTAGTTTGCTCATTTTTGATCAAGTATTTTCATTCTTACTTTTTATTAACATGATGCAGCCACAACTGCACCTAAAAAAATTCCCTGATGTATTCGGAATTCAACATCCAAAAGTATTAGAATATACTTCATCATTGTACCTTATCATAAAGTCCCACAGTGGGGGATTTTACACCCAAAATTCTATGTGAAAAACTGGAAACACAATTATGACATCTGCTGGAGTTTTTTTGCTTTTGCTCATTTTTTCCTGGATGCAAGACGAAAGTTAAAACAAAGAGACACAACCTGGCAAAAGCTAAATGCTTTCTAGTTCCATTGATTTCAATTGAAGAACTTAATCTATAAAATAATCTGAAGGCACAAGGCAGTTCTGCAGCTAAAGACAAGCTGGAGTGGTTCTGTAAAGGGCCCACACAGGGACCTACCTCAGCTCTGTAGATTCACCTTCTTTTTCCTTGGAGGAGCAATAGGATATGCCTGTTTAATAATTTGATTGATTTTGCAGTGTTTCACTTTCACTCAATACATTATAATCCTCTACCTGGCTACAGCATATTTCTGCATAACAATTCAATATTAGCATGGATAAAAATCACATGCATATAAAAATATTCTGTGAATAGGCACAGGGCTGCACCTTAAAAGGTCACTGCCAGTGGCATTTCCTGTTCCTCAGCATGCATCCCAAGTAAGCTTAAGGGGGTTCAGGGCACAGAACTGGAGAATGCAGGGTGGGGCAGGGTTGTAGGAAAAAAGGAAGGAAAGGAAACCCCCGTTTCACTGCTGGAGGTCTGCTTGTGTAAGGTAGGGTTTAGCCCATAGCCTTCTGTGCCAGTCACTCCATAGCTGCTACTATGAACAGTATCCAGAGCACTTCTGTCATTTGTTTTTTAACCTAGCACACAACCTAAAATTGTCTTCTTCTTCATTCATATAAGAGCTGTCAAGTTTCTCTTTACTTTTGCTTTCCACTGTTGAGAAACCTGAACAATTTGCTTAAGGATAGAAATGGTTCTGATGGTAACAGTTAGATTTTATATTTTTTTAAATAGAACAACCACTTTTCCCTTCTTTTGGGGATCTGTTGGGAGAGTCTTGGGTACACCTCATACTGATTCAGTACTTGGCAGAGCCTCATTTGAATGTCTACCCCGTGCCCCCACTTTCCATCTTAAGACAACAGTCTGATACAGACTTTGTGGCTTGCAGATCATCTGCTTTTCCCCTTCCCTGACCACCTTTTATTTTGCTTTAACATCTTTAACAATGAAGAGTTGTCTAGGACCCAAAAGCTTGCACTGTATTTTGTGACTGTCGGCTTGGCCAAATAAAAAGTATTATTACATGGAAATGGACGCTGCAGTTTTCCTTTTGGCCAACATGACCTCTTTTGCCTATACATACCTGCCTTTCTCTGCTGTAGCCACAGCCGTGCTTTTATGGATTTCCTGCAAACTCTGTTGAATGACATGCTGAGTAGGAATGTCATCATCAACATCTTCATCATATGTATTTGTAGTATTATACATGTTAAAAGCACATGTCTTCGATCTCTCAGCCAAGCAAGGTTAAGTAGTTGTTCTATGTTGTCCACTTCTTAGGTTTCTTCTACTTTTGCTTAAACATGAGTAGCTATATACATGGAAAGAAAGATATGCAATGATAAACTAACCTGTTTAATTGCATTTCTCTTCTCATTTGCTAAGAAACAATGTATTGTAAGCAGCCTAGAAAGGGCTTGGCAGCCTATAAATACAAGTATAAATGAATAAATAAATAGACACAGAACTCTTAAACGACACATTTCAATCAATCTATTTTTGAGCATCAACATGAGATTTTTCGCTTGACAGGAAAAAGGCCCTCTGGCCATACTAGTCTCACATCAGGCATGATGGTGAGAAAAAGCTGGTGCTTCTGTCTAGGCTTTTGCTTAATTATGGCTACTGGTGACACACAGCTGTACGACTCGATTCTAATGCCTAAGTTTCCCTTTGTCACACCAGACTTTGGTATCCTTGCTTAATGGACTAAACTGCTGGTCCATTCAATAAAGTAATTACTGATGCAGCTGAGAACATCAGAGGCAGACATGGTGTTCATATTCAATGACATATGTATAATATGCCTGAAGTGGTTCCAATCCTAATTTTCAAATACTGCAGACAGGGTGGTCAGGAGATCCATTATGTAACATTCTATTTTGAGCTGTTGGTGTATGTATAACTAGCACACTGACATCTGGAAGAGCGGACCCAAGACCAAAGCAACTGGTTACAGTCGGGTCCCATCACAATTTCATGAAAGAAGTTGCTTAAGCTAAACAGTTGTGCACACAGACAAATGAACACTGGCTTGGGACATGTTCCTGCTGAGGCACCTTCACAGAAATTGCTCCCCATTTTACACCATGACATGAGCATTTTCACACTGTGAACATTTAGTCAACAGGCCAATTGAAAATAAAAGTAATACAAGTTTTAATCTGCACATTCCAATTCTTTGTAATACAATCACATAAAACTGCCAGGACCGTAAAAGCTTATTAGTCAAAAACCTCAGAAACTCTATAAAGACTAACCCAGGAAAGAAGGCAATATGAACAGAATAGCACCTGATTTCAGCATTGTGGCAATATCACTGGCTACATGACTTCCTGATATATCAAAATCTATCGCAGAGAGTTATTGCTACAACAATATAGAAACTGAACCAAAGAAAACTTAAGGAAGACATTATACAATCCTGGAAGTTATGCCAAACCAAACAAATTAATTTTGTATAAACAATATAGAATTAATGAGAGAAACAGTAGCATATATCTTGCCTGTGGATCCACGTAGAGTTAGTTGATTCAGTGGAGGAGAAAGACTTTGTTCGTGTCAATATCTTGAGTTTAACTGCATTAAACATCAAAACTTATATCTAAAATCAAATTGTGTAAAAATAGTAAAGTTGTAAAACTGATTAAAATGAAAATTTGGTGGAATGGAAGATTACTATGTAAGAAACTTGAAATACATATTTATGCTGCTTCAACAAGCATTTAATGTGATTTCTTAAGGATTTGCACTTTGCATATATTTATCTTGCAGTATAGCATTAAAAAGGGCACATCAACAAGGAATGAAATAGATTATATGTGAGACTTACATTTATTAATGGCAAAAGTCCTCTGAATCTGGCTTGGGATCTGGATTGTCCCAGTTTCTTTTGGTTTAAAGATTTTAATAAGCAAATTACCGAATGGATAAATTACTGGTCAGAGAAGTTAAACAAGCTAATATAAGCTTAAACCTCCCCTCCCCCTCCCATGCTCTTCCTTCCCACTGACCTATTCCCCCACTGGCCTTTAATCAGCCTATATAACCTGTGCAGGTAGCACATTAATTCGGTAATTTCCATTTTTAAATGCAACATCAGAATTTCAGAATAAAACTGGTAAGAATTTAACCCATAAATAAAATGAAATAACCAAGAGCTGCAGAGAAAATGGAATTTTTTACTTATTGATAGATGAGCACTGACATCTGCAGTAGAGATCCGATTCCTTGTAGAAAGTATTAGCTTTGCTCTGCAAATTGCAAATACTAAATTTTATTACTATTCAGTCCCTCTCATATATTGAAAAAATAGCTCTAGAACTTTTCCCATAAATACAAACAACTTAAATATTTGAAAAAGTGTTACAAGCATTTTAAAATTAAGTAGATTATAGACAGTTTGAAACAGAAGATTTACCCATTCATCAAACTTTTTCTTTACACCGATATATAAAATTAGGACAACATGAAAAGAAGTACATACATTTATAACTGTTGCAACAAGGTTTAACAATATGCCAATACATACATACTTTTAACATTTTTATTCTTGCTTTTGGGAACAGCTTACAAAGTTAAACCTTTACAGAAATTATGTTAAAAGACAACAGTATACATTCTCCTCACCTTTCTTCTATATTTGAAACAGAGAAGAACTCACACTCTAAGCAAGTGAAAACTAAGTATGACGTTTGATGTATTGAAAAATGATCTTTTGCTTCTTGCATAGTCCATATCCATTAATAACTTACTATAAATATCTGACCATAAGACACGCTGTCTTGCCCACAAGTTTCTTAACAGTATTCAGAGGTATGAGCCTCAGTCAAAAAAGATCAAAAGGCCAGACATTTTAATCATAATATTCCAGCTACAATTAAGGGAGAGAAAATAGATTTATGAATGGTACTTGCTCAGAAAAATCCTAACTGCATGGACATGAAATCAAAGCAGCTCTCAACAGATAACATATTTAAAGTTGAGAAGCTATTTTGTATCGGACAACAAAACAGAAGCTATTTTGAGAAGCTATTTTGTATTGGACAACAAAAGTAGTCAACAAATTTGTCTACCTTTTATAAACTTGGGAAATGGACAATTTAAAATATTTTAAGTCTGACTGATTTTTAATGGAAAAGGGATAAGAATATCCTTAGTTCTTATTGAAATCAGTACTACTTAAATAAACATTGATTGGATTGCATTGCAATAACCAAATCCAGCATTAATTTTGAAAAAGAAAGTTAATGTGCTAACTTATGTATCCATTTTTCCAAGGATCTGTACTTGAGTGGGCATAAACAACTCTGTGCTAGGATAATGCTACGTCATGCTATCATCCTTTACCTTAAAAAACCCTCTTCATTGTTTTACCAACCCTTTTCAGAGGAACAATACTTAGCTAAATTATCTTCACAATTCTTCTAACTTCAGTTTCTCCCAGTGCCTCAAGTTACCAACTGGTGACAAAGCACTGATTGTGCTCATAGCTGGTGACCATCTTCTAGGATATTGAGCACAACTGGAGGGATTATCTTGCCTAAAGGTATTTTGGCCATGATAGGGCCTGTTACACAAGCATAGGTCATGTGCCTAACATTCCAAGTCATGCACACTAATCAGTCCCTATGAGATGCTTCTCAATTTCTGTTTGTGCAGTAAAACTTCCATGTGAATTATGCTGTATGTAGTGAGAACACTGAACTATTTATGCTATCACAACAGCACTTTCTACAGTATGATCTCAGAAATATCAGATCTTGCACTCTGTTGTTTTTTAGTCCAGATAAAATTTCAACAGACGTAAGTTCTACTGATTTCAATGGATTTCTATTAATTTAAATAAATGTCAGTAAGACTAACTTTAACTAGGCAAGAACAGTAACATTTCTCCAGAAACAGATATGATCATAATGTATGGAAGATATTGTGCCAATAAAAAGTTCAAAAAGAACTTTTTCCATATAAAATGTTGAAAGACTACCAGATTTGATTAAAATCATATGAAGCCTGAGAATTCTGTTTGTGTTACACAGCGGAACTCACAGTAAAACAAATACAGAGCATTTGTTAGGCTCTGTAAGCACAATTGTTTTCACTAATGTTAAACTGCTTGGAGGGCCCTCAGGCCAATTTGGCAGAAAATAAGTAAGTCAATAAATAAATTAACTAACGAACTGCACATTTAAAACAAATAGAATTCAGAAGTGCTTAGTTTGGGCTATACAGTGTCTATACCTGTCACTTAAACCACTGTTACTTTCTTTATTGAAAATTATTTTAATAATGTAGTGGGTCATACATTTCTGTTTCAAATTGTGTTATAATGCAGGGTTGGATCCAGAGTTTGTACCCAGTAGCAGGAACTTTCTGAGCAGAGTTATGCTCAGGAGTTTCTGGCCTGCGGACCAGGTGATGGAGAGGGTTTTTACTAGTCTCCCCACTCCCCCTGAAGCTACCTCCCAAATCCCTTTCCCTCCCTTTCCATACCTTCCAGATTGTATTTTGGGAGGCACAGAAAAGTGCAGGGAGGAATGTGAACACTGTCACTTCTCCTGTTCCACCAGAGGAAATACTCTACTGGATCAAAAGCTTTCTGAGGATGAATGAATCCCTTCTATTTACAGAAGGCAAGATCTAGGTCCAAGCCATTAATTGTGTATCTTAAATGCTGAGCGAAAGAAACAGCAGGAGGAATATTATCCTTCAACAACTTCAGAATGTTTGATTATACATTAAGCCATACTGCATACTAACAAATAACATTCATATTAAAAGAGTAAAAATACATTAATATTTTATATAGACATGACTATTTAATCATTAATTCAAATTATCACTAATTTAGAAGTCCAAATTATCAAAACATGTCCATAAAGAAACTTAAGGAAAGAATGCATATTTGAAAAAATACAAGTTATAGTCTTCTCATATTTGATCTTGAGTTCTACAAAATTAGTCATCCAGTTGGCAAAGCAAAGCGACCCCTCGCTTAATCCAGTGCTGGACCGGTTTATCAGTTAATAGCATTAATGCAATGACAAAGTTAGTAGAATGTCCAGTTGTTGAAAGGGTTCCTTTACGCTCACTTGTCTTGTAGAGTGGACATACATAGGCATTTGATTTCTTTATGTCTGATTTTTTTGCTTCAAGGAAAGAAGAGTAAATATGATGCTGTCAGTTAAAAACATTGTGAATATTGTACTGCGTGATGCTTTTATTCAGTGGAGTCAAATGAATCAAAACTCACTATTTAATTCTATTTAAACCACAACTTATATACTACATTGTAACACAGAAGAGTCAGTTTGATCAAGAACCAGAAGAAACACCCCAACAGGATGCATTTGTGGCTGAATTGCACTTATTTATAGTTCTCAGGTTAGAGAGTAAATGTTTGAACTTACATGAACAAATATCGGGGAGGAAATTGTAGCAGTCTTGATGTGCCAGATTTGAAGATATTGGAAGGTAGCTTTTTACATCACTCATGCATTATATACGCATATACAATCTTTCAACTCAGTATGTTCTCAAGATGGTTAACAACAATTAGAGAATAAAATCAAATGATACCTCAACATCTCTGTTGGTTAATTCTGGTCTGAGTGATACTTAGGAGTATACCCACTGAAATCTGTCTAAACTTAGTCATAATTAAGTTAGTCACAATAACTAACTAAATAGCAACTCACCACTACTATCAAATTATTGGATCCTAAAGAAATGAGTGGGATCATATGGAAGAAGATGAACCTTCATGTATGCTAGTCTCAAGCTGTTTATATAGCATTACAAAAAAGGCAGCCCCCTGAATTGTGCCAAGAAACAAACTAAGAGTCAGTTTGCTCTTCTGCATATTTTAACAAAGATCAAATTTACTTACTAGGTTTAATCCAAATAATTGGCATCAGATCAAAGAGTATTTTAGGGTGTTGTTCACTTAGGAGTCCCCTAGTGAAAGAAATGAAAGCATATGAAAAGGCAATCTTAAAATAATGTACATATAATAATAGAATATATATCTGTGTTGGATAATTTAATATAGGAGGAACTGTAAAAGATAGATTAGAAATACATATGGCAAAGAAAAAATAATTTGAAGAAAATAATTCAGTTAAAGGAATTGAGGAAGCTTCAGTCTATCTATAATCACATCCAGCTGTCATGAATCTGAACTTTCATCATGAATAAAAAAATTGTTCTAATATAAACTTCTGCTTATGTTCACGATTGTAAATTGTCTAAAGAGCTTCAGCTATTGGGCAATATAGAAATAAAATAAATGAAATGAATAAATTTTCGCTCTAATGAGCTAATGATGCTCCCTCACTAAGTTCAGTTGACCTGCACAAACAATTAATAAGGGAAAGCATTCCAGCTGGAAAAGGTGCAAGTGGTGTTTATTTCCTGACATTTCAAAGTAACATGGAATTATGAGTTGCTATGGTAATATGCTATGCAAGTACCACAACTCTTGGGAATGTTTGTACAGTATTATCCTACTTCTGTAAGGAATTTCCTTTAGATGACCTGGACTAATAATACATTCTATTTTATCTATAAAAATGCTTCTCATGACCAGAATTAAGTATTTCCTGGTCCTTTCCTTTCCTTTCTAGTGTGTTAAATTAAAAGAAAAGTACTGCCCATAAAACTGATTTCTGTGTTAAAATATATATGCCAAAATATGAAACATGCTCAGTGCCAGCATGAAGGGAAATGCACGGGCAAGGACTTGAACAAGGTCAAATTTTCTGAAATACTGACTTTGCTCTATCCCAGCGAGCCCCATCAAGGAATAATCCATGGATATAAACACCATCTTCTGGAGTAACATTGGAAGTGTCCTTAGGTATAACCTGAATGAAATGGAAAGAGTAATACTTTTTTCAACAGAGTTTTGCTTCATAACATAATCTTTCATATTCAAGACCTAATCCACAGCATGGGTATGACAATCTCTCTGTTTAACAGAGGATCAGCAGTGCAAGATTTGACAGAACTCATATGGGCTTTAATGTTTGCAAACCACCCAGAGAGCCCTCAATCTATCTGAAAATATATCTAAAATGACCTCTAGCTCTCCCTTAATGGTGGGTACCCACTCAGTAACAAATCCAGACTGTATTATAGGGTAATATAATATTCACAACAGGATATTATCACACTATATTCAATTGTATGTGGAGCTCTATATTAAGCACTCTGTTTGAGTTTCTCTTTCAGCTACTTATGGATAAACAGTATCACAGAAGTGCTGAATATTTGACATGGAAGCAAGCCCAACTGCTGTTGAAAGTCCCTCTAGACCAGAGGTCGGCAACCTTAAACACTCAAAGAGCCATTTGTTTCCCACAGGAAAGCGCCGGGAGTCACAAAACCCTTTTGACATCTAAAATGAAGATAAGACTGCATATATAAAGGTTTTTTACCTTTATGCTATGTATAAAAAAACTGTAGTGTGTTGCATTTATGAAATCAATGAATGATTCTTTTATATAATCTCCATCTGTGAACGGCTTCCCGTGCCTGACTATTTCCTGAGCGGCCACAAAACTAGCATATGTAGTTGAACTTGCAGACTTAATCCACTTCTTGAAATGATTCTTGCTCAGATCAACCTTCCGCATCAGTTCCGAAATGGCTTTTTTTGTCTTGTCTCCATCCGGATATTTTTCAGCAAAGGCTGTGTGTTTATTCTGGAAATGTCTTGCAACAATCGACTTTTTGTTGTTTGCCAGTTTCTCACCACATATTAAGCATACTGGCAAACCAGTCTCATCAGCAGTGAAAGCAAATGAATCTGCCCACGTACCATTAAACGCTCTGTTTTCTTCTGAAACTTTTCTTTTCTTGGATTTATCCATGGTTGGCCTACCAGGGGTCGAAAAGCTCAATAAACTGCGTGCCAGTGGGTGTCACACATTGGCGGTTGTGACGCTTATTTTGAACAACAAGGAGCCGCAGCAGAGGGATGAAAGAGCCACATGTGGCTCCGAAGCCACGGGTTGCAGACCCCTGCTCTAAACCCACTAGTGGTTTGCCATATCTATGAGAAATCTATGGCCACAGTCTTGCTGGGAAAGCAGAGCTAGTTGTACCATTCTTTCAGCCCTCATCAGACTATGCCACTGTATTATCAATCAAGATTTTGATCCCACATCAAAGCAGGTACAGGTATAAAAACTATGGATAAATGCATTAGTTTGATTCTTCCTTCTGCTGGTCAAATTCATTTGTAAACTGCAATTGAGTTATACCTGAAATTCATATCCCAGTAGATCAATAGGGATAGTGTACTTCCGGGCATAGTTCTGCATCGCTCCAGTTAAAAAAGCTTGCGTAAAAAAGAAACCCGACAGCCAAAACACACAGGGCTTGCCAGAGTCATACCAATCCTTGAAAAAGAACAAGAAGAATGTATTTTAAAATCTGAGCTATAAACTAACAAATCATGTTAGCAATATCTACCAGTAAAAAGATCAGTTACAGACAAGATTTCCCAGATAAATTCCAAAACTTAAGAGTTCATAATTTGATTCACTCATCAAAAATTTTAAATACTGTGAATTCTTGTTGCTTTACCTGTAAAAATTTCAACCTAGCCAGGAAATCAAGGATATAACTCCCCAATGGTTTCAAACTTGGGTATGAACGCTTAGCCCAGTTCTCTGCAACTTTTCCAATAAGAAGACTGGCACAAAGGGCTTCCAACTCAGAATCCATCACAACCAATCCTTTAATGGCTTTCTTTAAATTCACCAAAGTTGTACGTATGGTTCGTATTAAACTAAATGTGCAATAAAAAGCAGAGAAACTAAAAATGACAACATTTAAATGATTTGCAAATGGTAATATGTACTATTTATTAAGAATATTTGTACCCCATCCTTCATGAGACATCCCAGGATGCCTTACAACAATAAATAAATCACAACAAAGTACAATACTGAGCATGCAATATTAAAACCTAATTAAAATGACTGAATATTAAAATAATGGGCAAATAATGTTTTTGCCTGGTGCTGAAAAGAATGTAATGCCAGCGCCAGGCAAACCTCTCTGGGGAGCATATTCCACAGTCAGGGCACCACCGCAGAGAAGGCCCTCCTCTGGGTATTCACCCTCCTAACCTTCAAGGAGTGTCCCTGGAGCAGGGCCTCTGCCTTAGATCTTAAGGGGTAGGAGGGCATATAAGGAAGAAGATGTTCCTTCAGGTATCCAGGACCCAAGCCATTTAGGGCTTTATAGGTCATCACCAGCACCTTAAATCGGGCCCAGACTTCAATCAGCAGCCAGTGTAGTTGATAGAGGACCGGTGTTATATGAGAATAATGACCAGTCCCTGTCAACAATCTGGCCGCTCTATTTTGAACCAATTGAAGTATCCGGACTGTCTTTAAGGGCAGCTCCATGTAGAGCGTGTTACAATAATCCAACCTCAAACTAACCTCAAACATGATACTGCAATGTTATGATGGCTTCAAAACAAGTGTAATTCGATTGAGACTAGTGTAGAATTAAGAGGCTGAATAAAATCTTTGAAAGTACCCCAAGAAAAAGAAAGGAAAAACAGAAGCCCAAAAATATAAATAAGGTAAACAAAGCACTTACTTGTTAAAACGCTCCATTTCTTGTACCAGCACAGTATTCATGCTTTCCTCATATTTCACAGGATACTTAAGGAGTGCCGCTTCAATATCATAATCACCTGGAAGCTAAAAATTTTGACAAACTCATTCTCAATTTGTTTCCAAAAAGAAGTCAGTTTTAATTAATTATGTAATAAAATAATCAGAAAACTCATGGTGAATGATCATGATATCAGTAGCATTCTAACTGCTAGCCAAATGGATATCAACTGGATTTAGGATTAACTCTTGTCCTTCTGGTGCTTGCATACCACTCAGTGTGGCTAATAACAATTAAAACAAACCATGCAGAACAATAATATCTTAAGAACAACAGCATAATAAAATAATCTGCTTAGGCAGATTCATCAGATAAAAACAAAGATGTGATAAAATCCAGTCATTCACTAGAACAAATGCCTGCTGTTTGCTATGCAATTGTGCTAAAAATAATCCCAACCAACATTCTTGGGCAGGAAATTTCAAATTTTAGGTTGGGCTACAGAAAAGGTCCAATTTTGTGTCCTCATCAAATGTGCTAGAGCTGGAACATAAAAAAGGCTTCTCTGTCAGATCTTAGGGTACAGGAAGAGGCAGTCCCTAAGCCATCCTAGTCCTAAGCCATTTAGGGCTATAGAATTGAGAACCTCACCCTCTGAATTTTGCCTGGAAACAAACTGGCAACCTTACAGGACAGATGTGACATGATGCAGCAAACAAGCAAACAGCTGCCAACACTCTTCTTGTAGATTTCTGGACAAGTTGCAGTAGAGATGCACACAGTATGACTCCTGTAATATATGCTCAACCTGTACACTGGCATAGGAGATTGGTATAAATGGTATCATGCCTCCATCCCTTTCTTCATCAAAAGGAACTCCTCAATAAGGAGTTGTCTTGGAATTAGCAAGGGGGAGGTTTGGAGGACTACTAAGCAATATAAAATAAATTAAATTTGATAGTAACAGAATAATTGTGGGTCAGACATCATACAATTAATTATTTGATTTGGCTTTTATTACCTTGCTAAGGATGTCATCTGCAATTTCATATAATGCACTATCACCACCACCGGAGGATCCTCCTTGTGTACTTCCTCCTTGTGTAAGTAGCAGAGATTCAAAGAGTATTTTTGTTTGCTGGAGATCTTTTGATATATCTACGTTGTCATGCAATCCAAACACTTCTGGTTGCTGACTAATAGGGAGATTCTAGGACAAAATGAATTAAGTTAGTGAGTGGAATAAAGAGTTCCTTCAATTCGAGCTAGTACCATTAGTGGAGGACTTGGTAAGCATTTCTTAGCAGATATTTCAACTGGCTAAGAAGCTGAGCAATGAACTAGAAAATCCCTGTTCAATTTCCACCTCTTCTATGCACTGACTAGATGGCCTGAGGCAAACTTTCATTTCCCAACTTAACTTCCCACCTGCAACATAGGGATAAAACAGGGCTGCTTCTAGGGAGGAGCAAAGTGGGTGGTTACCTAGTACGCTAAAAGAGTCAAGGTACCAATCACCAGCAAGGAAGTGGCAGTAGCGGTCAGAAAAGCCTTGGTATGCAATAAAGGAAAGTGCTGCATTGGCCAGTGCTGCATTGGCTGCATCAATGCACCATTTTAAAGCACAATACTTTCACAGGTAAAACCATCAACTCACTAACTTTGGAGTGCATGGAGCCAATCCCTGCAGCAGTTAGAAGTTTCTCCTCCCACTGCTCCAGTGACCTTATTCCTTGTATGTTCTTAAGCAGCATCTGTTTAGTTCAGCCTGCTGCCATTCTCACACTAATGGAAACATTTTACTTTAAAATGGTGTATCTCCAGGCTGCACTGGCCAATGCAGTGTATTCTCATATACTGACCACCAGAGCCACAAGCATCTGCTTCCACTGCTGGGAAAGGGGGCAAAACACATGGCGCTTGCTGCATGGAGGGAGCAATACTTTGACTAACACCTTTTCCCAAAATCCCCCCTTCCCAATTAACTTTATACAGAGATTATGGTGTGTGCTGAACCTCTGCTCCAATGACCTCTGTAATTTTTTTGAAGCTCCTTTCCAGCTTCAAAAGAATTAGTTATGGTAAGGAACGTTTGTAAAGATGCTGAGTGAAAGATATGAATGTCAGATGATTTGCTGACTGGCTCTCAGGATACGATTTCATTATCTTCGTATTTTCGTGTCTCGTTTTGTAATGGGTGACTGACTTTTTATTTTCTGTTGTTGTTCTAAAGATATGTATCACTGCTTTTCACTCATGAAAGAGACACTTGATTCTGTGCATAATGGCACTTGCTTGTGGAACAGAAGAAAGTATGTCCAAAGACATGTTAATGTGCCCTCCAACCCCCACCAAATAACAGAAAGTGAAAAGGTGAAAAGGGGTCTCATGTTGCAGGTTGGGCACCAGAGATGGTTCATCAAATGCCATACGAAATTGCATATAATCTGAGAGAGACAAAAAGATACCTTAATAAAGTCAATGTAGTCATCATAGGAGCCCCTCGGTGGAGCATAGTAGTTACCACTAGGAGAAAAGGGATACCGAGGATTCTCAATTATTTCTGGGTTGTAAAAGTCAGCAAGCATAGTTAATAGTAGGCGCCTGTCCCAATCATCTGTTACTCTTCCTCCATAGTTGCACTCTCCCGTAAGGTAAGATATTGCTTCAAATGGAACATGTTCATATTCATTTATAAACAACTGCAATTGAAAATAAAAGAGGATTGAAAAGACTTCAAGCTATGCTATGACTTGTTCTTGCTGTAACAGATCAACAAAATCCACACACTGTAGATGAATAAATTAAACAACTCGTTTCCTCCTATAATTATTTACTACTTGTATTTCACATGTTCTATTTTTTTCTTTTCAGTGTGAAGATGGAGACAGGTTCAGAAAACATGTTAAGTTATAGTGGCATTCAAGTCACGGTGGTTTAGAACTTTGTCTGAACCCAGCACCCTTCCACAGGGTGGTCGGTTTGTAGGGTTCAATAAGTCCACTGTGGCTTATTGTGCTGTCATAACCCATAGTCATGTAAAAAAAACCAGAACTTCAAGGTGCTATGGGTGATAACCTTTCCCAAACATCCCAAAGTGCCAAAGCAGCTCTGGGAGGACAGCTCACAAAGGCTTACCCCCTTCCCTGCAGATGAAGTGAACCATTCGGAGCTAGCTGTGACTTGACTTTATTGATTTATGCATTTAAGAGTGCAAAGCCAGAGATAAACATGTCTTTTCTGATCCTGTTTTAGGGCAAGTTGGAGGTGACCTCCTGAGGTGCCTTTGAGGAGCTGCCCAGATGTTTTTTAATTAAAGTATTCCTCCCTCCATTGTGCATGGAAACAAACTATCAATGTATGACTGGGAGGCCACTGTTGGCAGAAAGGGGCTGCATCTTCCACTGCAACACTATCACCTGGTTTCTTTGTGGGATTTCTGATGCTCAGATATCCCCCAATGTTAACAGTGCCTCGAAGCTGCTAGCAGCAGTGGGGTACTTCAAAACCTGGAGAAACCCCCTTGTAAAGATGTAGACTTATCTCTTTAAATCACAAACCTTGTGTCCCCTCTATTTTTCTAGCAGAGATTTTGGCAATGTTTTGAGAGGTTTCAGGATTCTTTATAGCAGAATATTGCTATTCATGTGATCCTTTCTTGCTCTGCACAAAGCACTGTTATAACATGCACATCAGAGCTGAATTGCACAGAAACTTGCCAGGAGGCAAAATACTTATTATTGCACTAATGTGCAGACTGTGGCCAAATCTCAGTGATAATGCAAGGGGGAAGGATGACTGCTTGGATAGTATTTAATTGTGTAGACTGATATACAATTGCAACAAAACGGAGAACTAATTATAATCCAGAGAAATATAAAAGAGACTGAATTAGTTCATGTTTCTTTGCTGCAGCCTTAGATTTGCTGTTGAAGGAATAATATGTAACTTTACCTGCAGTTGTCTTACACTGATACGCAAGTCGGATTCATTAAATCCATATGGAATATTCCATCCAAGAGGCCCAAATTTTTTCCTCTCTTGAACAAGGGCATGAAAAAAGCAAACTCCAAAGAGCAGCTTTTCCCATCTCTTTAGGGAAAAAGGAAAATAATTAGCTGACCCAAATGGAAACATAGCTATTTATATTTATTTAAGTTCTATAATGCCCAATATAGCCAAGGCTCTCTGGGCAGTTTACAATAGCCATAAATTGGTACTTAGATATAGACCTGTGAGGCCAGCACAATTTTCAGGAGAGCCCTTGATATCTGTGCGGCACCCTGCAGACTCCCATCTGGCAGTATGCAGAACAGACTTCATCGGTGGCGGCACCCTCCCTCTGGAATGACCTCAAACCTACAGCATACTAATGGAATCACATACCTCCTGAAAATTGCTTCTGGTTTCTCTAGCAAAGTTTGATTGGTGCAATGGGAGGTTATATGGTATTTGAACCAGGACCAGTGAGTTGTTTCAGGGCTGAACATTGTTCAGGAGCTGTATCACACTGATACACATCACTGTTTTGATGTTCTTTTGCTGTTTCCAAAAAGCAGAAGCAGCATCCACTGAGTATGCATCCCACAATTTGTCACTATGTTATATGAATTGATTAGCTTTGCTAAGTGTTACCACATTAATGACTTCTGGACTGGCAAAGACAATTGAATGGTTTTATTTGGAACAGAAAAAAAAAGATTAAAGTTCAACAGGATGAAAAAAAGAGAAAGGAGGCCGTACAGTACCAAATATTACATTATATTACTACACAGCTTGTCTATCTTGGATTACAGATTGGATTTTTAACTTTAATGAAAAACTAGTGAATTTGGAAATAGCAGATCTTGAAGAAGGAATACACAATCAATTTTGGACTAAGGAATCTATCAAAAAGGTTTTGACACCAAATAATAGTCATGCAGTTAGGGATGGTTTAATAAAAAATTGGTATTCTATAGCAAGAAGAATTAGTCCTTCAATTTCTTTAATGTCTCCAACAGAAGCATATTATGGAAAGTATTTAAGGAAAAATAATGATCTCATAACATATCACCTTTTTAGAAAGGACAGGAAGGGAAAGAGAGGTGGGGGCATGGCTTTATACGTCAGGGAAGGGACGTATTCGGCCAGGGTGACTTATTTTATTTTATATTGTTAACTTGTTTTATATTTTATTGTATTATATTTTGATTGATATCTTTGTGAGCCACCCCGAGGCTTCAGCGAATGGGGCAGCATAGAAATTTTCTAAATAAATAAATAAAATAAAATAAAATAAAATAAAATAAAATAAAATAAAATAGGATGCAGTGAGATAGAATGCAGCACAGATGGGGATTCAGCAGAAGCAGTCTGGGTGAAACTTAGGGGTTTTGACAGCGAAAGAGACCTGACAGTGAGGGTATGTTATAGCCCTCCAGGTCAACTTGAGACCCTGGATGATGTCCTGACAGACCAGATTCTAAGGATATCTCAGGGGAGAGACACAGTAATTACGGGAGATTTCAATCTCCCGGATATTACTTGGGAGACTCACTTGGCGGTGACAGCCAGGTCACGTCGCTTCCTAGAAGCTATAGAGGGAGGGTTTTTCACACAGAGGGTCTGAGAGGCGACGAGGGGGGGCAACATCCTTGACTTGGTCTTGACCAATAGGGAGGAGCTGATAGAGGAAGTACAGATTAGGGGAGCTCTGGATGCAAGTGATCACTCCATCCTTTGCTTTGAGATCAGGGGACTGGGGATGTGCAGCAGGTTGAGCACTAGAAGCTGGGACTTCAAGAGGGCCAACTTTGGCCAACTGAAGGCCAGACTGGGGAAAGTCTCCTGGGATAGGTTACTGGAAGATAAGCGAGTTGAGGAGGGGTGGATAGCACTCAAAAGGGAGGTTTTGGAGGCACAAGCCTTGACGATACCTCTAGTCAGTAAGGTGGGGAGGTGAAGGAGAGTGCCGCCATGGATGTGAAAGGAGGTGGTTAAAGGGATTAGACGAAGGAGGAACCTCCGTAGGAAATGGGTATTGGGGGAAATAGACAAAAGGGTATACCGGGAGGAGGAGGCCCGTTGCAGAAGAATTCTTCGCAAGGCTAAGGCTGATTACGAGCTGAGACTTGCCAAGAATATCAAGAGCAACAAAAAGGGCTTCTTTCAGCATGTAAACAGGAAGAGGAAGGGGAGACAAGTGGTGGGACCACTAAATAAAGAGGAAGGAGATCCAATGACTGATATGAGGGAACAGGCACAGATGCTAAATGACTGTTTTGCCTCTGTGTTCTTCCCAAAGCAGGACGGGGGATATCCGCATAGGAGATTAGATGAGGCTGGGGACTTAGGGGCACAGATTAGAGTCACCCCCCTTCAAGTCGAGGGGCTCCTCAGGGCATTGGACATTACAAAGGCGCCAGGCCCTGACGGGTTACACCTGAAAGTACTTAGAGAGTTGGCAAGGGTTCTCTCATGCCCACTGGCCTCCATTTTTGAGACCTTGTGGAGAACAGGTGAAGTTCCAGAGGACTGGAGGGTGGCATCAGTGGTCCAAATTTTCAAAAAGGGTAGTAGAAAGGACATGGGGAATTACAGATCTGTTAGCCTTACGTCCATTGCAGGAAAAACAATGGAAAGGCTCGTAATAGCGAGAGATCAAGTGATGCTAGATAGGGAAGGGATGCTGACAGCCACACAACACGGCTTCCGCAAAAACAGGTCCTGCCAGACAAACCTTGAGGAATTCTATGACAAGGTTTCGAGATGGCTAGATGGAGGGGATGCAGTGGATGTGGTATACCTGGATTTCAGCAAGGCCTTTGACAAAGTGCCCCATGATATCCTGGTGGAGAAACTGAGGAGTTTTGGGATACACCAAAGCACTGTCCGGTGGATTAGGGCATGGTTGACTGACCGAAAGCAGAAGGTAACCATTAGTGGGGAATCATTGGGATGGCGGCCAGTAACAAGCGGGGTCCCCCAGGGCTCTGTCCTGGGGCCGATCCTGTTTAATCTTTTCATTAATGACATGGAAGAAGGGGTGAACAGTCTGCTGATCAAATTCGCAGACGATACTAAAACTGGAGCAATGGCCACAACTGAGGAGCAGGTACTCCAGATCCAAAAGGATCTGGACAGACTATGGAAGTGGGCAGGAGACAACAGGATGGCGTTCAATGTGGATAAGTGCAAGGTCTTGCCCTTGGGGCATAGGAATAGGTGTCATAAGTACAGGTTAGGTGACAAGTGGCTGGAGAGCAGCACTTGTGAAAGGGACCTCAGGGTACTGGTTGACTGCACGCTAAACATGAGTCAGCAGTGTGATGCGGTGGTCAAGAGGGCGAACGCCACCCTTGGTTGCATAGCCAGAAGTGTGGCTTCTAGATCAAGAGAGGTATTACTACCACTCTACATGACTCTGGTGCACCCGCAATTGCAGTATTTTCTTCAGTTTTGGGCCCCTCATTACAGAAAGAATATAGCCAGGTTGAAGTCAGTGCAGCGTAGGGCCACAAGGTTGGTGGCTGGTTTGCAGGGGATGCCATATGAGGCGAGACTGAGGGAACTGGGTCTCTTCAGCCTGGAGAAGAAGAGACTCAGAGGGGATATGTTGGCGACATACAGGTATATGAGGGGATGTCATATGGAGATGGGTAGAGACCTGTTCTCCCCTGCAGAGGAAGGCAGGACATGTTCCAAAGGAGCAAAGCTCAGGGAGCCAAGGTTCCATTTGGATGCCAGGAAGCACTTCCTGACAGTCAGGACCCCGAGGGTATGGAATGGGCTTCCACGAGAGGTCGTTGAGGCCGCATTGGTGAGGGTGTTCAAGGATAGGCTGGACGTCCATATGGTGGGCATGTCGTGAGCGGAGCCGGCTGGTGCCGGAGGTCAGACTAGATGGCCCGGGAGACCCCTTCTGACTCGCTCTGTTTCTATGTTTCTATATGGAAACATGGTTGATTAACAAGGATGAATTAGCCTTTGGCAAGAATTAAAAGATGAAAAAAAAAACACAGAATGGCTCTTTTACCATCAACTGGTTTCACAAGTAAAAAAAGAAACTCAAACACGAAAGGGTACAATAAGAACACTGATGGATTTTCAAATTATAATCAAACATCAAAAACACCATCTCCTAGAACAAATCTATAAACAACTGTTCTAATACAGTACTGACACTCAACAAGAAAAAACATGCTTGAAAAGCTGTATGCAGAATTTTGAAGATATATTGTCCTGTCAATGGAAAGTCCTATGGATGAAGGATATAAAATTCACTGCTAATCAAGAGAAAATTGGTATAAAACATACGTTCAGTGGTTTATTACTCTGAAAGACAAACAGGAAATGGATAAGAATTAAAATACAAATTTTGGAAATGTAAAGCAGTAGATGGGACTTCTTACTATATAGGGTGGATATGTGATGGGATCAAAAGAATTTTGAAGCGGACACAAGCAGAAATGCAGAAAATACTTAATATTGATTTTGCTATGAATGCCAAGAATATGCTACTGAGAATCATACCAGAGACTGTTTCAAAGATTATACTAGAGTTAACAGAGGCAAGAGTAACAATTGCTTCAAAGCGGAAAACTGAAGACTGTCCAACTGCTGAAGATTGGAAAAACAAGCTATCCAAGTAAGCAACAATAGCGAAACTATCCAATTATATTAACAGAAGACCAGCTAAAAAACTTATTGAAAGATGAAAAGTTTACTCTACTCAATTTAACTAACTGAAAAGAAATCAATTTTTACAAATGTCAGTGGTTTTTATTCTAATGCTAAAGCAATATTATTCACAATTAGTTTTATAAACTAATTGTATATCTCTGATTAAGAGTTGAATGATTTAAATGGGGCCACAGCTGACAGAAATGCTTGCTTTTTTATGAACATGTTCAAATTCTGAAAGTACATGTTATATTTGTGGAATAGCCCCTTGGCATCTTTTTCTTCTTTTCTAATAAATTTAAATGGCCAAGCTATGGGGGAAAAAACAATTTCTGAGAGAAATTACCAGCTCCTTTCCAGGGCACCCAGCGAAGAACACGGGATCACAAACAGGATCAGAGAGATAAGACTGAAGCAAGTTTAAACGAAGACCTGTAGGAGGCTCATTTGTCATCTTTACACCATTTTGTAGAATGGTTACTGGAAACTAATAAAACAAGCATGACAACAGTACTGCATTCAGATCTTTCCATTCTTATTTACAATTTCTATTCTATTGTGCAGCATAAACAATTTTCAAAACATTGTAAAATATCATAATGAATTCTGGTAGTCCTTTTGTCTCTTGATTTTTATTTTATGAATAATTTTTAGATTGTTCTTTAATTCAAAGATACCCATATTAAAGTAAACATTCAAATTTGATGACTATTAATATTCACATATTATACTTGACAATTCTTCACTAATGTAAATGTCAGCATTTATTCATGTCTATCTCCATTTTGCTTCTTATTTATTTCTGAAATACAGTATATTGCAGATTTATTGAACAGGTTCTTGTTGCAGCTTATATATATATACATACAATACACAACCCCCCCCCCACACACACACAAAACAAACGTAACATCAACAATTAAAACTTCTGTCACATAAACCTGGAACAGTTCCACGTACATCTGATAAAACCAATGAAGGCTGAACAGCTCATAACCTCTGAGAACAACAACAAATAAATCTACCATGTTCACTGAAAGGAAAAGGGGAATTAACTAGGTGGATTTCCTTGGTAAAAGATTGTACAATCAGGACACCACAACTAAGAGGTTCCTAATTCAAAGAGCATTGCATTTCAGATGGAGAAAGGACCCTAATCACAGTGTCCTTGAGCACTCTTGAGAAAGAGGGGGAAACATATGGGAGAAGATACTCCTTCAAGTATTCTATTCCTGTATTGTTTAGAGCATTATAAGTCAGGAACAGCCATTTGATTTTTCAAGCACAGTATTATACAGCCTGATATTATATGTTCCATGCAATATCACTCAATATCTCAGTTTAATATTTTTCTTAAAATGGTGTTTAAGAGATTGTTGCTTACCAAACATTTATCACAACAGCCAGATTTTTATCATTAGGGAGGACTGTGGCTGGTATATCAAGAGAAACTAAGGAGTAACTTAAGCAAGGAGTAGCAGATATGAGTTCAAAAAAATCCAAAAGCTGCACACCTGACCCATGCAAGACAAACCGTGATATAAATACACTACATGTGTGCATGTGAACACATACGTTTGCATGCATGTGACACACTATTTAGCCGTTAGGTGTAACCCCCCCCCCCACGCTGCCCACCCCGTCTAAGACAACTCTGTTAGACTGTACCACTCCAAGGACCTTATCCACCATCTTGGGCAGTAGCTGGAGCAGGGCTGGATCCTTATTGCCCCTAGTCAAGTCTCATAACAGAGTTCAGATTGTCCTTATCTAAAACCAAGTCCTAGTTGCTAGCTGTGCTACTAGAGAGCAATGTGGCATTTTAATAACAGCATATGCAAGGAGAAGAACCAACTGAAGTGCTATCTGCCGGGGAGAAATACACTGGTGAATGAGGAGAGCATCGCTGAGATGGCTGTTATTGTTCTGACAGTCAGGGTCGAGTTTTGAGGTTTCAGACAGTCAAAAACTTTGGAACTATCAATTTCCACATGTACTGTTAATGTTAATATCCTATTCCAGACACTTATGGCAACACATATCTATATTTTATGCTAGAGTACACTTAAAAATAATAGTGTACGTTTAATGTACATATATTTTTGTTCTGTTCACATTTTACTGGAGTGAAAAATGTATTTATTTTTGCATTGCTAAAACAGGCATAGAAGCATGGCAAAATCAGGAGCATCTGCTTTCAGAAAACCAACACTGAAAGGATTCAATTGAAAGACTTGATCACCTCTCTGCCAATGACCTTTATATGTGTGTTTCCGGGTTTTAATTGTAATTGTTTTGTAATTGTTTATTTATTTTTGTGAGGCGTACCGAGGCTATGTTGCAAGGGGACGGCATATAAAAACTTTAAATAAATAAATAAATAAATAAAATATATCACAGGTTTCTTTGTAAATACAGGACTGTAAAAAATAACAGTACTTTTATAAAGAAAATTAAAAATGAAAGCAATGCAACAGGAAAAAATGGCCCTGTTTGTATTAATATTGATAGTTCAAAAGGTGAGATTAGAGCATAATTGAAAGGAAGAGAAGCAAATTTCTTTTTTTAAAAGAATAGCTGAAATAAATGATCATTTACTAACTCAGTTCTCCATATTTGGTAAAGAGTAAGTCATTATTTCCCAAGAACATTTCTCATTCGAAGAGATTTGGAATAAAAAGTACCTTGGGTGATGGATAACTAGTCAGCCAGAGTCTGAACGTGTGATGACAAGTCTCAGTGTTAAACTCTTCACATATTTTCTCTAGCATTGGCATCCAGGAGACAGCAAGATGGCAGTTTTGTAAACAAACCCAGGTCCCTTCCTCCATTCCTTCTCTAATCATTTTTGCTGCTATTGGTCCCTGTCCTTGCCCCAGAGAGATAGACTGAAACTTGTTTCCAATCATATTTTTGTCATTTGCGAATTTCAGAAGGCCTGGCATGGAAGGTACAATAAATTAGTAATTGTTAACTTGAAAGCATTAATCACAAACTGCTATTCTGCATCCTTCCTATTTTTTAAGGCTGAAAAGTACCAATCAGTTTGAATGATAAATTTCTGCATCTCATGAGGTAATTTACAAGCTGTAAGGCTGTAGACATATGGAATCATCTTGTATTACAACATACATAAGTGTAAAACATTCATTTTTACGCAGATTTACTGGTAGCGTACTAAACTTTAGAATGTAAAGTGACCCTTGATTAAAGTTATAAACACATTGCTAAAATGAGAAGAATAGTCTTATCACATTTCCTGGAACAGTGGGGTTTCTGTTTTATGCCCAATTGTCTTGAACTGTTGCAAGAAAATAGGTTTTCACATCCACATTTACATCAGTACAATGTGATCAGTACAATATGTGTACAAGCCACATATGTACCCCATATCCAACCATATATTACAGACACTACCACCACCACCACCAACAAATTCATCACTCCTGCAAGCTTTAAAACAGCAAAATATAGATCTTACCCTCTGCATTTAAACAAATAAATAAAAATGCAGAATACACACTCCATGCAAGCCTTAAAAAGAAAAAAAATAGAACTACCACCCTAACACAAGCATTTAAAAGATATCCCAAAATAAGTCTGGGGCGGGGGGACAATGACAGAAATTTGCCAGTCCCAAAGCAATTCTTAGCAAAAAATAAAATAAAATATGGCGTTCACAAGCCCAAAGTCTTACAAACATACAAACAAGCAATAAAAAACCCCACTAGTTCCAGAGCAAGGTATTTTAAAAAAAAAAAAACATGAGAACAGCCCAAACTCCAAACCTAATTTAAGCTAAAACAACAGAAAGAAATGAAAGTACAAGTTAATAGGAATAATTGAACTTCATGTGCTTACACTATTTATGCTGTGCTAAGGAAAATCAATGCTGCTGTAATGACAGCTGCAATTGGCTAGTACGATGAGTTTACCAGAAAACTGTTACAGCTTGCAAGCATTATGAATGTTGTATAACCATTGGTTTTCACCAGCATGACTTCAATAGCATTCATATATATATTCCATTGGCGCGTTCTCTCACTTAATCAGAGATTAAACTACCCCTCCTTAAATATCTCAAGGAAATTTAAAAAATCAACTTCTGGCTGATACTGAAGATCTGGAGCTGATGGATGGGGTGGTTTGCACACCCTCTCTCATGCACAAGTGCACACATAGTTCATATGCACACATTTAATAAATCACATATATTAAAGAATTACTTAGCCTGCAGCAACATGCAAGTTACACAGTTATGTACCAGACAAAAGACTATGTAAATACAGTTTGAGTGGCAAACCGTATTCATACACATGGACTCCACACCAAGACAACTTACCTGAAAAAGCTTATCCTGCTAATCTAATCCTTCAGATAGTTAGTTCTCTTTTGAACTAAATACACATACACAGCGTCCATATGTGTGAGAGGTCAAGAAGAACTCAAAATAAAGAGAATGAGCTTTCTTTCCTTTCTTACTTGCTGCTTAAATAATCATCTATTGAGTCTGCTCTGTTCTGCCCATGCTCATTTGAAAATTACATTTCAGTTGGTCATGGCCATCTTCCTATTTATTCCTTTTTAAAGGATTTTCGAGCTCTGTCCTAATTGACCCACCATACTGAGTACAGTTCCCAAATTACAGAAATCAGTAAACCAGACAACATCCTTAAGCTAGTTTTGCTGATAATGTTTGGAACAATGGAAAGCTCTGGACAATAGGAAGACAGTGCAGCTCCAACAGTGAACAGGAATCAACATCAGATTGCATGGTTGTTGTTGTTGTTGTTGATAATAACAACAACGTTTTGCATTAATTATAAGTTCATACACAAAAACAGAAACACTGAAATTAATACAATTAATGTATGATTGTATAAAAAGTAAACACATCTCAACTCCCCACCCCACCCCACCCCACACACACTTTATTTCTTCTTAGAATCTTGTTAATGTTCCTATGTATATAAACAGAAAATCAACTGCTTATGGGATAGGCTGAGAATAGGAAAAAGAATTTCCTCTTGCAAAATTTAGACTTTTAAAGACTCATGATAATGTGAGCCTTAAGGAGAAAAAAAGTATATGCTCTTATATTTTTTTATAACATTTGGATGCCATCCAATTACTTGTGTCTCTGGACGGCTTACAGCATTACATATCACTGCTTCAAAAAATAGAAAAATTGGGAACAATGTATGGACTTACTGGCCATCGGATCTGCTCCAGGAGATAGCACAAAAATTAATGGGATTGTAGCATTTGAATCTAAGTAGCTTTTTGTTAGATCAAAAGGTGGTGGCTCAACAAATTTCTTTCCAAGTTTGTCAGTCACAAAGGTTGTTACAGCTGGTGTAATCTGTTTTAAAAGAAATCTTTGATATAAAATGTTGTAACATAAACATTAACTGTTCCAAGGCACTCAACTGGTAACTACTCCCATGCTTGTAAGAAATGTAAATCTTATAGTTGCATCCTTTAGTGGCACACCATCTTTATTTACAAGTGCTATTTTTTTACATATCCAGGGCTCCATTTATATTTGCTGTGAAGCTCTGCATATTGCTTTTGCATGGGAAAAAATGGCATAGAGAGTTTCCAGTGAGGGAGGCATGATTTGCCAACCATTTAACTATCAAATACCTTACTGGGTCCTAAAACATTACTGTCCTGTTGTCTTCTGAAATTTAAATCAGAAGCCAAGGCATTTTTTCTAACTTGTTTTTGCAGGATCTATTAGCAATTGTTGCATAAAGAAGAGCCACAGTTCAACTTGCAGCTCATCATTTGCCACCCTTAGGGTCTGACTGATATGTTACATTTGATGTATCTATAACATCATAGAAGAAATGTATAACACTATTTTTACAGACATAAATACAGTGGTACCTTGGCTCACAAACTTAATCCATTCCACGACTCTGCTCGGGACCCAAATTGGTCATGAGCCAAGTCAAATTTCCCCATAAGGTTCAATGTAAATAAGGTTAATCCATTCTGTAAATATTTTTTTAATCACAGGGAAGATGGACATGATCACAGGCGCGCTGTGGGGGGGAGGTGGGCATGATCGCAGGCGCGCTGGGGTAAGACGCGCGCGATTGTCACTTGATGCAGAGTTCGCGACCTGAGCCGATGTCCCATTGTATCATTGTACCATTAGTTCATATTAGACTGCAACATAGGACCCAAAGACAATAAATCAATTATAAATTAATAACAAACCTCATACAATTAGGACATTTTGAAAATAAGTAATATGAAAAACAGTATCTGTATGGCCTTCTTAGCCATTATTTAATGATACAACATTTTTGATATTATGATAACTTGGGCTAGAACAGGGGTCTCAAACTCATCTTACCTGGGGGCCGCTGGAAGTAGAGTCTGGGTGAGGCTGGGCCGCATCAAGTATTCCACCACCGCGGTGGTGGTGGGCCGCTCATCCCGCGGCCGGCCCGGGTGCCTCCGGCACTTTGAAGGCCACAGGGCCCCTCCCCCGTGCCCCACCCGTCCCGGCAATTAGCCCGCGGGCCACGAGTTTGAGACCTCTGGGCTAGAAAGTACTATTTGTAGAATTTCCAATGCAATTCTAGTCCAATGCACATGTGAAAGCAAACAGTAATTCCTTCTAGGATGCTTTCTTAAAGAAAACAATAACAACAGCTGCCTACAAAAATTTTGCTACTATATTTTACCTTGTCAGGTCTCAGGCATCGCAGAACAATCATCTTCTTTATTTCATTCAAGTTTGTATCCCATGGACTTGGTAAGGGAGTATTCTGAGGTTCTTTACTGTCATAGATCTTACGCCAGTCACTGAGTTGTGCAGCTATATGATTTCTATAAACATGGAAAATGGAAAATGCTTAGACTTGCACTTTCATATGAACAAGGGCTTTTCCAGATGTTTTTCTAGGGTTTTATGGTGCTTATGGGTGATCAGCATCTACTTGTTCAGTAGATGCCCATAGTTCAGCACCCTAAAGAGGCCCAGTAGCACTTGATCTGGGCCCCACAACATTCATGCTTCCTGGCTCAAGTTTATGATGCAGAAGTGGATGAGCAGGAAGCTACCATTTTAACACTTCCGTAATTCTGGGCATATATTGAGCATAATGGGAACTTTAAATAGCAGTGCTGCGCCATCAGTAAGTCTGTGGGGTAAGGTCCTCATGAGGGTAGATCGCCCCACTACGTGACATTGCAATGGGGAGGGCCCTTCCAGCTAGGGATGGCCCTGACTATGACAGGCACATCCTAACAGTCCCCCTTTTTCTATATATGTCACAGAAGGCTTGTCCAATTAATTAGAGATGTTCTATTTTTATTTTACCTTAGTCCTTTAAAAGCAGGCATATCACTTGCACGAGATATTTCATCCCAGCTTTTATCTTGTAGCCAAGTTGGATCTGGATTCTTGTATTTGCTCTTGAGGCCAACTCCTCCAGTTAACAAAAACATAAATTCTTGATGTTCTATTTCTTTCCTAGCCCTATTTAAAACAACAGTTATCAAATGCATTTTAAGTCATATATCATTATTTTAGTTTGAAATGCAACTATGAAGCTTTAAAAACATTTAATAATGTTCTCTGTTTTGGCCCACCCAACTGTATTATTTTGATTTGAGGATCTGTACTCTTGCAGCTAAAGTAATATTCTATTCTGGGCATGTGAGCTGCAGTTCTTTGTTCACACTTGTTTCCAAATGCTCGCTAAAATGGTTAAATGAATGTGGATTGTCTAACAGTTCTCTAGAAACCATGTCTCTGCCACCCGTCACACTCTTATCCTGCCCTTACGAAAGTCCCTTGTATGACACAGCCATGTTGTGTAAGGACTAGGTAGAGGACATGTGCAACAGTCCTAGCAAGCTGTGGTTTGGATCTTGCCATAGCAACAAGAGGTTGGACAAAATCCATCTAGCTGAGTAAAGGACCTGCGGTCACTGAGTAAGACAGAACCAATGTAGGTAACTATGGACAGATAAAAGGCAATGTGGGCAAGGCAGAAGAGCAGAGAAACAAGCAGACAGAAAAAAGACTGGAAGAATGCAACAAAATAGCCAGAGAAGTTTATTACTCCTTTAAGGCACAATTCTATGCCCTACTTTATATGATGCAATGCAAGTGTTTGTCTGCATGCAAACACTCATTTGCTGAAATGCTCTCCTAGTGCAAACACAATTTATTTTTGTTAATTTATTAAGGGAATAAAAAAATAGGCCTCTTACATTAGGAGATTACAGCACAGTAAAAATGAAAACAGCAGCTTATCTTTCTCAAACAGAGAACGGCAAACATTGCAATATAAATTGTACGTAAAATGGTCATTTAGGTAGCGTAGCCTTTTTTCCAAGATTTTCGATTTATTACTATAAAAAGGAAGATATAAATATATTTAGAAAGTGCAAATTCAATACAGAAAATAGATTTACATTTTCATGTTTATTTAACCCAAAAATACTGATGAGGTCTCCACATAGCATGGGACTTGAATATACACAGTAGCTAAAAATATAAAGAAATATCCGGCTCCAAATTTGCTGAATATTAACTTATAGCATCTTAGTAGTGATATTTGCAAGTGAAAAAGTTTAAAAGCTTAAAAATGCAGTTATTTTCAGAAACAAAACTTGCACCTGCAAAATATACATGTTTTTCAAATGAACTCAGTGTTTTGAAAGGCAACAAAAATTAAAGATGAAAAAAATTAAACTTGCATACCTGTCATGAATGGAGTTGATGTAAAGGTTTACAAACCAGCTGAGAGAATACTGATACATAGGATCAATATTAGCCAGGTCAGCAATACTAAAGAACAACACAGAGGAATGCTTTGCGATAGGTCTGTAACCTTCACGAGACTGTGCTATTTTAATTTCAGTTTTTTCTGCAATCTAAAGAAAATAGATTCCTTAGTATAACTATGAATATGATGTCCAGAGATATGGTATATGACTTGACACGAAGTATGATTTCAAAACCGTAGACAAACATGCTGGTCTTAAACATGGTTGCCACTATATTTTCTTGGATCACTGATACAGTGCCATGGACTCAGGGGTCATAATTGAATGACTTTTTAAGGATTCTGATTAAAGTAAATTGCAAGAGGTCAGGGCTATATCACTACCATTCTTATTAGGCAGACTGCAGTAATATCTGGTATGGCTTCATACTAATTGGCTCAATTCGATTTATTTACAGAGAATATGCACATTGATAGTACACACCAATATGCAAGTACCTAGAGAAAAATGGAGTAAATCAGAATTTTGAAATATTTATGTCAAAACAATGACAGCAACAACATATGGGGTATAAATACGGAAGGATTCAGCCAAAGGTAGCTCAAGCAGGAGGAGGAGGGAGCCAATTGTCTTCAACTGTTGCCCTGCTTGACATACTGCCAATGATCCTCTTCATCCCAGAGGCAGCTCCACTAGCACCACATTTTTTTTCTGCTTTGTTCCAGCTTCTCAATGCATTTGTATATGGCAGATATAATAAAGTTTCCTTCAATTAGTTTTAACCTGTTTTTCCCACCAAGCAATAATCAAATTAATTCTGATTTCTTCATTTAATATAAAGCTGCAGATACAACTTGAGTAAAATTTAAATGCTCATACATCCATATTCCAAAAAAAATCTCTGCAAACTGCACTGTGAATTTCTGCAATCTAAAAAATTATCTTGGTGCAAGTTATTCTCAAGCACCCCTAACATCACATTATTTAATGTTGGTAACTCAATTATGAATCAATAAATAAGTGGAATTTTTCATTTGTTACCATCCCACTCTTGCTACCCCACTGTAAGGAAATGTAGGGCTGTTTTTGGATGACAAAGGCAATTTTTAGAGATGGGAAGAGCACAGAAATTGGGAATATGCATTGGGAATTTAGGAATTCATCTCTGATTTTGATTCATGTTATAAAAAATGAAGGCAGATTTTAATTGCTCTTAATGTTGAATTATGAGACTGAGCTTGCAGAATATCAGCATCTATACCATACAGACCTCCCTGAATTCACTCACCGAGGGCAATGCTGTACCAGTGTGCCTGTGCACTGAGGTAAATATGACTATCTTTTGGATCTGTGCATCAACCATTTTATGCTACAACCATTACAAAATCTGAAGTTTTGTAACAGTACCTGCTACAAAATTACCTGCTGTTTCTTTGTAATTTCATTAGACATTATTTTGGCAGAGTCCAAGATCGTAATTGCACTTTCATCTTCTAAAATGTTTCCTTCAGAAGACTGCAATGTCTCTAAAATTTTATTTTCTATATCTTTTAGTTGCTTTTTATTGGCAGCTGACTGAAGTATGAGAGCATTCCTTTCCTCTTCCAATTCTGGTCTAAAAAGATACAAATCCATTACTCCTTACAAAACTACAGCTATTTAAATTATATTTTCAAAACTATATAGCTAGGTACATTAGCTGCTGGTAGCTATCAGTAAGCAACATTACTTAGTTTTACATGGGCATGAAACTCTCTCTGTAGTAATTATTTAAAAGTTCTAATAAAACTATTAAGATAGCCATTAACGCAGTCATCCTGTGTTCTCAGACAGCATCTCTATGGCCACAAGATGGTTCAGATTTTCGGGTTCAAGGTTAGGTGGCTACTTCTCTAAGGTTGCAAAAGCAACCCTAGAGAAGGGGTCTAATGGGTGTTGCATGAAGTGGGAAGGACAAGAGGTGAAATTGGCCATCTAGCTGTTTCACCTCCACAGTTTCCACCCTGCATAACGTACCCATAATCTTCAGTGTGCAAGGGGTTACAGGCATTCTTATAGGACTGTATCTATAGGCCTTAAAGCACTTTTGTATCCACTTCAGTGTTAAATGTTGTGAGCCGCCCCGAGGCTTCGGCAAGGGGCGACATAGAAATGTTTTAATAAATAAATAAAAATAAATAAAGCCAGGACTGGATCAATTAAAGCATACTAGTGTACATGCAATTATGCACATTTGCAAGAGGGGATTGTGAGTGATCAACCTGACCAAACTCCTAAAACATTGCTGCTTTTTGCCTCCTGAAATTTAAGAGATGCAAATTTCATTTTAACTTGTTTTGTAGGGTTTACTACTGATTTTGCACAAGGAGGAGCCACAGTTCATCTTGCAGCCTATCACCTGCCACCCTTAGTGTCTAATTGATAAGATACATTTGATGTGTTTTAAAGAAACAGCTTTTTCAAAAATGTTTTTAGAAATTGGTCTGCAGTACTTTGGAATGAAGTTGAATTCTAATGACTTCTAAAACTTCCAGTGAAGAACAGGAACACTTACCTCTCCTTTGCAACAACAATACCTAGAAGTTGATCTTCAAGACCTTCTGGAGTAATCATGAAATTGAGTAAAGAAACCTTTGTAGCTAGTTCTGGCAAATAGTGTGGATTCCTTAATTTGGTGGTAATATAAAATTTGAAATCGTAAGAATATTCAATAACAACTTCACCAAGACGAATGCAATCTATGCCCCCTAGTGTTAAAAACACAAATAAATTTATTTAATTTTTTGTGTATGCCAATATATCGGTTTTGCAAACAAGTACCAACTGCCAGAAAATGTTGCAGTCTGATTGTACAAAATAAATGATAAGATAGTTAAAAAGATTATGACTGTGCACAGCCATTTGTGAATGGACATAGCCATCACCTCAGCTCACATATGCCTCTGGTGAGGTCAGCTTGCCATACTGTATGAACCTGAAGCTATAGTGAATCTTAACTAGGGCAAGCTGAAACAAGCCATCTTAAGAAATCATGGATCCTTGTAAACTACACTTTAACTTGTCTGAAACTAATCATATTTAAGATTAGCCACAGTTTCAGCTTTTAGCTGTGGATAATCAAAAGTGGAAGCTTCCAAATAGCTTATCATCCCATGCCCAATGGAAGAGGGGAAAGAGAAAATGATACCTCACAGGTCCATTCTCATCTCACTAAATCTTGGTCTGGCATGTTAGGATGAAGCCCTTACTTCCTTCATCCTTTGCATTTTAGTCATTTATTTTCAGAAAGCAGTAGCCTCTGCTTATAACAATCACTTTACAATTTCCTATTTGCAAACTACAGAGATAAAAGCAATGCAGATAAGCTTGCTGAGGCAATTTAAAATATATTCAGAGAGGACACTGAAGATGACTGGAAGACTGGCTGCCATTAAGTAGTCTCTGAATTATGGTGACTCTATGAATGAATGTGCTTCAGAATGTCCTGTCCAGCCCTGCTCAGCTCCTGTAAATTCAAGGCTATAGATTCCTTTACAGAACTGATCTCATGGCTGGTCTTCCCCTACTTCTTCTGCCTTTGGTTTCCCAAGCATCATTGTCTTCTCAGGTGAGTCTTGCCTTCTTATGATGCGCCTTAAGCACAATAGCCGCACTTTTGTCATTTTTGCTTCCAGGGAAAGATCTTGCTTGACCTAGGACTCACTTGATTGTCTTTCTGTCAATTCATGGTATTCAGAAAGCTCTTTTCCAGTCCCATATTTTGAACACAGCATCCTTATATTTAATCTAGCGGTTAACTATTTAACATATTGTTAACGATTTAGAAAACCTCAGCAGGGATGTCTTGGATAGGACTTTTTGGAGGGCTTTCATTCAGAGGGTTGCCATAAGACAGAGATGACTTGACAACATGCAGCAACAACATTAATTGTTGTACCTGGGAGGCTGGGCAATTCTGTCACAGCCAAAGTTATAGCCTCCTTTGTTATGTGTCATTCTAGCTCCTTTCTTAAGAAAATTACTTAGCAATGACTGCTTTGGCTTTTCTACTACTCAGAGAAAAGGAAGGGCATAAGAATATAAATAGCTACTTATTGTTAATATGCAGCATACATACAGTATGGCAACCTTACTAAAATAATACAGGCTAAGCTTTTTGTATTGAAATCTAGCACACTGCAAGGCAGCACATGCAAACAATGCTACAAAACAAAAGAGCAAAAACAAAAGGGTTTCCTTGTATTACCTTCATCCGTTGCTAGGCAGCAATATTTAAGGAATAAAACAAGCATTAAATGATTAATGCATTAAATCATTTAAGAATTTCCCAAGTGTACAGTTTGGAATGCATAACTAATTTTTGTACCTTGTTTAAATGTTTGTCTAAGCAGCAGAGGCTCCAGAGAAGGATCTATTTCTTCCCCAACATTTTCCAACAGAAGTGGAGTTCCAAACTGAATACAATTTTCTAAAGTTCTCATGTAATCTGTGTCCGTGAACTTTATGACACTCAGCCTGTTCTCTTTCTCAGAATTTTTAATCCATTTATTTGCTTGACCTTGGGGATCAATCATTAAAGGCCTACAACATAATATCATTTTAAAGAATGAATGCTTAATTATAAATTGTTGTCTTCAGCACCTGTTAAAATCCATAACAATAGCACTAGCAGAATTTTCAGATATATCACAATGGAACACTGGCTGTTTATGACTCAGCTATCCTTGGATTCATAATATGAATGACTAATCCTAGGTAAATAGAAATGTTTACTGAAGCTTATCATTACTGCAAATTAGTGTAGCCGCCAATGCGAATTTTAAAAAACCCCTATATGGAGCTTAAAGTTTATATAAGTGAAGACTTCATTGTGCTTTGTTGTGTAGATGGAATTGCATACAGATACAGAATAGTCTGGGAAAAAACTTAGCTATTATTTCAGCTATCACCAAGTTTCCAAATTCTACTTGCTTCACTGTCATCTGTCTTTTTTGAGGTGTGGTCAGGTGGGGGAAACGCAAGGGAAATGCTGTTTTCCTGTGCATGACTTTCCTCATGCTGAATAGAATGGGAGCAGTTACTTTCTCTTGTCATTCATTTTTACTGCTATTGACTAAGGCCAGATAATTTCCTCTATTTTTATTTTATTAATGTCAACACAGAACTTTCTCTCATTCCCTCTGCCACCCGCCACACAAATTCCATATTGTTACAAACATCCAAGGCCCCTCCATCACCAGGTAGCACTTGTGCCCTCTTCTTCAAAACATCCTGATACACAGCTTATCCATACATGGGAAGACCTAATTTATTAATAGGACAGAGACTATTACAATTTAATTTAACTGGTACAAATCTCTTTCTGCCCTCAAGGAGCAGTTAAACAAATGCTTAAGGAATCTCGAGGGCAACTGTGTTAATCTTTTTGAAAATGCTGCCAATGAGAAGAAGACATAAAGAGAAGAGAATCAAAACCCATCAAGGTTAGGAACTACCAGCCATAGTCATTAGCGAGCTGGTTTTAGTGTAACTTAGCAAAATAGGAGTTTTAGACTACCTACCAACGTCTAGAGTTGTCAACAATCACACCATTGTCTATAGAGAACTGATCTGTTGGAAGTCCAGCAATATTCCAGGCTCTGATTTTTATGGGATCACCAAGTGTCTTACTCAGAGAGAAGTGTTCAGAACAAGGGATGTTTTTCATCTGTGAGAGCAAACAAGTATTTTATCTGTATTCCTTACTATCAAACATTTATGAACAAAATTTGAAAGAAATAAATTAGTAAGTTGTATTAAACCTCAATTATTAGCAGGACAAACAACAGAATAGGGAAAAAAGGACACAATGAGCAAAAATAGAAGTTCTCTCGCATGGAACAATAGTAATTTAACTAAAAGTACTGACAATTACCATTGATCAATAGGCTCTTTTGGGGTTAGATATTGAATTGGGATTGTCTGGGTTCTGGATCAGCTATGACCAATACCAGATTATCTACTCCAAATCCAACATGTACCAAGTGGCTGTATTCACACATAATGCTAAGCAATGCTGCACAGTAACTGTGTAGCACAGTATTTCACCCTGTGCGCTGGGTCCCCACATTCACATGGTTCCCATGCTTCATCATCCCTCCAAACCCCATCTAAATTAATCCCAGGGAAGTCTGCTCCTGCCTGCCTCATCTCCCTCTCTCTCACTGGCCCTTGGAGTGGCCTTGGGTAGCTGTCCTTCCCTATTTCCCCCCCTGCTGCTCAGTGAAGCAATTGCCCACTCATGAGAGTAACACTGTTGTTCTAGAGGAGCACTAATGGAATGCTCCTCTGGACTGCCCTGCTCTGTGCCAACACACAAGGACACCCACCCATTTCTTTCCCTACCTTGCTGCACATGAGTCCAAGCTACCTGATAAACAGTACTCACACTTGCTGCCATGAGCTACCTTCCCTGCACCCAGGCACAAGGAGGACATTTGCACAGAGTGTATCCTGTTGGAAATACTTTCCCAAGGATGCCTGTGTGGGCATCTGTCTGGGAAAGCTTTCTGGGTGGCTGCAAGGAATGTGTCTGTCCTGCAGCTGGGGGGGGGGGGGGAGCTTGTTGGCAGCAGGAGACAGAGTGGAAGACCTGGGCTTCTTAGAATGATCATCCTCATGGCACAGCCCATGTGTTACTCATGTGCAAGACAGCCTTCACATGGAGAGACCTTTCGCTCCTTGAATATCTGAAGCTCTGAACCATTTCCAAATGCTGCTCCAGCAAAGTGCAGAGACCAGACCAGATCAGAGCATCGAACATTGCTGTCTCTGCAGTTGCTTCTGCTGGCAGCAGTGTGGCAGAATGCCAGCTGCCACTGACATTCCAAAGCTGTAGCTGACCATTGGGCAGTGTGCAGATGGAGGGAAGCAGCCAATCAGATCACCGGTACAGCTGCCCCAGCACTTGCAAGGCAGAACAGGATGGTTGAAAATGGAGGCTGGTTCATCTGCAGCATCTGCAGCCACTCTTACCACCAAACTCAATGGTGGAAATGTGGAAACTACACAGAACATTGTAACGAGGGTCACACATAACAAGGCATGGTGAAGTGTGGAAACCATACAATGAATGGTTGTTTCTCTGCGTGGTTTCATGAAACCAAACATGCCATGTTTTACCATGGACACTCACACACAAAAACAAGTTTCCAGCATGGCTTGTAATTCTATGTCTATTCAGCCAGTGCTGACAAAAGTGCTAGTAACTGGGACAGCCTGCATGCGGCCTTGGCCTGTATATCCTGAATGCTGATTTTCTCTCCTGCAAATGAGACATACTGTTTGTATCTATTGAGATAGTCAATCACATTCTTTGCAGAAGTATATCCTACTATATCTGTGATTTACTGGTATCTAAACTACAGAACTAAGTGGGACACAAAGGTTCAGGTGCTCTTTCCCAAAATGCTGCACAATATTAAAAAATTTTGTTCCTAAAAAGCACCAATTTTACCACCATCCTTATAATCAAGAAAATTCATGCTATCCCCATGTCTGTATATAAAGTATGAATTCTTTCTTTTGACAAAGCTGACACTTGTAAAAGACTTGTGTTTTGCAATTATATAAATCATAGCTACCTTACAAAGTTTCGTCCAGTCTTTAGAGCATTCTTGTCGAAAGCCAGCAGTGAAAGCACCTAAATAAGCTATCACTCCTGCTGATATCAAGACATCTCCTGTCAAGTTATCATAAGTATTCTGAAGATCATTTGCTGCATTAGACCATCTATGAGAAAGGAGAACGTTAAATTAAACCCAACCATCCTATTACCGAATAGTTCAACAACAATTATTCTTGCTCCATTTTACATGTAGGAGTTATAATCAGAATTAAAGATTAATTGGTGTATGCATTTTATTAGAAAATAATTGGTTGTAACTGATTCTAACATAAACAAGTTTAAATTTTTAATTTTAAAATGTTTGTGTTTATTGTACTAAGAGGTTTCTTACACATAAGAAATAGTGAAGAATGTATGTTCTCTATTGTATATTAGTCTGTGCTAGAATATATAGAAATGATTTTTTCCTACCTTGATTTTTCTCCACCAAGTCCTCCAATCAACTTTTCTGCTCTTTCTAGCTTTTTAGCACATAAATCCACCTGAAATTCTAAACGAGCTTTTTCTTCAGTTTTCTCAACAAAGGTTTGTTGCAAAGCTTCTAAACGATCTTCAACAGCTTTAAGTTCAGCTCTCTTCTGATTTAATAGTGCCATGGTCTGTGCTAATGATTGTTGTGCTTCTGCTAATCGGGCTTTTTTAGGAGCAACCACCTATTCAATGCATTTGATACAGATTTGCTGAATTGCCAAAGAATAATTATAAATAATTTTAAGCAATATAAAATGAAATTCGAAAAAAAGCAGTATACTCCCAGTTAGACTGCTGTAATGCGCTATATATGGTGTTACAGTATGATGTCCCAGAAGCTTCAGTTACTGTAGATGCTCCTGGCTGAATTCTGACTAATTCAGCCAGGTGGAATAATATGGCTGCAATATGTAAGGAGCTGTATGGGCTTTATATTAATTTCTAAACCAATTTGATATGCTGGTGCTTACCTTTTAAGTCCTTACTAACTCAGCACCTAAATGCTCTTCAGATAAAGTACTTATCCAGGTTCTTTTACCAGGGAAGTTGTGTAAAAAGAAAGGAAAGTGACTTCTCAATGGTGGTATCCATCTTTGGAATGCCCAATCATTCTGGTGCCAGGTTAACACATTTGTTTGTTTGTTTGTTTGTTTGCTTGCTTGCTTGCTTGCTTGCCCGCCCGCCCGCCTGCCCGCCCAGGCATTTTAACAGTTTAAATCTTATTCCACTGCTCTTTTTATGACTCTGATTTGCTCTGTTTTGAAGTTTCTGTTGCACTGTGTTTGTGGCATGTTTTAGTATTTTTGTGTGTCTTGTATATAAACTGCCCTGCCAACTATTAGAATGAGGAGCAACTTAAAATACTTCTAATAAATAACATCTTATAATATAGTGCCTTTCATAGATTTGGAACCCCTTTTAAGGCAATCATTACCCACTGCTTTATCCTTAGAAAACTGAAATTAAGGTTAGCTAAAAGTACTGCTCCTATACTGCTGAAAAGAAAGGTGAATATGAGAGTTTGACAAAATGGTCGATATGATTTCTGATGATGAGTCAACTTTAATTGAACATCTCCCAAGACTAAAAAGCCTGTCTATTAGTATGTGTGTATATTCTGCTTGCTATGTAGGAATCCTATCCCACACAATGGAAACAGACATGTTATTCAGACAAGCAGACTATGCCTATATTCTTCATTTTCATTGATTTATAAACTCCATCTGGCTACTGTGCTTCCTCCTCTTTAATAAAGGAAGACCTTTCCACAATCCTGATATAATACGCCACAGTATGCTAGCTCCACGATCCGATGCAACAAGCCTCTGAATACTTCTCAATTGCTGGAGAAGAAGGATTTATTATTCATTTATTATTTCTATTATATTACATAAAGTAGTAATAAGTAGAGGAATATTGCACTTATATTCTGCTTGTGGACTTGTATGTATTTAATTGGCCACTGTGAGAGATGCCATTCTGGAATAGTGAAGTCTTTGGCCTGACCTAGTAAGGCTCTCACATTCTTGAGTAAGCTTTCAAAGCCAAGTCTCTGGATGAATCCAGATGGTTCCAGTCTTGCTATGCAAATATAGTTCACGGCTGCTTCAAGCTGTCACAGCCCAGGTCATATCTAGCTGATAGGTATAAAAGGATGATTTGAAACAAGGGAGTAAAAGAGATTTAAAAAGGTAACAAAGAATATTACTTAGCCCAAAGGAGGGGAGGGGCCAAAATCAGATACCACAAGGTGCAGGGAAACAGGCACATAGGCAGGAGGGCCAAATACTTCCTGATTGTTTATTGACAAGCCAGGCAAAACAAAATGAGCCTATTGTAGCCCACCAGGGGCAGGGCTGGATTGGGAAGAAGGGCTGGCGTTGGGGCAGCGCAGAGTACGCGGGCGGAAAGAATGTAACTTCTCAGTACCCTATTAGCCAATTAGGGGAAAGGAGAAGGGAACAAGCGGCCGGGAGCAGGGTTCAAAAGGTGTGTGTGAACATGTGCTCAGGTGAACAGAAGAATGGGAAGGAAACCGTTCCTTTCTGTTCCCTTCATTGCAATAAAGTTTTAAAAAGAACTCTCTGCATGCCTGGAATATGTTTCTCTTCCGACGGAAAGGAAAGAGTGTTCATAACATAGCTGATTCCATTTTGGCAGATTTCTTTGAAATGGCTTGAAAACAACAGTCTTGGAATCAAGTATGTTTTTCAGGCTTCCGAACACTGAGCATTTACCTAAGGAATCTTCTAGTTCTGGCAGCTTCTGTTTTCTTTATTTTACATTTACATTCACTACTTTGTTGTCATTACCACCACCACATTATTTTTCTTGCAAAGGACCTGTAATTTCTGAGGCCTAGTCCAAGACTCCTAATCACTACATCACACTGGCTACAATTTGAATTACCTTTGCAACTGATTTCACTTTTTAATTGCATTCTGTGCCTTGGATGATTTTCAGTCAAATGCCAGCTTACACACTACTATGGCATATGCATAGCAGATAAAACAACAGATAAACTTTGAGTTCTTTCCCATTGATCACCATGCTGTTCATTTATATTTGTCTATTTGCCACTTTTACTATATCCCACATTCAAATGAAGTTTTTATTGTGCAATTGCCCAATCTTGTTAATAGAACTTGCAGGGGATATCATCTTTCATTTGTGACCCACCTGTTTCCCCCACATTTCTCTAATTCTCTTATTTAACTAGGAAGAAGCATAACGGCTGCACAGTCTTTTGACTGGTGGCTAGGAACACTCCACCTGGAAGCACCATCAGAGCACAGTGTCTGCGGTTTTCAACTGGCCTTCCATTCTAGTCTTGGCAAGTCCTAGAAGTGCTGACCTTTGGAAAACAAATGTTTCACACACTTTTGGTCCATTCTGGTGCTGTATTTCACACTTTTAATTGTTTTAAACATCTCAGAAAGCTTTACTGGGTGGTATAGAAATGTAATAAATATATAAAGGCACAACCCTACCCATGTTTGGACAGAAAAAAGACCATAAATTTCCAACATGCTGGAAAAAAGCTGTATGGCTTTTTTCCAGTCTAGATAGAAACAGAATTCCACCTTAAAGAAATTAATGCTAGTAGACTAGGACTTAAACAGGATGACTAGCATCCATGCTAAGTACACGGAAACTCCACTTTCAGGTACAGAACACAACAGAGTACTAGATGCTGAGGAAAAACATCAAAGGACAAATGCTACCTTCATGGCCTGCATATGAGCTTCCCAAAGCAATCTAGCTAGTAACAGCAGAGTTCTCATTAACTTTGGGCAATGAGAGCTTTGAGTACTATTTTCTATGTAGGGTAAAAAGAACAGAAACAATCACACCTTTGCTACTCTGTCATAAACCTCCATTGCCATAATCCATTTGCACAAGCCTTCTGCTGCCGAGGATGCTTTAGCCACTTTAGGTGGATCAAACTCTGGATTAGTCAGATATTCAGAACGAATCTTCTGCATCACAGACACCTATAATAAACATGAATTACATAAAGGATTTTGTTAACTAAATATACAGGATGCGGTAATGGCAGTAACATGATCTGTTGGTCTGCTATTATCTATGCACAACCCAGCTTGAGTAGCTGATATCATCACCATGTAATTATTCATCCACCCACCCCTGGCCCACATCAGACAAGCAAATGAGTGCTTGCAAATCTCTGTACACTGAAAATGGGATTACATTCATAAGAAAGAATGTGAATATGAGTGGGCAGGCTACATAACAGTGAGAGCTGCTCAGCAGTGAAACAGATTACCTCAGGATGTGGTGGGATTTCTCTCACTGGAAATATTTAAGCAGACACCTGGTGTTCAGTTGCCAGGGATGCTGAATGATCTCTGAAGTCCCTCCCAACTCTATGTTTCTATGATTAACTGTGCCTGCAGATTGTCTGCTGAAAAGGCCCTCTGGGCCAATTTTCCTTCAGCTTGGCTTATTTCTTGTTTCAGAACCCAGTTGGGAGAATAAATTTAAAATTATCTGAGGAATATCTTCAAGGGAGAAACAGCAGATAAGGGAAACCCCTCATATTGATTCTCCACTACAATATGTCTTCAGCCCTCAGTTTAAAGATTACTCAGGGGAAAGTGATTTTGGAGTCCTTCTGTTATCTCTACAGTGCTTAGTTGTACCTACAAAAGTTCATAAGAATATGATAAAATATGATAACCAGTCAAATAGGCCTAAGTGCCAAAAAGAAGTTGTACATGTCAAAGATATCTAGAGAAGGATTCTGTGAATAAATGTTTTTATGCAAATACTAAAAGTCTGTCAGCCAATAAAGGAATACTGGAGTACCTGCTTTTAAAGGAAAACCTAGATAAACTGGGCATTACAGAAACCTGAAGGAATGGAAGGAACAGTGGGATATGGTAATCTTGGGAAATAAACTCTATAGTAAGGACAGAGAAGGCAAACTGGAAAAGGGAGTGCACTGTATGTTAAAGGAGGAATACAGTCCAACAGATTTTAAAACTGAAAAAGTACAAACTCTTCCACAGAGTCACTGTGGATGATGATAGCCAATTTCAAAATTCATTTAGTCCTAGGGACATGCTGTTGTTCCTCAGACAAGAATGATCAGGGTGATCTCAGGATGGAAAATCGGGTGGGCCTCAAAAAAGGAAGCAAGTGTTGAAAGGCAGTGTGGAACAGTGGTTAGAGTGCTGGACTGCGTGACTTTGGGGTAGTTGCTTACTCTCAGCCTAATCTACCTTACAGGGCTGAGATGCAAATGTTGATGAACCAACATGTTGGTGACCACAATGCTATCATATTTAATATACATTTAAATGGTAGATTGCCAAAGAGGTTAAACATAATCACATTTGACTTCAAAACAGGACACTTCTTTAAAATGAGTGAACTGGTAAAAAAGAGGTTAAAACAGGGAGCCAAGAGGCTTAAATTCCTTGAACATGGTTGAAGATTACACAAAACCTCAACTATCAAGGTTTAGATAGTATCTAGATCACAAGTTAGGAAAGGCAGCATAAAATCCAAGAGGTCACCAGCATGGATAACAGGCAGTACCAAGGAAGCTGTTAGACAAAAGAAGCTTCCTTCAAAAAATGGAAGTCTCAACCAAATGAGAACAAGTTTACACGAAGGAGATACAAGTAGATTATAAGAGATGCAAAAAAATATTTTGAAGAGTATGTCACGAACAATACCAAGTTTCCTGCCTCCTCCCCTCAAATTATTTCAATATACGAGAAATAAGAAAACAGCTAGTGAGGTAGTTGGACCACTGGATGATAATGCAATTAAAGGAGTAGTATAGGCGGCAAAGGAGACTGCAGAGAACCTGAACAATTTTGTTTTCATCTGTCACTGCAGAAGATACAGAATCAATACCTGTGCCTGAACTTAGATAATTAGGAAGGGACTCTAAGGAACTAAACAAATAATGGCAACAAAATATGAGATTCTCATATATATTGACAAGCTAAAAGTTAAGAAATCACCAGGCCCAGAAAGTATCCATCACAGAGTTCTTAAAGACTGCAAATATGGAAATTGATGACCTTATTACAATGGGATAAGACAAATTCTTGAAGGAAAAGGCTGTCGGTGGCTATTATTCCTGTCGACTAAATGCTACCTCCAGTGGTAAATTCAGTAAGCCTACAGACACCAGCTGCTGGGGAACTTGGACAGGAGAATGCTATTGCATTGAATGCTATATTCTGTTTGTTGGATCTTGTGGGCAACTGGCTTATCTATAGTGTGTACGAACAGTTTGCTGGCCTAGCTGGACCACTGGTCTAATCCAGCATGGCCCTTCTTATGTTCTTGAATGACTTAATTGTATTTAGCTACTGTGGACTGTTTCACCGTGGTTACAGTAGCTTTTTAAACCTGGAACTAATTACTTTGTGGCATGTTGCTTTTGCTGGGTGAATTGGGGCAAAGCCTTCCTATAGCTACTGTCGTCACCATGGTGTCAGATGAAGAATACATTGCATTGCTATAGCTTCTGAGTTTTAAAGGTTAGATATGATAGAATTTCTGTACTGCTAGCTGTAACTGTGTAACTATTTATTATATTTATTATTGGAAAAATAAGCAAAAACTTACTGGAATGTTATCCTTGTCATATTCTCTCAAATCTCTTAGGAAATTCATGTCACCCAAAAGTTTTTTGCTAGGCCCCCAGTAGTCTAAAATCTATAAAGAAAGTTAACATAGAATTTCAAACACGTTTTGAAAAAAATAAGAAAATAACAAAACACAAAATATTATCTAGTGAACATAGAGTTACAGAGATAGTAATAAGAATGACAAAAGCTAAAAGACAACATGTACAGGCACTCCCCAGATTATAAATGAGTTCCATTCCTGAGAAAATGGAAATTCTTCTTAAAGTCAAATGTTATGTAAGTCAGATCATGCACTGCGTGTCCTCAACATCCACAGGGGTTAGGGGCATAGGGCCCCTGTAAAAGTGGAAAAATCATGAGTATCTTTACTCCCTCTGCCCCAACTCACCAGCGCCTCCTCTTTGCAGCAAGGAAATGCCAGAGAGATTTCTCTCTCTGTATGGGTGGGGCAGGAAGGTCTGCTTTAGAGGCCTTTCTTCTCTACACTCTGGTTATGCTCTGGAGGCCTTCTCTTGCTTCCCATTTGCTTCCTACCCCTCTACGGTGATGATAATTTCTTGTAGTGATTTTTTGAAATTATTATGCTTTATGGTAGTTTGTTCATAAGTACAGGTTGTTTGTAACTTGAACATTTGTAACTTGAGAATTCCCTGTACCAATCAAAATAATTGTCTCTGACTCCCTATTCTATATACTAAGCATAGTGTTTCCACCATAAACATTCTGATATAAATGGTACTTTTCACATAAAACAATTATCCCATAAACAATTAAACTAGAAACTGATCCTTTAGAAATTTATCCAACGTATCCCACAGTGCCACGGCATACTGTATTGTACTGGTACTTCTAAGGCAAGTCAGATTGTCATCCAATCACTGTCAGATGAGGTAGGCTTAGTTTATGTATGAAATGCAGTTGCAAAATTGGGCTATAAAGAAAGGCTTTAATAATAAAAATTTGTCTAGTTGCTACCATATCAGCCAAATAACTTAAAAATGGAAAGAACATCCATGGTAACTGAAAAATGCAAACTAATAACCTACTGTAGAAGTTACAGTGGCCAAAAGCAAGACAATCACTATAATTCCTGGATGGAAATTAGAAATATTTATATAAATCCCCTTTCAAAGTTCCTCATAAATTATTCCTGTTCAAAATGGAATTTATTAGCACTGTTGTATGCAGGGAATCAACAACCCAATTCACATTTTTGACAGCTTCCCACATTATGACGGGCTAAGTCCTAGACGTATGTTTCCTGCATAATCCGTGTGGACTTTGCAATCACTAATTCGTTTACTGTCACTTATTTTACCTTGCCTCCAATTCCTGAAGGATCTGCAATTTTTTCAGGTTTGATATCCTTCATGACACAGATGGCAGCCATAACGAGTTTAACACCAGAAGGTGGATTCTTCATTGATTTCACAATTGTAATATCTGAAGGCTAAATAACATACATTGTTAACTTATAACACAGAACAGTTTGCCTGAAAATGTTGCAGATAAAAGAACAAACTCACTTTGTATATTGTAAGGTCATGTACAAATAAACACACTGCAAATAAGCCACAGCATATTGAATTCTAAATCTATATCTAACTTTCTTGAATACCAATAATGAGCCAAGATATAGCATTATGGTTCACAAAGACAGATATAGGCCAATCAATCCCTTTTTAAAGTTTAGAAAACAAAATATGAACAGAAAAAGCTCAAATTATCTTGTTATATTGCTACTATCTCCAAGAAATTTTAAAGACCCATTTCTTTGAAGAGGCGTAAGGCAAGAACGTGTTGATCCTGATGATCTACCAAACGGTAAAAATGAAGTTACAACCCACATTCATATAGACAATATTACCAAAAGAGGCAAAACAAAATTTTCTTGGCTGGTGAGGTTGTGGCAGGAAAAGAAGAAGGTACTAAAAGGATTAAGGAGGAAATTAGGCAGAAAGTTGTACAGCAAAAATTATCTATGTAAAAATATTTGAAGAAATGAATTCAGATTATTTTTCCACTGAACTTCTTTGTATTGTCCTAGCAGATAATTTCAATACAATTCTCTGTTGCAGATTTAAAAGTGGGATAGAAAACAGTGTGCCTATACTTTGTGCAGTGCACTGTTTTGTACTACATTTCATATGGAAGTGTGTTTCCTACTGTAGAAACAAACTATCAGATCAATATTTCTGTCTCATCCTTGCTTCCTCTTTCTTACAGCTCATTCCATGGCTGTTCCACACAGGGTAAACATAGATAGTTACAAAGTCCCAGTATTCATTAAGTCCAATATTGCCAGCTCTGATTGGATCTCTTAAGCCTCAGGGAGGGGTCTTTTCTATCAACTGCTATGTGGTATTTAAGTGGAGATGCTGACGATGAACCTTAGGCTTGCAAAGGATGGGTTCTAACACTGAGCCTCTCCTTCAATTAATCAATAATCAAAACAGCACTATTCTAGGGTCTGTTCTATTTCAGCTTTCTGTCACATATTTTTTGTCTTTTACACTGTGCTTTAATGCATTTGTTGTGCATTAAGTGTTATTTATAATTTTTTATTTGGCTTTCCTCATTCATTCAACAAAACCAAACATTAGTAGCACAAAGCATCTTCTTAGTGCAGTTCTTTGGCTTGCCTTTAGAGTGTCAAGTGCAGATAATGCAGCCTCTAGAGCTGGAATTGCCTCTGCAAGGTCACTCTCACATTCATTCTTCAGTGCCTGTGCTTCTGCTGCTTTTTCTGTAGCAAGTTCTTCATCAATTTTCACAGTTTTGCTTTTTGCTTCAACTTCAGCAGACTCTTTCTCAATTACCTAGAGAGAGAATAATCTCTTACAATGAAATTCAACTTATATTCAGCACTTAATTAATTTGTTCATGGAGAACAAAATAATTATAATTGAAAAGATGAGTTGGTGTTCCAAAGCAGAGTTTTATACAAAATTCTAAGCACTGGTCCAAGTAGCTCATGGAAATCAACTAGAAGCACTTTTTGTTGCTTCTTTTATTCCCAAAGGCTTTTCAAATATGTTTCCTGTTTAGAACAGGTACATCCAACAGGAAATATAAGGCATATACATATGAATAGCATTCCATAAGGTAACATTTACAATAAATGCCTCCCTTGCCCTCAGTCTTCCTTGGTCTCTATGTCTGTCTGTCTGTCTGTCTGTCTGTCTGTCTGTCTGTCTGTCTCACTCTCTCTCTCGCTCTGTGTGTGTGTTGGTTGAAGGTACAGATACAAAAAGAAGGATCTGTTTGGAAAAGACCTACCACCTTGTAGGTCATTTACCCACATTTATTTATTTATACCACATTATTTCAATCTGTATGGAAGTCTTCGATGAATCACTCCAAAGAGAACCAAAAAGGCTTACTCTTCTGAAAATGACAATGCTCACCCTGTTGCCTCAATACTCCTTTTGGTGGAGGTACACTTCACATGTGTTCCCCACAAGCTGTTTTTCAGTAATAGGACTTTTTTTCTCCCTGTGCAAGGCTAAGAGGACTTGCTACACAGGTGTCCACAGGGAGTGAAAACAGCTAGTTTGGCACCTTGGACTCATTTTGCAGGCACAGTGGCACCCACCACTGTCATGCTGGAGAACCCTGAATTAAAACACTGAACAATTACAGCAAGCAACTACAACAATGGCAGAAATGCAGCAACTACCACATATCTTTAGCACCAGAGAATTTACCTTCATCATAGTTGCATTGTCCACCTTAGCTTGCTCCAATTTAGGTTGCAAATCAACCAGTTCTTTTTTCATTTCACCAACCTAAAACCAACAGTAGTTGCACATGAGTTCAAAGTATAGACAAATTAGAAAAAGAGACGTTAAACATTCAAATGTGACATTAAAGAGCCAGTGAGATGTGGTGGTAAAGAGCATGGGACTGGGACTCAGACGATCTGGGTTCTAGTCCCCGCTCAGCCATGGAGCCAACTGGGTGACTTTGGGCCAGTCACAGACTCTCAGCCCAACCTACCTCACAGGGCTGCTATTGTGGGGATAAGATGGATGATGTAAGCTGCCTTGAGCCCTTTGTAGGAAAAAGGCAGGATATAAATAAATAAATAAATAAATAAATAAATAAATAAATAAAGGATACAATCCTAAACACTTTCTAGGGGACAAACACTTTCCGATGAATATAGTAAGACTTACTTATGATGGCAGGAGGCTACCTGCTCATTGTGAAGCTGGGGAATTTATCAGGCTGTTAGCTCCTTCCAAGATGTCTCCCATTTCAGAGAGTCTGAGTAGGTCTGATGATAGTTCCCCTGGACTGAAGGTGCTGCTGCTAAATGCCATATTGGTGAATGGGAAAACAATAGGCAACCAGGACTTTGTCCAGGATGGTTGTGTTGACCTGGCCTATATCATGGAGACCTGGTTGGATGAACACTCATGGCCAAGTGAAGTTTGCTCTCTCTCTGCTGTTCTGCCAGTAGGCAAAGACTACCTTATTCAAGGCAGCCTTTGGCTGTAAGTAGATTGGTTGGGCTGGGTGCTGATTTTTAGTTTTTATTGTATTTTAGTATTCTATTTTATTTTTTAAATCAATTTGCATGCTTGCATGCTATTTTTCTTTTCTTTTCAAATAGAAGAAAATACAGAGCAATACACATAAAAATTGTGCCCTGTCCCATATTATACACATTTGCAAATACACAATGCATACCACAACAGCCCCTGTGGATAAATTAAGCCTTGGTCAGCTGCTGTGATTTGTGAACAGGCCTGGTTGGTATACAGCCCTCATAAGCCATTACTGTTGCTACACTTTTACAACAAACATACCTGCGATTCAGCAAAAGCTAGTTTGTCTAAGCCGTTAGTATATCTTTTTTTGGCCTTCATGACAGCATCACGGTTCTGAGTCAAAAGTTGTTGGAAAGAAGCAATAAGTTCAAGATAGGAAGTAGGTGTAACATAGTTATGCCGCCCCAATTCATTCAAAAACCTGTGACATGAAAAAATAGTATTTCACTCTAATTGGAACTCAAAAGGAAGGGTCAATTCGTTTCAGTACTGGTCAACTGTTTTGCTACATAGGTTTAAGAAATTTTCATGCTTTGAAGAACAGCTTTAGTCCACCATCCTTTAGTGCGAATGTCACCTCCTCATTTTATTTAAAAGCAGCCATAAGATGTCTGATGCTTGAATTTGCTTGAGAACCACAATGTAGGGGAATTAACACTTTGTCCTGAGCTATATTCCTGTCTTTAACATTTGCCCTGATCTGTTATTTGCCATTCAGGAGAAAAGTATCAGTATATCAGGCAGGTGGGTAAGGGTATGTGATTGTGATTAATATATCAAAACCAGGAAAATGGCAAGTGGTCAGGTACCATATTTCTGACTTGAATCTTCCCATCCCCGTGAATGTTTTTTACAAAAACAAAAGAAAGCATTATTTTTCATACTGTTAGTCTGAAATGTAACTATGACTTTCTTCATCCCTTCTTGCTTTTATATCACCCAACTTGAATGTATACAAAAAGATAACCTTTCAGAAAGTGACAATACAGAGGTATGGAAGTGTTTACAGATGGGAACAACTTCTTGACGCTCATTTTCAGTGAGCTCAAGCTTTTCCAAGAACTTAATAGCCACACGTTCAAGAGCATCTTCAGGCCATGGCTGAAAACAAAAATATACATTTTAGTTGTATTGTCTCTTTCATTAGTAAACATAGTTTTAGAGTCAGTTCTTCATAAAAGTTTCTCATAGCTGGGCAAAGCAGAAGTGGGACAGGTTCATAATATGAGAACTAGGAAGTTATTTTGCTATTTAAAATATGAAACTGATTCTGGAAAGCAGATGGCTTTTTATTCTCGAGCTTCTCTGCAGCACAGAGATATAAGGGGAATCATGATTATATGGCAATCCACAAATGTACCCAAATTCCAGATGCAGTTGCATGCAACATGGCATTACGCATCTAGAACAGATCATAGTGGCATTAATCTGAGAGGAGTTGTTTTACTTGATGTCCTGTAGTGAATAGGGGTTCGTAACCAATGGCCCTCTGGCCCATTCCAGCACTACTAGTTTATGATTCCACAATTCTAGTGGCAAATGAATGTACTTTTAGACAATTTGAGGGTATTTTTTGTTTTATGAAGATATTAGATTTATACCATGTCAGAAGGAGCGGGAAAATGTACTACAAATATAATATCTGACTTAGTAACAAGAAAAAATTGGGAACACTTACTCAGCTATGAGCACCTTACATGAAGAACAGAATCTATTTCCCTAGAACATTCAAAGCTGGATTGCTCTCTATGGGAAGGATTTTTTTTTTTTGATAAATACAATTTTTTGCAATCTGAAAGAAAATGCACCCTATGTAAGAAAGATAAATTTACGATTTTATGTCAGCCCAGTGTTTCACTAGAGGGAGCTTGCTAGAACAATTACACTCTCTTTCTTTCTCCTTTCTGCAGCTATTTGCACCATCTCAAAATTGGCTCTAGAGGGTTTTCCAGATCTCCAAAGTAGAATTTCAGTGGAAAAAGAGAGAGAACTTCTCTTTTTCTTCTGTTGATAGAAGCAGTGCCATTCAAAGCCATACTCAGGGGAATAAATGTATTTATGTGAAACAAGAGTATAAATACTTTTACAAACCTGGAACCAGTCAATAGTGCAGCAATTGATGAGAGATGGAAATTGTCTTAGTCGGTTGCGGAAGGCATCTCCAATTGGACTGAAAGCAACTACTACATGGAGGTTATCTTTGCAGCGGTTCACAAAGAAAGCAAATAATGCCAGGGGGCTGAGCTCTTCATGCTTACTGCCTGCCTGTGCTACTGCACGAACACCCTAAAGGATAAGGGAACAGGTAAATTCCATAGGTTCTAAAATGTTTTATTGAAAAAACAATTAAATTAATAAATATTATAAGGTAAATGGAATGACAAAAATTGATGTATAATTGAGTGCAGTATCAGGACCGTGCAAAAACTACTGTACTGTGTGCCAATTACCAACACTATGAACCAACTAAATAGTATGTGATTCCCTAATCAGATGCAATAACTCATTTTGAATATAAGAATCTGAAATGATCACTGCTTCATCTATAGCCTATAACACAGTTATAAGACTCAAACTGATGAACCCTCATGTTAGAAAAAGAAAAAAATATATACTCTATTAAAACCAAAAATTACTGTATTTTCTGTGTATAAGACAATAATTTTTCTTTAAAACATTTAGCTAAAAATGGAGGTGCGTGTAATACACGGGAGGCGCACTTGGGGGAGGGGGAGACTGGTGTGAATGCGCATGTGGGGGCGAAGGGGGCGCACGGGGGTGGCGAAGCGGCGGGCAGGGGGGTGGCGAAGCGGTGCGCGGCAGCAGCTTGCTCACTGGAGAACGATAGGAAAAGTGGGGGGCATCCTATACATGGGGGCATCTTATAGATGGAAAAATATGGTAGTTTCATTTTGAGCAAATGTCTCATAGAGCTTTGCACAAAGATTCTTCTTCCTTTCCTGTTGATGAATGAGCAGCACAACAAGCAAATATGCTCATAAACTGCACCACCAAAAGAATGATGAGGTTGAGACAGAGCATAGGGACCCATCAGCAGGTGCGCAGCCTACTTGTGTGCACGGGGATATCTCGGATGTCATCCTCTGTGCATGGATTTTATGTCCTTACGGCAACTTTTTCATGTAATTTTTTAAAAAGCAGAATTCCTGCTTTAAGATATCTATACTACTGTTTATTTCCCCTTATTCTTTATGCTGCATGATTCATTATACTGTATTTATTAGGTGCATGAGACAGCCACAAGTAAGTTATTTGCACTCATTAGTTTAAACAAGGAAGTATATGCTTAAGTTTACCATTTAAATAAATGAGAATTAAAAAGGCAAAACTTTAGCTGGATTGGGTCACTGGGAAATATTCATGGATATTGTAATGTTAATTGTAATACTTTATTTTAAGAGAAATAAGATACCTCCATAACTTCTTGTTTCTCATCAGCTGCAAAAAGGTTGGGGACTTCTCCAGTATTAAGCACACTGTCAATATCTTCCAAAAATCCTTCTTCTTTAATTTGTGTGTCCGTGATTAGAAATACAGTTTTCAAGCCCTTCATGCCTGCACTCCTGAAAACGTTCTAAAAACAACGAGAATATCTTTTCATACTCTCAAAAATTAAATCACTTTTTATCCCTGGTTACTAAATATGCATCCCTACATAACAGTCTAAAATTCCATCATTATAAGTTATCATTTTCATCATTATTTCCATCATAAGAACAAAAGAACATAAGCCATGCTGGATCAGACATGGTCCATCCAGTCCAGCACTCCATTCACAGGGTGGCAAACCGCTTGTCCACAAGATTCCTCAAGCAGGATGAGTACAAGAGTTCTGCCTGAGATGCTGCCTTCGATAATGGAGGTTAGAACACAGCCAGCAAGGCTATAGCTACAAATAGCCTCTTCCTACATGAATTTGTCCGATCCCCTCTTAAAGCCATCCAGATCAGCAGCCATCACTTCTTCAGTAGCAGTGAATTCCATAGTTTAATTAAGTGGTGTGTGAAGAAAGGTTGAATCTCCCACCAGTGAGCTTCATGGATGATCCCATGTTCTAGTATTATAGGAGAGGGAGAAAAATGTCTCTCTCTCCACCATTTCACAATTCAGAAAACCTCTATCATGACTCTCCTTACTTGCCTTTTTTCTAAGCTAGACAATCCCAGTTGTTGTAACCATTGCACATAGGGTGGTTGCTCCAACCCCTTAAGATTTTCGCTGCCCTTCCTACACTTTTTCCAGCTCAATAATATCATTTTTCATGTGTGGCAACTAAAACTGCACACAATATTCTAAGTGCAGTTGCACCAAACATTTATATAAAGGGAGTATGATCTTGTCAGTTTCATTTTCAAATCCTTTCCTAACTATGCCTAATAAAGAGATTGCCTTTTTCACACTGGTTGACCTTTTCAACAAGGTGTCCACCACAACCCCAAGACCCCTTTCTTGACATGCCACTGCTAGCTCAGATCCCTTCAGCCTATAAGGGAAGTTGGGTGGTTTGGGGTTTTTTACCCCAATGTGCATTACTGCATTTTCTATTTGAACCCTTCCCCCAGTTTGAAGAAATCCCTTTGGAGCTTCTCACAATCCCTTCTGGGTTTTTTTATCACTCTAATAGTTTGATGCAGTGCTTTTTTTGTAAGGAACTCATGAAATTATTTATCTTTCGCACGTAGTCAATCACTGTACACACACCCACACATGTCAGTTGTATAACGAAACATAACGGTTGCCACCCACAGTAAGCACTCAGCGTGCAACCACACAACCAATCACAAGCTGAGCAGTGCCACAAGCCGAGCAGTGCCATCACAACCAGCGCGGATGAAGTACACATGCATCGGATTCGACACACAAGCAGCTCGCATGCACCATTTTAATTATTTTGCTGCCAACAGGGCGATTCAAATCCACATGGACCAAACATCAAATTTTCAAAAGTTACTTTTAAAGCTTGGAAAATCTGTCGAAAAAAGTTGCTGGAACTCTGTTCCAGCGTTCTATGACAAAAAAAGTACTGGTCTGATGTCATCAGCAAACTTGGCCACTTCATTACTTCTTCTAATTCCAGATCACTTATGAATAGGCTGAATATCATTGGTCCTGTGGGACTCCACTGTTTACATTCTTTCACTGGGAGAAATTACTATTTATTCCCATTCTCTGCTATCTGTTCTTAATCAGTTACTGATTCATAAAAGGACCTTTACTCTTATTTCATGACTACTAAGTTTGCTCGGGAGCCTTTGGTGCAGGACTTTATCAAAAGCCAGTGCATACCATTGTCATATTTTTAAGTGACATAATCTAAATGTGAATTTGTTGGCAATTAAGTCTTTGTTGTGATAGAGTTCTCACTGTGAAAAAAATACCCTCTCAAGATAATTTTGATCTTCCTTTCTTATGATAAGAGGCTCCGAATATATTCATATGCAGTACAAACATATATATTCTTTTTGTGCTTTTCAAAGGATTTACTTACCTTTAGATCATCCCTCCACTCATTCATTCCATAGCTCTTAGAAATTTCTGGTTGGAAAATATTCATTTTTGCCATGGATGTAGCCAAACGAGTCAAGGACTGTCGCCCACTTCCGCCCATTCCAACAAGTAAGGCATTACCTCCTGACTGCTTCAGCACACGGCATATGCGAGACAAATGTTCCAGCACATACCTATCACAGAAATATCCAGATCATAATTAAAACTAATTAATTAAAATAAAAATCCCATCCCATTCCTATTTTAATTGGCATGGAAATGGTGGGAATGTGAATAGTGGAGACTCCAGAAAAGAGCTAGCAGATACTTGTGCTAATACTATGAGAACGCCATTAGTAATAAGTATGTCTTGACTGTACAGCATACAACCTCTGTCTAACTCATTCCAAGATGTCAATACTTTAGAAATATTGTACTCTGTGACCTTTTGAAGCAGCTTATATATTTGAGAAGCAGGGGGCTGAATAGGGGGCTGTAAGAAACAATTCCAACAAGATTATGAGTGAAAGCATCCTCATAAGGAACAGAATTGTAATTGTTCTAAACAGGAATATCTGTAGAAGTCCTAAAATAGAGTGCTATTGGAAGAAACAATTTTCAAAGAGCTTAAGCACCTAAAAACTACTAGGTTCATTCTTGTTTTGTGAGTTTGGTTATATTCATCCAGACACAGATCTACAACATCACTGAATGCTTGTACATTTGGAATTTCAATGTACATTCTTTCATCTCCTTCAAGATCAGGATTCATGTAGTCTCCAAACAGCAGATTTCTCATATCTTCTTCTGTTACCTATTGGCAGAATATAAACAGTACATTCTCTATTTCATTTGTATATTGTGCATTTAAGAAGGCACCAATAATGTAATACTATCTTAAGAATGGTAACAAGGGATAGTTACAACTAAAGGTTATATGGCTTTAAAGTTTCAAGTTTAACAGATTTATTGTGGCACAAGCTTTTATGGATGGAAAATCATTTCATCAGATGCTGATGATTTTCATTTGGCACACAGAGGTATAGAGAAAGATTGGGTGGTTGCATTTCAAACAAAAGCACACCTGCAAATAAGCTATGTGTCATGGCTTGTTTACTAAATAGCCTATGGTATGTCCAGCAGATGATCAGGCTTGCTGTGGTTTGTTCTCATCTCCCATCTATCCCGGGGGACTTTGCAGCAAAACCTCCTTATCTGCCTCTCCCTGCTCTGACCACTACTATTTATATATATATATATTCAGTGCCTCATAAGTGTGCAATTGATGTCACTCCAACCAATACCCCTTTTTGTTCCCAGGTTTTTATTATTTTGTGATACATGAAAAATGTGCAGTTAGGATTGTAATTTATTATTATTGTTGTTGTTCATTTTTCATTACTGTGCAATCTCATCTTGCCAATTTCTTTGTTTGTTTCAGGTGCTAAAGGGAGGAACAAAGGGGAACAGGCAAAATACCTGTTGGGCTCATTGCAAGTACTTCACAAAATAGCCAGCCCCAGTGTGACCTATTGTCAGCCAGTGAGAGAGGTCAATTTTAATGAAAAACAGGAATACTTACAGGTGCATTCCCTTGTCTCAGATGTGTAAAAACGGAATCAAATGCTTCTTTGAAATGTTCTTTCACAATCTCTTTCATTAGTTTGAAGAGCCAAGCTCTATCAGTGTCATCTACAAGGCGGTCATAAAATACTCGGAAAACTTCATGCACAAAGAGACGAACCATTGTATTTTTGTTTAAAACAGAATCCTTCTTAATGAGCAGACAGCCTAGAATAACTCGTGAAAAGTCACGCAGATTGAATGTATAATGAGATTTGGCTGGTGTTGGCAACAGGTTGTCCATGGCCTTCTTATATACCTTGAGGATTGAAAATAACATGAAAAACTGAAGATAGCTGAACTCTTAAAGAAATTCAAGATCCAACCAGTTCTACTAATGGGCAGCAAAATCAAGATTGGTGGAGGTTAATCACAAAGGACAAGTAACATACTCACTGGCACTCATGGAAAATTACGGTGGCAACGGCTATAAGTTTCCACTCTACTTTGAAGCAATCCCAGAGGTCAATAAGAAAATATAAAAATAATTTAAAATAAAATTTGGGAAGAAGAGAATATCTCCATGGCCACCAAGCATGATGTCTGTGGACGTGCTGACAGATATAGGTCCCATACTGTCTGCTTCTGAGTTAGAGATTAACAGGTGAACATATTCAACTTCATTTATTACTTAATCTAAAGTGGCCAAAAGCCTTTCAGGAGGCAAGATGCAGACTTTATATTGGATGTAACTTTCTCCTACATTTTAGAAAAAAATCAGCTCCATGTTTCTCAGAGGCGATATGCTTCGGAGGTACCATTTTGGAAGTCTCTTGTATAGTACAAGTAGAACAAACAGGAATGACATGCAGATAATTAAAATATGATTTACATCCTAGGCAATCCTCTCCAAGGGAGGCTCAGAAGGTAGCAACAAGAGGCGGGGCCTTCTCAGTGGTGGCTCCCTGATTATATAATGATCTCCTCACTGAGACCCACCTGGTGCCAACTTGCTATCTTTTCAGTGCCAGGTTAATATCTTTTTCCCTGAGGTATTTATTAGCATGGGTGAGGGGGTGGTATGTTGGTCTGGTTGCACTGGGAAAAACGTTCAGCTGTTTACATATTTGAAAATTGTAAGCAGTTTTTATTGTATTGCGTTTGTGTACTTCATGAATTGCTTGGAACAACCCAGACATCTTTGGCTATTGGGTGGTATAGAAATGAAATAATAAATCATAATTTTACCTCCATTGTGCCACTGACAATTTGGTTTCCAACAGTGAAATATTCTGGCACAAATTCATTTGCTCTGAGGTAGAAGGATACAACAGTAGAGAAAATCCGGACCATTGTTTCATCACTAAAGGCATTAATGGTGCAAATATTGAAGTGTCTCAGAAAACGAGGTGTGACTGGATTTCTTCCACCACCAGGTGGACCCATGGCAGCCACCAGTTGTACATCAACTAGAAGGATTTTATTTGTATCTTTTAGGTCATACCTTCAAAACAAAGGAAAGGATGATATTCAGATTTAGAAACATACTAGAATATAATATCTGCATTTAGAAGTATCTAAAATTGCATTCCAACAGTTCTTACCTACTGAGACAACTGCATGAATAGACATATCATTTGAACACAGAATTCCATGTTATCAAGGTTTGCCTCCCTTACTTTCTAAATAATTTCTGCAACAAACTTTGCAGAGGACAACACTTTGTTTAATGTGAGTAGTTTCGACGGCTACTGAAGATTAGTAGCCTGAAATTAATGAATTGTTTTTGTCTATCTTTTATAAACTCAAGTTTAAAAGTATAATGCAGATTTCCCTTTTCCTAATGCACACAAACACTGTACAAAAATCCAACACTAGAATGAAGTATGCCTGGCAGGGTTTAACCTACTGATTTTCTTTAATTTTGTGCTGAAGCAATTACCAGTTTCCATGGTCAAAAAACTGTCTTAGAAGTTCAATAGGAGGCTGAGCTCCATATTGTTCCAATGCAGGCATGTTCATATCATCTACAAAGATAATGCACTTCTTTCCCATTGGTGGGCCAAATATTCCTTTCCGTCTTTTGTCCAGCCTGGCCATAATAATGTTCTAAAATACAAAAATAAAACACATTTCCTACTGATTAGAATTCTTGCAAAGTAAGATAGGAAATTCTTGCATGTCTAATAAAGATGCTAGTTATTTTGGGTAAACTGCTTGAAAACATTATTAAAGATAGAATAGCACATAGAGGGTCAAACCATTCTGGAAGAAAAATCAGAATGGCTTGCACAAGGGAAAGCCTTATCTCACTAACCTATTGGAGTTCTTTAAGGGTGCCAGTAAGCACATAGACAGGCGTGATCCAGTAGATATTGTTTACTTGGAGTTCCAAAAGGCTTTTGACAAAATCCCTCATGATTTGACAAAATCCCTCATGAAAGCCTCCTGAGCAAACTAAGCAGTCATGAAATAAAAAGGGGGCAGGTTCTCTTATGGATCACTAACTGATTAAATAACAGAAGACAGAAACTGAGAATAAATGGCAATTTCTCCCAATGAAGCAATGACATCAGTGGAGCCCCATAGTGTTCTGTATTAGGACCAGTGCTTTTGAACCTATACATAAATTATCTGGAATTAGGAGTAAGTTTGGCTGGTGACACTAAATCTGGGAGAATGGGCATAAAAATGGCAAATGCAGTTCAATATAAGAAAGTATAGGGTAATGCATGTTGGGGCAAAAATCCCAAGTTCAAGTATACATCGATGGGATCTGAACTAGCAGTGAATGAGAAAGAATGGGATCTTAGGGTAGCAGTGGACAGCTTGATGAAAATGGCAGCCCTATTATTATTATTATTATTATTATTATTATTATTATTATTATTATTATTATTATAACATTTCTATGCCGCCCCTTGCCGAAACCTCGGGGCGGCTTACAACACAATAAAATTGTGTTGAAATACAATAGAACATAATAAATTACCATTAAATACAAAAATACAAAAAATACATTGAGTTACAAACATAATAATATAAAATTAAAATTATCAGTATAATATAAGTAAATAAATAATATAGGAGGAGAAAAGAGAAGGAAGAAGAAGTTGCCCTGGCCAGATCATATATTTTAACAATTAAAATGATGTTTAAATAAAAAGGTCTTTACCTGGCGCCGAAAAACCAGTAACGACGGTGCCAGGCGGACCTCTTTGGGGAGTGAATTCCATAGGTTGGGCGCCACCGCAGAGAAAGCCCTCCTCCGAGTACTTACTCTCCTAATTTCTTTCATGGAGGGTTCCCGGAGAAGGGGCTCTCCCGCAGATCTCAAAGGGCGGTCGGGCATATACGGATGTAAGCGCTCGTTCAGGTAGCCAGGACCCAAGCCATGCTCAGCTGCCTTGAAGAAGGCAAACTCCATACTAGGCATAATTAGGAATGGAGTAGAAAAGGGAACTGCCAAATTCTTACTTTCCTTATACAAATCTTTGGTGCAAGCATACTTACAATATGGAGTTCCATTTTGGTCAACTTATCTGAAAAAAATATTCACTTGAAAAAAGCTGAGAGGGGCAATGGAAATTATCAGGACACTGGAGCAACTCCCTATGAGGAAGAGCTGCAACAACTGGGACAGTTTTGTTTAGAAAAACAATGAGTAAGGGGAGACATGATACAGGTGCTTAAAATAATGTATGGACTGGAGGAAGTATAGATGGAGACATCCTTCTCCCTCTCCCCTAACACTTAAACTCAGAGTATTCCCATGAAGCTGATTGATGGAAGGTCTAGGACATGTAAAAGAAAGTACTTTTTCACATAGTTGATGGTACATCAATGAACATCAATGCCTAAATTAACAAAAAAATTCAGAACATTTCTAATTATAGTTGTTCTTACCAACCTGAGTCTGATTGGCACTTGTTCGAGCCGAAAAATTAACAAAGAAAGGGAAGTAGTGTTCCTTTTCCAAATGGTTCATTAGCTTGTCTTTCACATATACAGATTTTCCAGTACCTGTTGGTCCCACAAAAAGCAGTGGTCTTGAAAAGAATTTAATATGTTTGTATTAGTCTCTCTGTAGAAATGTGTATAAATTATAAACAAAAAAGACTAATAACTGGCAGTATTGTACAGTGATGTACAAATATATGGCTGCCCTAAGTTTCCAGTTACTTATTCATGAAATTTCAGTAATGTAAAGGAACAAGCATAAATTAGAAAGAAAAGTCAAAACACACTTAGCTTCATTTAATGGATTATATTACACAGTTGGCATCCAGGAATCTTATATAGAATAGAGGTTTTATTTATGAACTGTGCTTATTTCTGAATGCAGTGTAGAGATTCATACATGGGAGTAAGCCATTATCTCTAAAGGTAGATTAGTGCAGAGGGAATGATTATAGTGACATGGCTGTACTGACTAGTTCTGAAGTCCAATACAATGTGCTAGTCCTGGTTTTTACAGTTCTAAACTGTGATATCCAAACAAATCATTTTTTTTCCTACCTAAGAGGTCTCCAAATGTCCCCACTGAGTGGGCAGGGAGGCACTCATATTATGGACCCCCTTCCCCAGTTATTGTTCATTTGACATCTTCTTTACTATCTTATAAGTACCAAGTAAAACTGGTCGTGTACTTTCACAGATTTAAGGAGTGACCCTATAGGCCTTAGGCAGCACTGGGGAGGGGCATAGAATATTTTGGAGTCCCAGCTCAGTGGTCAGAAATAGTGCTTCAACCTTGAAGTTGGGAAAAGAAGGGGAGCAAAATCCACTCAAATATATGCATATTTTAGCATAAAGATCTTACAGTGCTAAGTAAGCCTTAGCAAAAGCATTCCAACCTTTTTCAAATGAGGAGGGGGGTGTGCAAATCTGAGAAACCACCAAATAGTTTGCAGAGTGAGAAAAGAAGGGGTTCTGGCCATCTCAGTAACTTCAGAGGACCAGACAGGGTTCCAGGAGTGCCAGATTTGGCTTGCAGGCCTGAAGTTCAACAGCCGCTCTTTTAACTATGACTAAAAATTATACCTGTATTACTCTTTACCATGTTTAATGCTAATTATTTCCCAGTTTAACTACAATCTGAACCCAGGTTTTGAAGCAGATTTAGAAACACTTCATTAATCATGGTCTGTTACACTGCAAATTTAACATGGTTAAAGCTGACAGGGAAATGGCACCATTGCCACCTGTCAGATTGACCTTTTTTTTGGAAGGGGAGAAGAAGCTAAATATGCTCTGAAGAAGCTCTGAATGTGCTAACACATGCTGAAACCAGGAGGTGTTAGCATCCCTTAGTGGGGATTCTGACAGAGTACCATAGTTCTGGAAAACAATCTGCCCTTAGACTCATAGATTCCTTAGACTCTGCCTCATGCCTGGGCTACTTCCATCATTCCTACCTACCTGGCTATAGTTAGAAGACCCCCACCCCACACCCCGCTCCAGGCTGGACAGCTTCCCACATTGCTCACAAGCCTGTGTTTCCATTTCCAGCAACCCAGGGCAGTCTTCAAATCTCAAGCTTCTTTGTTAACAGGAATAGAAAAGACTGAAGGGACAACAGGGGTGCAAAAATGACATATTCTCATACGTTAATTCAATTCAAAAACCAGGTTTTGGAGGCATTAAATAAAGTCTTCATGTGAACAATGAAGCTAATTTCATTATTACAGGAAGAAATGTTTCTTACTTTCCATATCTGATGCACAAATCCATTAAATAGGTATATCTGACTGTGTCCATTGTTGGAACTATAATGTCTTGAATCTTAACAGTTTTATCAAAATTGGCAGTTTTAATAGCTTCGTTCCAGTGTGCCCATCGACCCTTTCCTTTGAGCTAGGAAGGAATACAGAAATAAAGTTTTGTGGAAGATATGTGCCAAAAAAGAAATTCAAAATTGTTTTACTAACATTTAATGCTTTTAGCAATTATTATTTTGAACATTTAATTGAATCTCATCTCATCTTAAATTATAAAATTGTAGATATAATTTATTTATTTATTTATTTAAAACATTTCTCTGTCGCCCCCATTGCAACAAAGCCTCGGGGCGGCTCACAAAGAATACATAAATAATGATAATATAACAATTTTAAAAAATCGTTTAAAAACTATGCATTCCCGGTGCATTCTCGGCTAAAAATTCAATATATATGAAGTATATTGCTATGTATTTACTAATAAGTGTAGTGTTATTTAGTACTAGGATGTAATAAACCCAGTCACTTCCTTGTCAATGGGAAAAGTTCCTCCCAGATATAGCAAACACTGCAGTATTTCCATCAAACACCCTACCTGCAGTCTGGCCCTTTAGACTTCATTTTTCCAGAAAGAAAAGGAAATATACTTCTCTTGCAAGGTGCGGTTTGAGGAAAAAGTATTTGCATGGAGCAGCAAAAAGAACTTCCTCTTTACTATTTCCTCCAAAAACCCAACTGGAAGGGACTGAAAAACATCTATAGCCCTTTACTACTCTATGGTTGAAAGGGATAGCCTCTCTTTCTCTACTTTGTGCAAGAAGCAAAAGCACATTTCTCAGGAGAAAAAACAACTTTTTTCCTCTACAGATAACAAGGAAAAAAAGAGAAAGGGAAAAGAGGCATCTATTTCACAAGTTGACTTTCTGAAGAAGGCACCAACCAAACCTCACTGTTGTTGCTGCTAGAAAAAACAAAAAAATAAAAAAAAATAAAAACTCAAGGTAAAGAAAAGAGGAGACTATTGCTTTGTTTCTCTCCTATCTCATAGGTTTTGCATGAAGAAGTTGCAAGGTGCAGTTGAAGCCATGTTCAACTCTTGGTACTAAAATAATATCTCTTTCATAGATTCCAAGCAGTCCAGAGGGGGATCCCCCCTTTTTTTCTGCATGAGAAGTTTAAACTTTTGGTATTGATTATGCCACAGAAGAACAAGGGAATAGATGAGAACCCACTAGGGCTATCTATACTAGGATTTATTTATTTATTTTATTTATTAAAACATTTTTATGCCGCCCCATTCGCCGAAGCCTCGGGGCGGCTTACAACAAGGATGATGGGGGATGTTTAATAGCTAAAATTCCTCATCTATAGCAATCTCAGGAGTAGACTTCTTATAACAACCCTGTTAATCTGAGCCATATCCCACCATTGCCTTGGTATCACATTGAATTTGGTGTTGAATAGTATTGATTTCTGCTGGGATAAAATAGATGATTCTGCCTAGAATATTCTGATGAGATATATCTGGTCTTCAAGAGACCCACTCTTGTTTCAATGCTTATTTTGTCACCATGCCTTCACTGTCTGGTGGTCAGACATACACAGTGCAAAGGTAGCTGAAGAATAGATGTGGAAGAGTTATGGGTCATTTGTTATGGGTCTTCCATAATTGCTGGGACATTTGTAAGAAGGAAACTTACAAGCAGGATGCGAGTTCAGCACCACCTTCTGCCCAAGTTCCTCAGCAACTGGTATTTATAGGGATACTGCCTTGAATATTTGAGGACGTATAGAGCCATCATGACTCACACCTACTGACAGCTCTGCCCACAATGAATCTGTTCATATTGGTGGCCATTTTTGAAAGTGAATTTCATAATTTAACAATGTTCCATGTGAAGGAGAACTTCCCTTTATCTGTCTTGAATTCCCTACCAACCAGCTTCATGGGGGAACTCTAGGTTCTAGTATTGTGTAGGGGAGAAAAATGCCTCCTTACCTACTTTTTCTACATCTTGAATCATTTTGTACATTCCTTACTTGCCTCTTTTCTAAGCTAAGCAGTCCCAGGTATTGAAGCTTTTCCTGCTCTTTTTTCAATTATACAATACCTCTTTTAGGTACAGTGACCAGATGTGAAAGAAGAATTGTATTGGCAGTTTTATTTTCCATTCCTTAGTTATGTCTAACATGGAGTTTGTCTTTTCCACAGCAGCTGCATACTGGGTTGACATTTTCACTGAGCTATTTAGCACTGTCCTGTCCACAATTTTTTCTTGGGTTCTGAGCTATCTACAACTGACCTACAGCTTATACTTCAATTTGAGTTGTTTTTTGTTTGTTTGTTTGTTGGTCACAATGTGCATCGCTTCACACTTGCTTACATTAAATATTTCAACACATTGATCTTTAGTCTGTCTTCTAGTTTAGAGAGAAATTATTTACTCACCCTAAACAAATTTTTGCCATCAGCAAACTTGCCCATTTTACTGTTCACTCCCAATTCCAGGCCATTTATGAATAGATTGAAAAGCACTGATCCCGTAATGGATCCCCATGAAACTCCACTTTTTAACATCATTCCACTGGGAGAATTTATTATTTGTTCCAACTCTCTACATTCTATTCTTTAATCCTTTAATTGGTTCTTTAACCAATTCCTCAGCCAAAGAAGTTTCCCTAACCGCATGCTGCACACATGCAGAGTTCATACGCATAAATGCAGAGAGATCAAAAGAACAGCCACCTCTACATTCTCACTTTTCCACTCTATAAAAGGAAGGTGTGATTTCTGCATTTATCTGTTAGGCTTCTGTGGAGGAGCTAAAACAGAAAGATGCTTCTTGTACCTTTTGCAAAAGACTAGTACAAGGACCAACACTCCTTCCTTTCCTGACTAATGTGCACATACCACAGAATGTAAGGAAGGAAGGAGTTGGCGGCAACAGCAAATAATAGGGTTGTTGAGCACTTTCTACTATACCTCAAGATAAAATATGCTTGCTATATATTTGGGTTTTAAAAATATAACACAACCGTAATTCAGAAAGGGACACTGTCTGAACATATATAATTTAGCAATCTTGCTGTAGTTAAGCAGTTCTGGATCTAGTTTGTGCTTGGATGCAGGCCCACTGCAGAGTTTTCTTTAAAAAATGAAGTCTGAAGATGGGTAGGGTATACATATAATCAAACAAATAAATAGCCAAGTAGTATAGAATTCAATGATAGATCAAAAGGTCCATGGATAAAATCCAAGTGTCCCCTTCTAGTTGTTTAGAATGCACATATCATGCAAGATCCTTCACTGTATGAATTCCAGCTGAAATAAAACCATCTGAAGCCAAAGCTTCCCAGGAGGGGCTATTTAAGCTGCAGCTTTTAATGGTTAAATTCCATTTGTATTCCTACTGGCTTAAAACAATTATTTACATTCAAGTACCTATTAAAAAGTTAAATTGAAATTCTCTGTTAATAATTCTATAGATGATTTCATACCTCAAACATGTAATCATACACCAAGCCTTTCTCTTCAAAAGGATGGTCCCATTTGCCCACAGATGCTGGCACTGGATGTTCATCTAGCTTTCCTGTTACAATATCTCTCATAAAGCTATCAAATAGAACTCGGCCATCACTATCACAGGTTCCACCAATGGACCAAACCAGGGAGAATGCAAAACAACCCTAACATTAAAAAATATCAATTATTAAATTGTATTTTCACAGCACACACTCATCAGCTTATTACTGAACTAGCCTGTTATATACTCAAGGCAAATATCAATTTAAACAGTTTGAAGTGCATACTATTTAGCTACCACAAATAATCATTTAATTATTTATCAATGTAAAAAAAGCTGTTCAAAGTATGAAATTTGTCAAAAGATATATCACCAATAGCTAAATATAAAATACAACAGTCGTCTTCCAGCTACACTGTCTGCCAGTTGACGTTTGGGCCCAATTCAGAGTCCTAGTACTAACATTCAAAGCCCTAAATGGCTTGCAGCCAGGTTATCTGATGGATAACCTGGCTCCCATATGTACCAATATGTACCATCCTCCCATATTTACCAATCCAGACCCTGAGGTCATCTTCAGGGGATCTTCCCTGGTTGCCCCTTCAGAAGGAAGTGAAGCAAGTGGTTACCAGAAGGAAAGTTTTTCAGTTTTGGCACCTTGATTTTGGAATAAACTCCCCAAAGAGGTCCATGTGGTGCCAACTTTGGATTCTTTTCAGCACCAGGTGAAGACCTTTTTGATTTTCCCAGTATTTTAATAGTTCAACTTTTTAATTTTTCTTTATATATTCAGTTTTAGTTTGTACTGCTGCTATGCTGTGCTGAATCATAGCATTGGAATTGCTATTATGGTTTTGTTCTTTTAAATTAATTAGTTTGTATCTTTCTGACTTTTTTTAAATGACCAGAGAGCCTCAGCTATTGGACGGAATAAAAATGAAAAACAAAAACAAATATATAAGTTGGACCAACCATAATCCACTTGTTGATGTTTTTGTTACTAGGATCCTTTTGCACAGTGTCACAAAGCAGTATTTCCAAAAGTCGAGTTAGCGATACTATATTATTGCTATTGCTAGTAGGAACTAACTCCTGTAAGAGGAAAAAAACTTTTAAAAGTACATGTGTAATGAATACAGATATTCATGTCTAATAAATGAAACTTTTACTTTAATGCAGCACCATTTTATCTTTTATTAATTTAAATTTAGAACAGTTACAAAGGTGGATCTAGGTGGGGTAGGGATCATGTTTCCTTAAGATGGAGCAATACAATCATTTGTGGCTGCCTGCAACCCTCTTGAAGGATAAAGGGCATACAGTATAGGGCAGAAAAAGTGAAAAAGCAAAGGTCAGCTCCATGCTTCTCCCACCTTGCAAAACAACTGGCTAAGTGATTTGCTCCAGTGCATGAGGAGGAGAGAAAGCAGATACATTGCACCACGCCCGACCTTCATTCCTCCCATCCCTGCCCCCTTACAACTCTCTCACTTGACTATCAGTCTTCACACCTTAGAGCCATATCCAGCATGGTCCTTTCTGCACTGGCCGCAAGGGTGGGATGAGGGTACTCTGAGATAAATCCCAGCTCTGACTTCAGAGTGTGCTTCTGAGGTCAGAGCTAGAGCTCTGATTGCACTCAAAGTGTTTCATATTGTCTCAAACTATTTCCATCTTAATCAACCAAATGCCCATTTCTAGAAATAATCTTTTTAAAATGTACACTGATTATTTTTCAACGAAAAGGATATCCTGTGTAGACTGCTTATTTATAAGCAAACATAGTATGCTTATAAAATGCATACAAGATAGAAACATAGAAACACAGAAACAGAGCAAGTCAGAAGGGGTCTCCCAGCCATCTAGTCTGATCTCTGGCTCTGTTCACGACATGCCCATCATGTGCATGTCCAAGATAAATTGTACTTAGTTCCATATTTGTTGAATATGAATTGTCCTAGTTCAGTTTATTAATTCATTCATTTACATTTATGCCCCAACCCTTTTCCTCTTACAAGGAACAGAACACAACTTATATGGTCCTTCTCCTCTGCATTGTTTGCTCGCAACCCTGTGAGGAACATTGGGCTGAGACTCAGTGACTGGCCCAAATTCACCCAATGAGCTTCATACACAGTTAGGAACTAGAACCTGGATCTCCTAAGATTCCATCCAAAACTCCCACAACTATATGACACTGACTATAACTCCTAGCCTAGAGTTGATAAGCCACCGTCCCTTCTAGGAACTTACTTAAGAATGGTACCTTGGAGACCCAGTGATAATTTTCCAATGCCACTGGATCTAATTTTGGCTTTTCAGAAGTGGTTTCCCCATTAAGTATTTTAAAAGAAGTCTGGACAACCCCATCCCTTAGCTGAAACTTTCTTCTATTCTGCTACCCACAGTCCTGACAGATTTTACAAGCTACGATACAAAGAACAGGTGATTGGTTTGATTTCTCCAAGCAGTTCATCCATAGCCTCAAGATGTCCAAGCTGAAAAATATCCATAACTGGACCAGAGCATGTTCTGGCTACATCTATCAATGATTATGTCAAAACAGATTCTGTGAAGTAACTATTTCCCAGAGAACAACCCCTTAACTACCTTGCATTTTTTCCGACGAAGTCGTAATGCAGGTGGTATAAACCAGTTAAAAAGGTCTTGGAAAAGGTCTTGATACTCCTTTTGATCTAAAGGTTCAGGAAGTGTGTTCAACCAGGAAGTTACAAGCGGCATCCAGCCCAATTGTAAAGGTTCCAAGTAAATCATTCCACAACGACTGACTGTGGCAGGCTATTGCAGAATAATAAAAGTATTCTTAAAATCTCATAATATCTCTATTTTAAAATCTAATATACTATTTAAATTTGATTTTAACTTACTGAAGCCTGAGACAGATCCATAGCTTCAAAGATAAGGCTCATCTGAGCTGACATTTGGATGATTTCTCCACTCATCAAACAAAGCTAAAACAAAAATGCAAAAAGCACCCGCACAACTTTAAATAGGTCAATTCATATTTGTGTGTGTGCACATGCATGTGCATGCATAACAACACAAATCCACCACAACTGTTTTACAGCAGAAGTAGACAAATGCATTTATCCCCAACTTGAAATGAGACAATCTGTTGAGGAGGAAGTCAGAATAGCTACATGGTGCCCTTTGATTAGTAATATTATGAGCACTCCATGTGGAAACAGCTTGAATCTTTCATTGCAACCAATCACTGAAAGAAATATCAGAATCATCACTGGATTTTTAACACAGCAAAAATTATTATTCTAAATTCTCAATGCTGAAAGCATAGAATCCATTTTAAAGCACTCTCAGAAGACAATTGACTGCTTATATACCTGCTCTGCCGCTGGATCTCTGTACTACTCTTTCTGGTTTCCTGTGCTCATTTGTGCATGTGTATGTGCATGTATCCTGTTCTCCTCTTTAAAAACCATATGCTAGATCTATTGCACTGTTGTTGCCCAAGGAAGAGATAGATGAAGTTGAATAACCTGTAAATGGGCATACTGTTTTCTAGAAATTGAGATTTTGTTTTTGTAGTGGACCAGAGATGGGTTTTAAGCAAATATTATTAACTCGCTTTCTTATTTTTGACATTCCCTTTGTATTAAAACTCAATAAAACAATTTATATTAAAATGAATTGGCTGTACTAACTTTGATTGAAAAGCATGTATTAACAAACATGTTTCTCAAAAACTTGTCAAAAGAAAGAGCAGTTGCAGTATGATGCATATTCTTTCCCTAATTACCAGCTTCCTGAGTGGTAATGAAATGTTCAAAATAACGTGCTGGTTCTCAGCCATTTTGGACCTTGACCCACTGCATAAACTTTTAATAGCTTTTATTTTCCTAAAATTTATTTCTTACCAGGGTTAATTGTTGAACATCTTTAAGATTGCTTTTATCCATGTATTCACTTAGGCATTACCTTTTTGTTGTCATCTAACACAGTGTTCATGCTTTCTATCCAAAGGGTATCAATAGGACCATCAAAAACAACCCATTTGCGGTCAGGTGTCTCAGTTAAAGCAAATTCTCGAAAAGTGTTGGCAACTATGCCATCTGTCCACTAAAATGAAGGAGGAACACTTATTAAAATTTGACACAAATGCTCAACTGACTCTATTGGTACTTAACTGAAAAATGGTTGGTTGTTCTACTGAATGGACAAGCCGAACAAATAAAACATGCAGGCAAATATTAAGTCTTAAATTATGTATAGATAAAGCAAACAAATAATGTTTTTACGGGCATACACTAGAAGAAATAAAACGTGTGTGTGTGTGTGTGTTACATTTAATGTGAATCAAATGAAGGGTACATAAATACTGGTATTATAATTAATACAAATGTGAAGAAATGGTATATAAATTTGCAACACAAATGAGAATTTCATGGTTTGTCTGGCCACTATACATAGACTATGTTAGCTTGCAGAATGTGAAATTATTCAAGGGACAGTATCACTTTAACTGACTCAGTGCTGAGTATCTATAGCATGAATGTACAAATGGTGATCTAATTCCTCAATGTAGATTAATTGAAAGAAAAGACATTTGCTTTCTATTGTCCAAAATATTTGAGGTACAGCTATGTATGCCTCCTACATTAACACGCTCTGCTTCTGGTACATATGAATTTTGACAGTATCATTTCTTGGGACCTGCAAGAATGAGAGTTAACCACACTGTAAGAATTATTAAAATGAATTCCGTTTGTTATTGCCTACAAATGTTAAGTTACCCACTGGGGTACCAATTATGGCATTTAAAGAAGTCCCACAGTTGTCTAGAGTATGAAAAAAATCCATTCAGAGAGCTATTAGACAATATATAGATTGCACTTGGTCAGCCTATTTCCCTTTAGAAACATCTGAACATGAAGATCCTGGATATAGCAAGGTTTCTGATACAAGTAAGAGTTCTGAAGACAGCACCTGCTTCTTTCTTTTGTGTCAGCCCTTTTCCAAACTTTTCTCTACAAGGTAGAGTATCCAGAGCATCAAAACCCAGCCTGTAACTCCTGGTTTGCATATCACTTTGCAAAACTCTAAACCCAATTCACAAGATTATTATTTTATCCAATGTGTGCTGAAGACATCCCTGATAGTGCTGAAACAGGTACTATATTACTAGAAGTCATTACAAATCCATTGTTGTGGTCTCAGTACAGAGGATTAGGCTTATCTGACCAAAGGGAGGCAATGAAGGCAAACTTGGGTTTTAAAGATGAATTGCACCACCACTCTGTGTAAGCTGCCCTACCTTTCCTGTGGTAGCACCCTAACTATGGAATGTTCTCCCAAAATATGTTTGATAATTTTAAGTGCTAGGTGAAATCTGTTCTGTTTCCCCAAGCTTTTGGCAGTACATAATATGAAGCTGTTCTGTTATGATGATCTGCTGCTTATTAGGCTGGTGCTTGCTTATTTTCTGCTTACCTCCTTTTCTCTTACTTTATTTTAGTTGTTTATTTTAATCTTATACCTGTTTTGATATTTGCTTGTATGCCACCTGTCAACCCCTTGTTGAAAGAGTGAATAACCATTAGTTTATTTATTTATTAAAATATTTATTCTCCAGTTTTCTGCTTCAATTTAGAAGGCAGCTCATATTTTAAAACAACTTTTAAAAGTTTTTTAAAAGTCAGAGGTGAGAGATAACAATGCAATTAACATGGCATTAGGAAGTCAGAAAAAATCAAACGAAAAGTCAAGCATCCAGCATGTCTGAGAGAACAAATGTAGCAGTAAAATCAGTTCAAAATGATATCAGAGGATGGATTTAACCAAAAATGTTGAACCTCTTTCAGTCTAAGGGGCTACTTTAATTTCAAAGAAGCTTTTGGGGGTTGCATTCTAGGGATGGGCAGGGCCAGAGGGAGGGAAGACAGGAGCAAAAGACAAAAGGTGAAGTTGTATGATTGCTTTTCCCCTCTGGATGACAATATTCTGTGTATGCTGTCAATTTGTATACATTCTCCAGTATTAACTGGAGTTTTTGTATTTTGATTACACAATATAAAAATGCATACATGTGTCAGTTTTTAAAGTACATTTTTCATTCAATTCACATTTAACAGCACATATAAACCATGGATTTTTTTGGGGGGGGCGGGCAACTAGATGTATGAAGATTTCACTGCACACCCTTATGATCAGCAAAAGATTCTACATTTTCAATATGTACTGTTTATCTATCTATCTATCTATCTATCTGTCTATGAACTTACACAGAGATGCACATAATTGTCAGCTTTCCTAGCCAAATTCCATTCTTCCAGATATAGGCAATGTTTGCATCTGCACAAGTATAGTCAAGGGCTTATATGGTTTATCACTGTAACCATATAAGGTATATTACCAAAGTATAACCAAGGTCTATTAAATACCTACCTCATGAGATACTGGATCAAATCGTCCAAAAAGCTGTCCCATGGTTATAGCTTTTGGATTTACAGTTCTGTGTATGACTCGTTCTTCTTCTCCATAACTACGCTGATTCATAAGGGTAAGTGTATCTGCCAACACATGCAACACTTTGGTCTTCCCAGCAAAAGGTTCTCCTACAAGCATAAAACTGATCAATAAAAAGTTGTTAGTCAATATTGTCCTTTCTGCCAAGAAGTCAATTTGACTACTACTACGACTAAACAGCACTGTATGTTCAAGCATTTATTCTCACAAGAGCTGGAACATTCAGTATCTTGAAGGATTGTAGAAATGAGATGACAAAAGTACTGTGACTTTTTATTACCAGTTTTATTTGTTAAGGAAACTGGCTACATTTTAAAATGTCTCAACCAGAATCAAGATCTATAACCAGCAGACATCTCTCTCTTGCTAGCTGTTTATCACTGGGGTTTGCATGTACTGTATGTGGAAGACCTGTTGTACACAAACATTCTGCATGCACATTGACTCCCCATGCACTGATGCCCTACTCAAACAGAGGTATATGATGTGCAGGTGGCAACTGCTTTGAAGAGCTGGCTCAGTTGCTTTCCTACTGAACTGCTTGCCTCAGCAAGAACATGGCCAGCCAAACTGTCTGGAGCGCCCACCCACCATACGCTTCCCTTTGAGCGGCACAGGGTGACAAGAGCTTCAAGACTCCTGGCTGTTCTTGCAGCAAGGTTCACGGGATCTATGGCCCTTCCTGATCCATTGCATGAATCAAAGGCTCATCCCACCTCATGGGAGACGCCTTATTGCAGGTGGCAGTACTGGCCCAAGCCAAATATAGCAGTGTCTTTCCCATTCTCTTATGAGACTGCTTCGGTTTATTAAGAGGCAATCCAGGAAGTTGAAATGACTTTTTCCCTTTAAGTTAAAAGGGAGCTTTTATTCAAGAGAACTTCCTCTTTTCCTAGGAAGAGTCTAAGTATTGGCCCGAGAGGAGAAGAATTGATGTCGGTTAATTTTCTCCTATGTCTTGTTGCTTTCTTGAGATAATGTGAATTTGACTCCATCTCTTGAAACTAATTAAGTTGAAGACCATCTTGGTCAAATAACAATGGACCAAGTAGTATAGGAAGTTTGCATTGTTTAAAGTATCTATTCATTCCTTCATTATATTTCTATATACATATTTCATTAGGCAAAGATCTGTGGGTAGCTCTCAGCAGTTTAAAATTATAGTAAAAATTAGTACTAGTATAAAGATTTATAAATACAATAACAAATTTAAATAACAACAGGGACTGAAGCACAAAATGCCTGGGGAAACTGGGCCTCAAGCCTGTATCTTTGCCGGTACTGTTACAAAATGATGAGTTCAGTTGAAATCAAGTAGTTTTCTCTTAACTTCTACGATGCAAAATGCACACCATATACAGTGTTTGATGCACACATGAACCATTCCACACCTCATGAATATGGTCCAGTCCATATTACATTTAGTCAAGTCCCATTGTTACATAGGCTTTGTAACAATCATGTGGTGTTTCTGAAAGGTATTTCTCAGAAATATACTTACCCATGTCGAACTATCATCATTTCATAGGTCTGTATCATCTTTTCTAGAAAAACTTTAACAGGCTGAACATTGTGTGTTTTACAGCATTCATTTGCACATTCCAGAAAATCCTGAAATGCAATTTAAAAAGACTTTCCTAAATTAGTTTTAATCTGATCCATAACTTTAGATGGGTCTTTAATTGTTAAGAATGTATCATCAGCAAATATTTTTGGTGGCTACTAAAAATTAAGAAATGTCTTAATTTCTTAATTTCGAACAGTTCAAATTCTAATGCAATCTTCAGCTTTACAGAAGACTGTGTGAACTGAAGTCTACCAACAAAAGTAAAGACATGAACGATGTTATCATTATATAGCTAGAAATGTATAACTTCATTAGCTAAAACTGGCAAGTACTAAAACTATTACTATGGAACTATCTCCTGCAACTGTACTCACATTGTAGTCAGCTTGAGGGAGTTTAATACCAGGAAATAAATCACTTGTAATGCCCAAAAACAGAGGTATATCATGTGACAAAAATTTAGGTTCATTTACATCTTTGATTGAACGAAGCAGCTGAAAAACAACAACAAAAAAGCAAAAACAGAAAGTATGTTCAAGTTTATACAACACATATTAATCTTAACAACAAAAAAATGTGCAATGTGCTTCCTATTAATATCTCTTTTTTTCAAATCTCTAATTAAGGAAAGTTATGGCACAATCCCATGAAATTGTGGGATTTCATCAATTCAGCTCCTCGACCCGAAGCTGACTTTGGAAGCTCAATTGTCGGCGATGTCGAGGAGCGCTTTCCATCAGCTTTGGCTGATCCATCAGCTGCGTCCCTACCTGGAGGACAACTGCCTGGCGACAGTGATGCATGCATTGGTTACTTCCCGATTAGACTTCTGTAACGCGCTCTACGTGGGGCTGCCCCTGAAGACGGTCCGGATACTTCAAATGGTGCAAAATAGAGCTGCCAGGTTGCTGACGGGGACTGGGCATTGTTCTCATATAACCCCAGTCCTTTGTCAGCTTCACAGGCTCCCCATTGAAGTCCGGGCCCAATTCAAGGTGCTGGTGCTTACCTATAAAGCCCTAAACAGCTTGGGACCTGGGTACCTGAAGGAGCGCCTACGTCCATACTTGCCCTCCCGCCCTCTAAGATCGGCGGCAGAGGCCCTTCTCCGGGAACCCTCTGTGAAGGATATTAGGAGGGTGAGTACCCGGAGGAGGGTCTTCTTTGCGGTGGCGCCCACCTATGGAATGTGCTCCCCAGAGAAGTCCGCCTGGTGCCGTCGTTATTTGCTTTTCGGTGCCAGGCCAAGACCTTTTTATTTACATGTTATTTTAATTAACTGTTAAATTATTTATTGCTTTTATTTATTGCCTGGATGTATCCAATTTATATATTTTTATATATTGTTATTTATTTGTTGGAAGCCGCCCCGAGGCTTATGCGAATGGGGCAGCATACAAGCATTCCAAATAAATAAATAAATGAATAAATAAATGCTACAATCATGAATTAGAATTTGTATCTACACAAAAGAAAGACATCAAAGGGGGTGGGGGCTTCCTCACACGACTTTCCAATCCCCAGAACAGGATATGTCAAATAAGTATGTGGCATTATTTAAGACATTTCCAGGCAAGCCAGGGGCTTTTAAGCACCACTAATGCTGAATCATTGTGCCTGACTTTTATAATTCAGCTGGGGATTCTGTTAATTCCTACGCTGGTCACTCCTAGTACAGACAGACTAGAACAGCCTTCCACAACTTAGGAGCATTCATAAACCAGAATTATAATACAACCCCACTCCAAAAATGCCTCAATAATTACCACAGCATAAGTAATATGAAAGACTCAATACTTGGGAATACTAAGAAACATTTAGTAATAGTAAGGAGGCAAAGTGGTAGCAATACTAAAGGACAAATAGTATCATCTAACACAGGTATTTTATGCTAAAGGCACATATTTTGAACAGGAGTTGCTGTGCCACTTGTGATACCCTCTTTATTTAGTCTCCCCCAAACTGGCACCCTTCACATGTTTTGGACTACAATTCCCAACATGTATAGTCAATGGCAATTTTGCTGTGATAATTATAACATAATGCTAATAAGAAATTCTTGGGAAATGTCTTATTTATATTATAAATTTGATTTTCTGATGCATTTTGGCCAAACTTATACCAAAATATAGTAGTTAACTTTTTAAGGTGACACAAGGCTTTTCCAGTAGTCAGTAGTAGTGAGTGTGGTATACTGGTTAAGACATGGACCTGGAGCTCAAACAATCTGGGTTCTAGTCCCACTCAGCCATGGAGCCAACTGGGTGACTTTGGGTTCTCAGCCTCTCAGCCCAAGCTATCTCACAGGGCTGTTATGGTAGGGATAAAACAGAGCAGGAAGAAGAGAATGATGCAAGCTGCTTATTTTAAGAAAAAAGGCAGGATATGAATCTAATAATTATACACTCTTTCTGCCTTGTCTTCTATAAATTCATCCAGAAAAGTAATTAATTTAAAAGGGCAAGCTTTGTCTACCTTTGCGTTTGATTACTTTTTTCATTCATTTTGCATGTAGAAGAGAGAAGCCATAAGGCGGGACCTCTTTCAGGTAAGAAAAGAGCCACCCTGTGTATCTATACAGCTGAAACAAGATCATAAAATCATAGGAGAGTTGGATGGGGCCATGAAGGCCATTAGGTCCAACCCCCTGCTGTTGCAGGGCACCATTTTACACCATCCTAGTCAGATGGCTGTTCAGTTTCGCCTCGAATGTCTCTAGTGTGGGAGAACCCGCAATCTCTCTAGGGAACTGGTTCTACTGTCATTTTGCTATGACAGTGAGGAAACTTTTCCTGATCTCTAGCCTGAATTTGGGTTGTCACAACTTGAATTGATTATTGCATTTCCTACAGTCTACTATCAGTGAGACCTTCTACTTTGTGAAAGCCTTTGAAGTATTTATATAGGGATATCATGCCCCATTCAGTCTTCTCTTCCCAAGGCTGAACATGCCCAGTTGTCTCAGTCTCCTCATAGGGCAGTGTTTCCAAACCCTAGATCGTTTTTGTTGCCCTCCTCTAAACCCTTTCTGCATCCTTCTTAACTCTTGATGCCCAGAACTGGACACAGTATTCCAGATGGGGTCTGACTAGTGAGGAGTGTAGGGGAACTCCTACTTCTTGTGATTTGGAAGTAACACTTCTATTAAAGCATCATAAAATAGCATTTATCCTTTTTGTGGCTACATCAGTGTTGGCTCATATTTAGCCTGTTGTCCACAAATAACTCCAAGGCATCTTTCTTTTTCAGAAAAGTTTCCAAAATACCTAAAGATTCAGAATTTATAACTGTCCCTGACAGAAATTAATGTGTTAACTCTTTATTTTTAACATAAAAATATGTTCTAACATGCTGTTCATTCTAATGGATTCCAGGTAACATACAATTTGGCACTTACCAGTATATCTTCATTCTCTGTTGGAAATTTCAGTTTTAGGTTACCAGCAGCTATTAGTACAGCTTTGACTGCACGCATGCCATAATCATAGTGGAACTGAGATGAAAGCTGTTCTGAACACAGTCTGTAGGTCATAACTATTTTAATTGATAATGGCTTAGCATTCAGGAACCCATAGGAGTAGAGAGAGATTTCAGCAATGAGAGCATAGTTAGGAACCATCATAGCCACTGTTCGAAAAAGTACCTGAAAAGTATATCAAAAGAAGGATCATTTGTTTGCATCTCTGGTAATGCATCAGGTGAGTTACCTGCCTCCATTAAGTGCCATGTGTACATTTATTGAGTTATGAGTTCAAGAACTCATGAAGATCTCTTAGAGCAATGTTAAGAAAGCTTATTAAATGCAGTGCTTTTTTTGTAAAAAAAAAAAAAAAAGGTGCCGGAACTCACGTCCCCGCCGACAGTAAGCACACACACAATCCCAAGCCGAGCAGCGAGCAGCGAGAAGTGTCCCAAGCAGCTATCTCTCACTATCAGATAGCAGATAGCAGACAAAATAGCAGCCTGCAGGCACTATATTAATGATGTTTGCTGCTGATCTGCTGCGCAGTTCAAAATCACTTAGTAAAATCCATTGAAAAAAAGGTGCCGGAATGCTGTTCCGGTGCGTTCTATGACAAAAAAAGCCCTGATTAAATGTATTTAATAAGCTTTCTTAAAATTGCTCTGGGAAATGGCAGTGAGGAGAACATTTCTAAAGTCATGTTGCTAGCCTGCAAGCAAAGAAGTGAAAGAAGTCGCTTTCATTTTAAGCTGAACTCTTCCAAAAACCTGGAAAGTCCAAAATTTAGCGCTGGAAAGAAAAAAAAATTAGCGCAGAGCAGGGAAGGCATCATTAAACCACCACCTCTGCCTCTCTCGGAAGGTTATATTTGTCTTCATCCCTAATGGTTTGGTTTGTTAATTTGTTTAGGACAACTTCAATGGTATGTTTTTATTTTGTCTGTTAGGATGCAATCTTAACAGTATGGACAGAAAAAAAATCCTTCTAATCCCAGCATTCTTAAGCATCATGGCTAACTGGCAGGTGCTAGGAGTTGTGGGACTTAGTATGTTTAGACAGAAAAGGATTGTGAATTTAGAGACTCAAGTCCTATGATATATGCAAATACTACAGTGTCATCTGTATGTCACACATATGCTTACTTACAACAATGGTTGGACAACTTACAGAACTACATGGACCTTCATAGATGAAGTATGCACAGACCATTAGCTATTAAGACATGCATCTTTTAAAAGCAAGATTTGAAATAACTCTGATAGCATGTTTATATTAGTATTTTACCTTGAGATTGTCTGGTAGTTCAGAGCGACCTGCATAGCCTGGATTCATGGTAATGGCAACAAAACAGTTAGGGTTAAGCTTCAGTTCAGTCCCTTCAAAATTAAATATCTCCAGCTTCATCTGTATAGCTCTCTGGATACAAAGTATCTGCTGAGCCACCACAGAGAGCACTTCCAGTTCAATTCGATTGAATTCATCAAAGCAGGCCCAAGCACCTGAAGAAGCCAAGCCCTTGAAAAACTAGGAACAAAACAGTAAGCCAGTCTTCATACAGTTAATCAATAATTCAAAGACTTAAAAGGAAGCCTAATAATGCTTTGGGAATATACAGTAATGTTTTGGTAAGATATGTTTACTGTCACACTACAATCACAATTATAAGTGCTATTAGGCTAATAAGGTTATATTACAAGAAAACTGTTTAAGCTACTTCACAAACCATTATGTATAGGAATGGGAATAATTTCACCTTTACTATTACCTTCACACTAGCAAGCTTCACACTGGTAGCTTGCGAAATACATATGAAAATCACATCAAACATACTTTTTAAAAAAGTTGTGATGATGTGAATTGTGCTTCCGGGGATTAATTTTTCCAATGTACAGCATGAAATGCATTTAAAAACAAACTATGCAGAATTGGTTTGATCATATCGGCAGGCAATCTAGTTTGTCTTCCACACTGGTCAGATTCTGATTCCTCAAGAAGTCTTAGCAGTACAGTGCAAAGCACTCTAACAGCACAATTCTCTGCATATGTTTACTCTGCCTTCCCAACTAGTATACACAGGATCAGATTAGATGCCCTTGGCATCCTACTGAACTATTGTTCATATTTCCAACTTGCAGGAATAGGTGAGTACCAAGCTTTGTGATTATTTCTTTGGCTTCATTTATAACAAGACTTTATTCTTTTTTTATAAAAGAAATATTTTTATTCTATAAAAAGAATGAAAAAATTATGACGCCTTTCAAATAGGAAATCACATTATTAGAATCTGATGCAGTTTACCTTCCCCATGGCTAGGTAATCAAGGCCATCAGAACAGTTGAAAACAACACACTGCACAGCAAGAGCTTTAGCCAAATCTTTGGTGGTTTCTGTCTTTCCTGTCCCAGCTGGGCCCTCTGGAGCACCTCCAAGATTTAGATAAAATGCTCCAATCTAAAAATAAAAATAATCACTGAAAATTTTTCAAAACTTAAAACTGCTACAGTCTTTATATGCAAACAAATTTACAACCATTTCTAAATGGCAGAGATAAAATATTGTATAAAAGGTATAGAAAACATGCAATGTGAAAATAATAATATTGTTCCTTCTCATTTTCTTATACATGAGCTTGTGTACTTTGTCTCCACATGTTTACCTCTTAACAAATCTTTCTTTTTCTCTAGTTCTGTATCTTTCTTTTTCACACACCACAGAAATACATGCACAAGCCGACCCACCATTCATTTATTTATCCTATTATTAACTATAATGAATTTATACATTCATTTGTTAATCTTGCCATCTTCAGAGTGGAAAATCACTACTGGACAAAGCAATTATTGCACAAAATACTAATAAGCTAGATGAGACAATTGGCTATATTTCTATACCACTTTTTCTTCATTCCTAAACTCAGCTTTCTCCTATTTGCTTTCATAGTACTAATAAAAGAATTTTCAACAAAAGCAATTTCCTTTGAATCAGTAATAAGTTGAAAACTGCTTTTTTGCTTTGCTGGCAAATGATCCTCCATCCAGAACAAAAACAATTATATTTGCTATTTCTCACAATGCTATTTAGAATTATTTAGAACTAATCAGATCCAGTCTTGAAAAATCAAGCTGAATTTATACGCACTTGAAGTCTGTGCCCCCAATCTAGAACATGCTAGTCATACTTCAACACGTTAAAATTTATATACATAAGCATGAGGTAACACTTTGAAAGTCTGAACCACAACAAGATGGAAATATTTGCAAGTTACTGTCAGAAATGCAATTGTTGAATATACCTTACATCCTGGGTCCTCAAACTAAGGCCCGGGGGCCAGATCCGGTCTGCCATGCCCATTTATCCAGCCTGCCATGCCCACTTGGACCCGCCACGTGTGCGCCTGCGCCCGCCGCCACCCACCTCACCCTGCGCACGGGGAAGAAGGGGTTTGCTCGCTTGGAAAAAACAATCTCCAAGCAAGCAAGCTGTTGCCTCGTGCGCCCGCCTCGTGGCGCACGCCCACCCCTGCCCACACCTCGCCTCCCCTCGTCAGGTGCATGAACCCACCTGTGCCTCACCTCCCCTCGCCATGTGCGCCCACCCACACCTCACCTCACCTCGCCTCGCTGTGCGTCCCACCCCCACTGCAGCACGCGTGCCCGCACACGCCAAGCCCGCGCTGGCCTGCGCGCACTGCCAGTACCGCCTTTCTGGCCCGTGCCCAGCACCAGCAGCTTTCAACTGGCCCCCTGGTGGAAAAGTTTGAGGACCCCTGCCTTACATAGTTATCACTGTTACTGGAATGTAATTTTTAAAACCATACCAGAGTGCGGTAACACCTATCTGTAAGAGGAGTAATGACAAGTCGAGGAGAGTTGCCAAGATATTCATAAGCATATTTTACATTACAATTGATGATGCGCACCCGAACATTCTCATATTCCCAGTAATAACGCAACTGGGCAAGCCACTGAAAATCTGTTTCATGCTGCACATCTAGTAATAATACAAACAAGAAAAATGTTTTACAGTTCATTCCTCCACTTTGGCAAGGAAGCAAGAAGGGGAATTATTTTGGGAGTCAGGTTGGGGAAGAGACATGACTGCCTAATCCTATTTTCTTCTAGTCTGAAAGCAGTTTTAAAAATAATGAATTAATATTTTAATAATGAGAGAACTGGTTTTAAAAATAGTGGTTTTTGAGAGCAACAGGGAAAATATTGGGTAATGCACATCAATAATTTCTATTCTAATTTATTTTTACAATCATAAAGAAAAACTGGAAACTACATACCACATTCAATCATTTCCATGACTACATCTCTAGCATGCACATCAATAGTGACTAAGGCACCCAATGTAGTTCTTGTTTGCTTAGACAATTTCCCTCTTACCAGCTCTACAATATCATTTAACTGAAGCTGAAGGGTATTGTAATATTTCTGTAAGCCCTGCAAAATCAACATTGAAAAATTCTATAAACCACAACTTGACAGAGAATTCTTGCCGGTCTCTCTTATGATCCTTTGCTTTCTCTGTTCACAAACTCATTGATAATAATTACTATAACAATTTTATAGATACACCCTGCTACAAACATCTCTCTTGTATGCCATGTTTCCCTATATACAAGCTTTATTCATGCCTATATTCTTCTTGGTACAGGAGCTTATCAGAATGACAGTTCAATCATACTTTGACATTGACTATGAGCCAGGCAGGAAAGGTCTAGCCTAAGAGATTCAAGAACAGGCCACATGGCACACACACAGCTATATGCTATATCTCACTACTACTTGCCGCTCCTTTGTACTGCCCCTTGAAGGTACAGTCTCACTCTGCTTAATGACAGGGTTGACCCTGCCTTCTAGATATTTTTCTGAAATGCCCACTGGTAAAATGAGCAACAGATTTATTTGAGATTTTATAGTCTTCAGTACATTTGAGATCTAAATAGTCAATGACATTTTTCATATGTATTAAGAATCATTTTAAATTCTTACATTCAATTTAACTACTGGGTGAAATGGGATAATTTCGATTTTTTAAAAGTATATTTCAAGTTGATAACTTTATATCATAAACATCATAAAATGAATCTAACACAACTGAGTATAAAGACAAATATAAAATCAGGAAAGATAGAAAGAAAATATCAGAACAATGTGTCATGATACCTGTGGGCCACTTGCTATGGCTTCATGTACTTCACTTGTCCAGAACATTTGTGAGACACACAAAACAACTTGACCAGGCCATTCTCTCACCCAGTCTTTTCTCTCTCTCTCTGGATATGCCTAAGAAAATTAATAACATTGCCCATCAACATAATTGCTAAGAATTGCAAATACTGTGCTAAATAAATCTATTAAAACATTATCCAATGTGAAATCTGTAAAATTTATCAAGACATTCTCCAACATGATTATTGTGATGATAGGTTGAAATGCAACATTGCATTAGTGGATTTTGCTCATAAAATGGGACTCCTATCCCCTCCTCTCCTGCACCCTGAAGCCTTCCCTCACATCCACCGCAAATAAACCCTAGAGGACTTTCTGGTTGTTTCCGGAACAGATATTGAGAGAATTCAGCAAGCTGCAGGAGGAAGGGGGAAATGCCTTCCTCTGTTTTCTTGATGTCTGTTAGTGTGAAGGGATAATAGGTTACAACCCAATATATTTAAAAAGCCAGCAGAGTTATACACTACAACATTAAATGAGGTCTCCTTTAACCATTTCTCCACTTGGCCATACATACAGCATACAGTTCTTACACACCATAAAAAATATAAAAAGAGTCCAGCAAAAAAGCCCACCAAGCCCAGAATTCTATTTTCAAGAGTGGCCAGCCAATGACATTGAGAAACCCACACACACAAATTTAAGGCAAATCTGTATTTGTTTATTGCTATTGTGGTTCTACGCTATCAAGTCATCTCTGACTTATGATAACCCCATGAATGAAAGCCCCCTAAAATGTCTTGCTCACAACAGCCCCACTCAACTCTTCTAAGTTCAAGACTGTGACTTTCTTTATGCATTCAATCCATCTCATATTTATTCATTACATTAATTAAAGAACTTGTAAAATAAATTCTTTAGATATTGCACAGTTCAGTTAAAAAGTGGTAATTTCTATAAGGTATTGACTCTACAACTGACTCTAATCCCACACAACTTTTCTGGAACATTTCACACCACCAATACAGAAACACTCTAGACTGAAGATTTTATTACAAGGCTTATCTATACTGTGAACTAGCTGGCTGCATTTTGGCCACCATCTGGTCTAAAACCCCATGCCTTTTCTGCATATGCAACAACTGGTTTTCATCAACCAGATTTTATTTATTTATACTATTTTTTAGCCACCTTTCAGGACAGAAGTCCTCCCAAGGTGGTGCACAAAAATAAAGCACATAAAACCAGTACAATGTTAAAAACAATAAACACACAGTAAAAACTGTAAGAATACAATATAAACTGAAATTAAAATGAGAAGAGTCACTCTTACTGAATTTAAAATGTGGGCAGACTGAAATGGTTGATGGTTAAAATGAGAAGAGTCACTCTTACTGAATTTAAAATGTGGCAGACTGAAATGGATGGTGGTGGTCCTTCAAGAGATTTGATCCCACACCATTTACTCATTTACCAGACCAGCTTATTTGTATGTTTCACTTGTGTTTCATTTCCCTTAGCCTCTTGCTCAAGAAATTTGGCCAAACATGAGTTTAGGGATATGCAAGATCCTCAGCCAGAACATCTGATCACTTTCCCAACTTTGTAACCTTCTGGCTCTATTTTCTAGTAAAGGTGGTCTTGGCAGTGGACCAGAGACAAAAGTCACTGTGGCCAGAAAAAAAAGATGTACAGAGCACTGAGACAACAGACAGCTTGTCCAGTACCTTGGCATTTCATTCAAACAAAGGGAGCTGTACAAACCCAGTGGCAATGGCATGTAGTTTGAAGCCATCCAGGCAGGCATTAGAAGTTGGTTGCAGTAATGATTGGTTTGGTGGAGAGCTGGATAGGTTCACCAGATCATTTCTTGCGGTACTGGAGGCATGGGGCAGGGGGAGACTGCTCCCTCTTATGGGGATCTCCAAAAGGAATTTTTGGGTTGCCATCTTGGGATCTAGCCCAGCAAAGGAGCCCAAAGGCCAACCACATTCCTGCTTCCACCTACCGCGCAGCATTTGGTCAGCCTGCTTGATTACTGTATCCATACTCCACCAACCCTGTGGGAGCTCTAACCAATTAAAAGTTGTGGCCATTTTAATCCAATTCAGGTATGTGTACCTCATCTTGCCTCTCCTCTCTGTTTTCTCCTACAATCAGTGCTGTTGATACAGTTAGCTTGAAATAAAATTGGTAGGAATGAATGCATGCCCAGAAAAAAATGTTTCTAAACAGAAAACATACCAATCTTGACCTTGTGATAACATCCTGTATACTCCTCAGCATGATATCTTCCACTTGTATTAACCACTTTTCCACAGCACCCCGAGCTTCCGAAGTCGAAATGGTTGAAATAAACTGTACACGTTCACCTTCAGTGCTGTACATTGACTTAATGTCCAGATTAGAAAGAAATTCCAGTTTAGCAATGCCTTCAAAACACTTTTTCAGATGAGGCTGGACTCTGAGAGGATCTTTTGTCTCTGATAGGATCTCCAACATTTCATCATTAGACAAGAAGAAAAAGCTAAAAGAAATTCAAAGAATTGTAAAAGCACTGAGTTACTATGTTTGTATGTGTTTATTTTGTGTTAAATGTATTAAATCTGACATAATATATATCTCTATTATAATTCAGTTATGAACACCACACAGTATACCGAGGAAAGAAGAGTCGCTTCTTCTCAAGATAAGCATTCAATCCTTTCATTATTTTGTCCAGAAGTTCATTACAGTTCTGAAGCTTTTCCAACAAACCTGTCAACGAAGTAGCAGCAAGAACCTAGAAAGCAAGACATACTATGATACATTCACTAGGTATACCAGGTACAGCAGATAATAAAATTGAAATATGAGCAAACATCAGTACATGGGCTTGGAAAGGCCTGTATTTAACAGCTACTTCATATATTACATGGTGGCAAATGTGAATGTGCCCTCATATTTTTCATGCAGCAAGAAGCTGCTGCCTATCCTGGCTCCTGGTGCATATTTTCTTTTGATTCACATCGAAGAAAGACACATCTATTTCTAGCACATGTACAGATGCATATGAAAACTTTGTATAAATTTATGAAAAATGAATGTGTGAACCAGTTCTGAAAGTTTGTAGAACTATGTTAAGACCTTGCTGCCAGACATATGAGGTGGTTGTTAGATAAAGAGAATACTAGTATGAAACAATATGTGGTAGCTATTTGATGCTTATAACCCTAGAGATTAGTCTAACAAGATCTGTTCTTGATAAATCCATGCTAACTTCTAGTAATTACTGCACTGTGTTCAAGGTGCTCACAGACTTAGGAGTTCTGTTTGGTCTTTTTATGTATAGCCCACAGTTTTGTCTAATTTTTACATATAATGTTTACACAGTTTTTCTTTCCAGTCTATATTTTCAGAATTATTAAATACAGCTGGGATTAAAAAAAACCCTTTGTGTACATGAACTTTCTTAATTTTAATTATGATTACCTCTTCATATGCTTTGATAGATATTTGGTTTCAGAAACAGCTCTGTGTGGGGGAGAGCACAAAGGGCTGCTGTGGAAAAGGTGAGGCCTCACCTGCTCACTACAGTCTCATCATTACTACTTTACCTTGGGGTCTTTAGCACAGTATTTCATAATATCTCTCCAATATCTGTCCACAGTCTGGAACTGACGTCCTTCCTCTGGCATCTGTTGCATAATGTCCTCTGAAGAAAAGATTGGTTCTAAGTAAAGCCACTGAGCCTGTACTTTCAACCACTCATCAATGGTCTCCTGAATTCTAATCAAGCGATCTTCCCATTCCTTAAAAATAAAATATGGTCCTTAGCATAATACAGCCATATCAAGTAAGGTTAAAGACAAAAGTCAAAGACATGCTGATAGAAGAATACCTATATTTCTCAATAAATCTAATACTGACAACAACTGCTTTATGAAGAAAGAAGGTGTGAAAGAGGTAGGAGCTGACCAAGGGAACATGAGTAATTGCTCCAGCTGGATGGATTCTCTACATCCCATTGGGAAATGAGTGGTAAAGCAGGGCCTTTCCACCAGCCCTACTGAGAAGCTACTTCATTTTCCTCCTTTTCCTAAGGCTCGTCCTTGCTAATTCATCTTCTGGACCACTTCAGGTATAAATCTATTCTTATCTTTGGCAGAGAATGGGGCACTCTCTTCCCTGCTTTCACACAAATTCTTCTTGCACTTCAGCAGGCAGCTTTAAACATGGTTTATCTGTTTATTTACTTATGAATATTTATGAATTGCTTCTATTAAAGAAAAGTCTGAGGAATATACAGAAGGCAAAATTATGTCCTGTTGGAAAAGCTATGTTTTCAGTGGGCAGCAAAACCCCAAAAAGGTGGACAATTGTCTGATTTGTAGAGGTGGGGAATTCCAGAAGGTGGGTGCTACAATACTAAAGATAATATTTTGAGCCTTGATGGACCAGATCTCAGAAATTTTGGGCAAAGCCAGGACAGCATTTCCTGATAAATGCAGCAACTGAGTAGACCAGTAGATGATCAAGGAGTCTTTTAAGTTCATCTGTGGAACAGTGGCCATCTCTGGATTTGGAGGGTGCAGGAATTACAAAGGTGGATGTGGGCAAAGAGAAGTCCTGTTCCACCAGCAGTATCCATTCCATTATCCTGGATCCATCCCAAGGTAAATACATAAAATCTCATGTGTAAGGAAAAAATTGCCTTTCTTTGGAATCCTTAAAAGTGTGCCTTCCTTTTGAGTTTTTGATACATACTGAAATTTAATAGACTTAGTGTGCAGTCCTATGAAGCTGCCCATGAACCTCTGAACTCAAGATTTACAGGCATCTTTATGCAGCATGGAGGATCACAAAGGCTCCTCCATGTACGTTCCACCCTGCAAGGCAGTAAGATGCCCAGTTTCAGTTCTCTGTGCAGTGCTTTGAGTGTGAGGCAAGGAGGCTGAGGAACACCACAGTTCTTTCCATGTGAATCACAAGCAGAGGGGAGGGGGATGAAAGTATGAATCCCCAGCAATGAGACTGGAGTATTTTTCTGACCTCATAGCTAGGAATCTGAAAAATCCTGTGGCCATCTAGATGTTGTCTAGCTTGCTGCCAGCAAAGGGAACAAGAATTGCAGGCTGGCTGATTAATTGGGGTAAATAAATTTTAAATGATTAATATAGCAACTAAAAAGTCTATTACTACCACATAACTCATTTATATTAGGACATGTAAAAATCTAATAACAAAGCAACAATAAACCAGGGCTTCAACACTAAGCACCTATTGAATGTGCTAGGATACATTGAAAAACTTGCATAGAATTGAATTAAAGGAGGGCCTACAAAGCAATATTTGTAACTACCTTGATTTGTTTTTCAAATGGCTTGATGAAAGGTGATCCCCTCATTGTTTGTGTTTTTACAATCTGGTCATCCAGAATAGTTTGAATTTCATCAACTGCAGACAAAATACTAACACCAGTTTCACGATACAAGCTTATTTGAAAAGAAACTGTATCCCAGGTCTCCATCATTGTATGCATTGCCTTCTCTAATGAGAATTCCTATAGCACAGTGGAAATAAAGTATGTTATCAATGAATTAATTTTGATTTTGTGAAGCTGGGATGGAAGAGTTTTTGTTCTTACCTTGCTTGCTCCCATACTTATGGTTTCAAATTGTTCTAGATAAGGGTTTAGGTTCTGCTTTAAAACTTTCCTTAGGGTACTTCCAGAATCTGGAGTTAAATCATATCCAACGATTTCTGACATCTGTTTCCAATGACGGGCCCTTATGCCTGGATTACAAAGGATAGTCACCAAAGGGATATTTTCCTAGTTGAGAAAAAAATTGAAACAAGTTTTACCACTGTAACTAACATAACTGGAAAATTATATTTTAATCATTGAAACTGTCAATATGTTATAGCTTTCAAAAAAGTTTTCAGACTATTTATTATTTAAATAAAAAGCCATCCAGGGACTTTTAGTATTGGGACAGCATATAAAAATTTTAAATAAATAATTAAATAATTAAAATATTTAGTGCTATGGGAGGAGTGCTTGAGAGTATACCTAGTTCTCATAAAGATGTCATTTTAAGGCTCCACGTTTAATTACTTTTCCTTATATTCCAAGAACCTCTGTCAAACACACACTAAAACTTTTCCCAAATCATTCTTGCATATGGAGATCAAAACTGTAAGCAAATACCCCTTACAGTCATCTGTTTATATAAATGTCCACTTACCTTGAAATCTTTAATCTGCTCCATTACTGCGGAACACATTGAAATAGTTGGACTATCCTTTTTTTCTTCATCTACCCTCTCTTCTACTACTGCTCTGCGCACTGACTTTTTTTTTTCTATTTCAGCTTTCTTTAGCTTTTGTTGAAAGAACCTTAGAGTCTTATAAATTTCTCGAAAAAACTCATCCACCTCAGTTTCCATCCTTTCCCCATTGAGGTCTAAGAAAGCACCATCCATCCATCTAGGAAAAAGTTCCATATAGACTAAGAACTAATCATCATACACATCAAAACTTTTTTGGAAAAAGATTATCATGGGTCATAAATAAGTAAAAAAAGACACCTTGTATATAATAGGCCTCCAGATTAGGATTTCTATATTATGCAAATAGAATTCAATACTTAAATTCATAAATCCCAGTCTTTCCATATTGGATTAACAATTCTAAAGCTTCCAGTGGCAGCAGTTTGAACACTTTGATAGATTTATTAAGTACACAGAATTAATTTCTTAAGCATAATAAGACAACTTTATGCTACTCTGTAGCTACATACAGACATAAAATAAGCACTAGGTTATATAAATGAAAATTAGGTTCTCATCTTAGTAGGGCTACTATTACATTGTGCATAATATACAGCCACTAGAAAGCAGCACATGCCTTAATAATGGCTTAATGAGAAGATAGGTGAGCTCTTCCTTGGGAAACAAGTACTAAGGTACAAGAAATCCATCATCATCATCTTGCAAGGATTCTTAGTTACTGATGCAGTACATACATACTGCAGCACCAGATCTGTTCATCAGGAAGGGTTCCCTTTCAGCAGTTCCACTGAACGGTAGGTATTCCTACTGGGTTATCAGGCTACTTGGAGCCATCCTGAATTTTTTCGAACTGAAGGTCATTATATACACCTCAACAGATTGGATTGGATTGGATTGGATTGGATGAATTAATTAAATGAGACAGATGGATAGGCAGAAAACCCGATCAACTGGGAGAAGCAATAGACTGGTGGATAATTTACCGTCATTTAAGGCCAAGGCTCTCTCAATTGAAAGGTATGTACCAGTTGAAGTGCAACAAGTGAGGTATTAAGCAATGGGACAGCATATAAAAACTCCAAATAAATAAATAAACAAACAAAACAGTCCCGACAACAGAAGGCTCTGTTTCAAGTAGGATGCTGAAACCCTCCAATCTGCATACTCTTCTTATGTGTAAAGGACCCAAGTCTACTGCTTCACACACCAAACTGGAGCAAGTTACTCAGGAGTAATTCTGTGTGTGAGGGTGCACACATTAAAAAGGTACCAAACACCTTTCTGGGGTAGGGAGGAGTAAGGAAGGGTAACTTGTCCCTCCTTTTTCCTTCCTGGTAAAAAAAAAATCTGCCTAGCATATGCAAACTAATCGGAAACTTCAAAACCCCAACTTTATATAATGAAACACATCCTACTTGAGTGAGTGACCTCGCACCTTTTATTTGTGATCAATGTGGTCTGTGAAAGTACTATTTTATTGGAACTAACTGGTAGAAGTTATTCTATTCAGATGCCTTGGGTTACTCACAAGAGGAAAAATACAGGATATAAATGCAATGTAATAATAAGAATAGTTGAACCCAGTAGGAAAAAAATAACATATCAAAGGGCGCAATCAATATGCATGTTGAGAGGCTGGAGGATGCTGGAAGTTGCAAGACTTTTTTCTGTCTAAATATGCACTGGATAGTGCCTTATGCAATTGTATCTCAACATGTAAACAACTATCTAAATGTAAATTATAAAAGGGTGAAAGCCACCACCTCATTAGCAAACTTTTCACACATGGAGTAACAAGATTGCTTAATATGAAAGAGTTCAGATTTAGAATGTACATTCTCACATTTTTCTTTAACAAGTACTTTTGACATTTCAGTCACTCCTTTAAATATCTTTGCATTAATTACCTTTTTTCAGTCCGCTGCCATTTTAATATAAAAACAAAAAGTTTTTGGTAGGGCTCAATGTTAACTTTTAAAGTCTCCAAATCTGGGTATTCAGTCAGTTCCCAATTTAAAAGTTTCTCTTCTTTATTTATAAAGGCAACAGCCTCATCAGCATCTTGTATGCGCTTCTGTAGTGCTCTCATGTCAGTTACATACTGAAAACAAATTTATTTCTTTTGAGATTGACTTAGGCAATACATTTGATAATACATCAGTTTACAAGAAATTAAAACACTATCTCTTAGAAACATGAAGTACCACTTTAAAAAGAAAGGGTAAACTAGGCAAAGCTCTTCTAGTCTACCAAAGGATGCATTTTTAGATTTTTCGATAGAAGGAAATAGGGATGAGATGAAATAACACAAAGCTAAGGCTGCGACTGGACACTTGCTTGGAAATAAACCCTGCTGAACTCATTAGACCTTATTTCTAAATAAATATGAATAGGTAATTTTCCCTGCTCAATATAATCATATTTTCATGAGGTTTCAATAGATTATTACCAGCAGCTAATGTAGCAGTTTGCTCATGGACTGTGTGATTTTGTTATTGAGCACAATGGAATGCAATGGTCATTTGTCCCAGTTGGGGTATAAACATAGGGATCCCACAGGGTTCTGTATTAGGACCAATGCTTTTCATAAAGTATTTGGAATTAGGAGTGAGCAGTGAAATAGTCAAGTTTGCTGATGACACCAACCTATTCAAGGTGGTGAAAATAAAAAGGGGTTTCTGGAAGAATGGGCATCAAAATGGCAAATGCAGCTCTATGGAAGCAAGTGTAAAGTGATGCATTCTGAGGCAAAAAAATCCCAACATCTGCTATAGTTAGGTAGAATCTGACCTAGCTGAGAATCTGAGCTGAGCTGATCTCCCTTGTGCAAGAAAGGGATCCTGGGGTTGTGGTAGACAGCTCAATGAAAATATTCACTCAGTGCATAGTTGTGAAAAAGGCAAACTCCTTGTTAGGCATAATTAGGAAAGGAACTGAAAACAAAACTGCCAAGACTGTACTCCCATTATACAAAACTTTGATGTGACTGTACTTAGAATATAGTGCACAGTTCTGGTTGCCGCACTTGAAAAAACACAGAGAACAACTAAAATGATCAAGGAGATTGAGCAACTCCCCTTGAAAAAAGGTTACAATGACTGGAACTGTTTAATTTGGAAAAGAGACTATTAAGAGAGGGCACAATAGATATGCTTAAGGTTATGCATGGTATGGAGATAGTGGAGAGGGAGACTCCCTTTCTCATAATACCAGAATTCAGGGTCATCCCATGAAACTTATTGGCAGAAGATTCAGAACAGATAAAAGGAAGTACTTTTCCATACAGCACATAGTTAAAACTATGGAATTCACTGCCACTGGAAGTAGAGACAGCCACCAATCTGTATAGCTTTAAGAGGGAACTGGACAAATTCTAGAAGAGTATGCTATCAGTGGCTTACACTCCTGCTGGTTATGTGTGACCTCTGGTACCAAAGGGAGTATGCCTGGATATACCACTTTTTGGGAAGCTTGGGCAGGAAGTGTGGTATGCATCCTGCTTGAGGACAGTTGGTCTGCCTCTGGATTGGATGGACTGATGCAGCATGGGATGGATTGATTGATTGATTTTATTTACATCATAGGTTTTTTTTTTCCTTTCATGGAGCTCAAGGCAGTTTACATAATTTGCGTCCACCTCTTAATTTTATTACCACAACAATCCTGTGAAGTAGGTTGGGCTGAGAGTTTGTGACTGGCTCAAGGTTACCCAGTGAGTTCCATGGCTGTGCAGGGACTAGAATGTGGCTCTCCTGAGTGGTAGTGCAGCACTCTTAACTACTCCACTACACTGGCTTATGCTCATATAAATGTGGAAGGTGACCCAATACCATTTCTGGCGGCTGCCCCCCACCTGTGGAACAGGCTCCCCAGACAGGTTTACCTGGAACCAACTCTGCTTTCTCTTCTCCACAAATGTTAATAACTGATTTTAATAACAAATTTCAGATGTTTATTAACTTACTGTAATTTTAGTAACATTGGTTATCTGTCTCACCTGGACATGTTTTAGAGTGATCTTGGCTATATTATTCTTATTATTCATTTGTTATATTTTAATGATGGTTTTAATTATCTTGTTGTAATTTTACTTTTGTGTGATGCCTGGAGAGTCTATTTGAATGGCTTATAAATATATAAATTAATAAAATGAATAGAAAGTGTCACAGGGAGGGAAATGAAGAGTGCAACTTCTGCATTATGCAAGAATATAATTAAGTCCCTGCAAGTTGCAGGAATAACAGCCCCCATGCCCCTACTCATGCCTTGTGACATCCCTAATAAAGCCATCAAGTCTCTCATTCAATGATGCTCAGTACTGGAAGCTGGTTAAGCTGTTGTTGAACTCATATCCAGCACATTTTAGTCTGCACACTGCAATC